TGGCAAATTAGAGGAAGGTGGCTGTGGACCAAATATAGGGTGGCCTGAGGGCTTGTATGACATTTGGATGTGAAGAGTGCATCACATGGCACGCCAGACCTCCTGCTGACCCTCCCCCAACTGTATAGACAAGCCCTGTCACACACAGCTGGGCACTGACCGTATTCTGATGGTTCTGTTCCAAAACAGAAGTTACTTTAAAAGCTCACGTAACAGTAGAAGTATAAGAAACAGGACAGGCCTCAAGAGACTACTGAAGGCCAAGCATACTCAGTAGCCCCAGGATATGCAGTGTCACTTAAGAGGGGGAAACCCAAGAAAACCTGTGGGGTGGTGGTGGCTGTCTCCGGATTGGGACCCTGGTAAGGAGCCTGAACTGGGTACAGACACCCCCCCCACACACAATGGGCCATTTTGCTCTCTTAAAGCAAACTAATGACGGTTGAATTGCAGGTCACCCAAGACAGACTGGGCCCAACAGCAAGAGGCTGAGGATTAAGCCCTCCGAGCATCCCACAGTGCTTGTTCTGGAGTATAACCACACGGACAAAAATTATGTAGTTCCTCACTACATCTTTTCAAGTCGTGTCTGCTTTGTCTCCCTGTATCATGGCATGAAAGGAACCTAACAGGAAGCAAAGCATGCTGTATGAAAACCAGGAATGTTTACTCTTCCTTGCTTTGAAAGAAACACATACTGTATAAGGCCAATTTTCAGTACATTTGCATGTGTGCACGTATATGTGTTTGGGTGTGTATTTAACTGACAATGCTGCCCTTTTTAAAAAGTTGCTCACTGACATCGAGTAAGAAAAAGTATGTGCTCACCCCATCCCAAGCAAATACTGTCCTGGCATCGAATTGCATTCAGAACATGGCACTGTGCTGCAGACACTTGTTCTTGAAGTGCCACACCAAGTAACCCTCCTTTTAAAAACATTATTATTACCTTGAAGAAAGTCCAAATTGCCTCATTTTTCCCCCTCAGGAAGGATGTTTCACACATAAGCTTCCCTCTAGGAAGATGCTGCTGCTTTTACAGCAGGTGCCGCTGAATTATAAAAGGTGCAAATCAGAGCAGAATAGAACGGCAGGAGGAGAGCAAGGAAACGGGCCAAAATCTATCACAATGAAATTCCAAGAAACACCCTTGCGGCAGCTTTACAATTGGCAGCACCACCAGAAACTTAGGTGCAGCTGCAGGAAACACGTTTTTTTAAAAAATTTAAATAACTCAGGGAGTGGCACTTGGGCCATATAACTGGCAAGTGTGATCTTACACTGAATACGGCCAAGCCACAGGAGAGAAAAGATTAGGATCATCAAAGGGACATTTTCCTCACTGTTTCAGTTCTTCTTTTTTGTTGTTGTTACTCACTGGATTTTATATATATATTTAAAAAGTAAGGGGCAGGGAGAGCCGCTTTGCTCAACATTCAGTTTTGAGGAGAATTAAATTAGCCCAAAACATTGTTCGGAATTAGAAGACCAAAAAGGGGATTTTAGAAACACAGCATGTGGCTTGGAGGTATTTTCCACCATCAAAACCAAAGTATAGAAAGCTTTAAAAAGGAGCTATTATTGTACTCTACCCAACCAATGAATCTGTTTCCCCCCTTCTGATAAGTGCTTCTGAGACTTTTCTGATTCACAAAGCAATTTATCCCACAGATTGTACAGAAAGATGTTAGCTGAGACATTTAATGCACTATTGGGCTTTTCCCTTTAAGATTAGCCATTTGGGTAGCTAGCCTGCTTATAGGTACTTCTTGTGCTATTCATAAATTCCTTTCATTTCCTTCATTAAAGATCCCAATATCGTCCTGTCCAAACCTAACAAAATGCTCATTTCAGGGCAGCGCATGTTCCAACTGCTTTTTCTTTTAATAGTGATTGTCATATATTTTGCCAGCCATAAAAGCAATATCAGAAAGCCTACTGCCAGTTATTTGTGTTTCTTTTATTGTTTTGTTCAGTTTTTTCTGTTGCTAGAGGAAGTGGAGGGAGATGATGGAATGCCCTGTTCAAACAGAAATATAAAGAAATGGCAGCATGTATCCATGAGAAGTCAGCAAGAACACAAACAAAAATATAAAACCCCTTGGCATCATCCCCTTCCTCTCCATGCTAACATTAGTGTGAAACATCTTTCCTTTCAGATATTCTGGAGCCTTTCCTCGTGTGTTCTACTTATTATCCCTATGGACTGCTGAGCTCCAGGCTTTGTCACTCTTTCACCTCAGCCAACCGAGGAATAAGAAACACTGGGGCTATTGGATTCCTTGCACGAGCTGTCATGTTGTACCTGTTTTGTCTTAATTTTTTAATGGATGGCATTTACTTCCCGATAACGTTAATCCTTCATTTACCTCATACCCATTGTTGAACAGCTGAAGGATGCTTTGCTCTGGGTGGGCAAAAATCTCTTATCATTCTGCAGCTGAAGTGCTCCCCTCCCCTAAAATGACTTTGCTTAAAGAGAATCATCCAAGTTTATTCATTTCCCTTTTAAAAACAAAACCAAATACCAAGGAAGCCCCAAGAAAGCAGTTCCCAGTGTAGGGCAAAGCAGTAATAACAACATGGAGGAATGAAATTACAAACATGGTCGAAAAATTTTTTTTATAGCAAGGTAACATACCTGGGCAGACATGAGGATTGTGTGTTTCTGAGGAAATGAGCCATAGTCCACAAAGGCTTATGCCAAATAAAAAGGTGCATCAAAAGTTTTTGTTGTTTGTGATGCAACAAGTGAACGGAGTTACTTCTCTAAAAGGAAAGGAGTCTGAGCCAGGAATTTGTTTTAATTACAGAACTGAACAGAATTTGTAGTCCTTTTTTTTTAAAAAAAACCATTCCATTGGTTATCTTGTCTTGTCTTCTCTTCATTTCAGCTGGGTAATTCAGAGGAGTTGGGGCATGGCTCAGGAATTCCTGGGAATCAGAAATCATTGCCAATCTGCTGAAGATTATCAAAGAGCTGTACAGTAGGACCCCCATATCCACTGAGGATTGGTTCCAAGTCCCCAGGGATACTGAAAACCGTGGATAATAGCAAATGCTAAATATATAGAATGATAAAAAAACCAGAAAAAATTATTTTCACATGCATTACCAGAACTGGCCACTAGAGGGTTCCAGAAACCATTCTATGTACAAGTGGTGCCTCGCACAACTATGTTAATTGGTTAAAAAAAACGTTCTGTGAAAACATCGTTCTGTGAAACACCATTTCCCATAGGAATGCATTGAAAACCGGTTAATCCATTCCAATTGGAACGGATTGCTGTCCTTAAGTGAAAATCGGCATAGGAAACATCGTTGAGGGAAACACGGTTCCCCAATTGAAATGCATTGAAGCCGACTCAATGCATTTGAATGGGTTTGCGCAGTCCCTTTTCGCTCCTGTAAAAGTGTCTTAAACTGCTTGAAACCTGTTTTAAATTCTTGCAATCGTTAGCCCACCTCCTGAAACCTATGCAAACTTAATTTGGTGTTGTTCTGAGGCGTCGTTAATTTTTGGTGAATTTTTTTATTCTCCATTGAAAGCCATTGAACAGACATCGGAAAGAGCTTCAAAAGCAGGGAAACGATCAAAGAGTCCTTTCCGATGTCCCTTTTCGCTCCTGTAAAAGTGTCTTAAACTGCTTGAAACCTGTTTTAAATTCTTGCAATCGTTAGCCCACCTCCTGAAACCTATGCAAACTTAATTTGGTGTTGTTCTGAGGCGTCGTTAATTTTTGGTGAATTTTTTTCTCTCTCATTGAGATAACCAAGAGTACATAATGGGAGTACATGCCCTACACCTGTGCAGCCCTGGGAAATGGTCTCAGACCACCATCACATGGTTCCTGAGCACCACCACAAGGAAGGACTGGTAAACCTCTCCTAGAAATTTTATACCTAGAAAAACCTGGGAGGTCACTGTAAGCCAGAATGATCTTGATGACACATACATATTACTATGCAAAGGTAGCCCCAAATATAGCTAATCTTTAAACACCCAACATTCCTCACTGTGCATTAGTACAAGGGATGCAAAATCCTTGTTTTCCACTTAATATTCGAGGCTCAAGTGTTAGTCAAACCCCTGCTTAAGGGCTGCCTATGTATTTTCCTCTTGGCTGATGTTCTGATTTGTCTTAAGAACAATATCCTAATGTGGCATTTGGATTTTTAACACATTTAACCAATACATCTGCCTACAATGTGCATCTCCACCCACAGGGTATTCAGAATCAAACTAAGTAGGTGAATAGAAGTAATGAAACTATCCCTCCACTTTTAAATGAAGGGGGGGATTCAACCAGGAGAGTAGGGTGTGGAGGAAGGGGCTCGACCCTTTCCATTCTTTTGTTGGCCCACTAAGAATCAGCATCCCCCTTATGTGCTTTAAACTCTGCAGGGAAGTTTCAGCTGGTGGCAGCAGAAACACTTCACCTGTGATTATTTTTGACTGAGGGACATCTTTTGGAAGGGAGCAAAGCAATGGTAAGGACAGCTAAATCCTTCTTTGTGTGCCACAGCCCAGATAAGCTCCCATATGCCTGTTGATTAGATATGAAAACTAGGCACAATAAATGCATTCCTACATTTAAGATGACACTTGGGTTAAGCCCTCTATATCTGCATCACCTTGTAGGAACCCACCCTCTGCCTTTGAGTTACATAGAGTCCCTCCCACATCATTGAGCAAACCCAATCATATCAGGAAGACTAATTAGCCAGCCCGTGTACAACTGGCAATAGCATTTCAATTGTCTGTCTCACCCACAGCCATGATCCCAACTTTACCGTCTATAATTTAGGGAAGGCGTATGCTGAGAAAAAGAAAGCAAAGTTTTTCTCAATTACAAGAGGGAATTTTCTGAACCATCATACTGAGACCTAGTACAGTGACCCACAGGGCCAAGCCAATTGAACAGACAAAAGGTACTCACAAGTCTACTTAGTTCAGTGTAGAAATGCATGAAGAACATACTGAAGACAAACTCAAAGTCTGACACTTTGTGGAAAAATTGTATTTGATTTACAATTAACAGGATTTACAAACAATGACAAAACAAAATAGATTAGCAAGGGTACCTTTGTTGATCAAACAGAAGGCAAGGACAAAAAGCTTAGTTTGACACAGAAATCTTAGGTAAACTGCTCCAAACAATTTGTAGCTACTTACATTCCACTGTGTGTTGACTTCCGTATATAGATGAAAGCAAACTTTTACTATAGAGAAATGGTGTCCTTCCCCCCCCACACACACTTTTATTTCTGTGAGAATTTACTGATAATTTCTGTTGCCACCACTGATTATTGTCCCCAGTGCTAGCAACTCACCGCAGAGAAATCAAGGAAAGGACTACTGATGGGTTTGAGAATGAAACATCCGGACAAAACTTCAAATTAAACTCCAGTTCAGGGAGAGGTAGGAAATAAAGCTCTGTTACTGTGTTAAGAAACAAGCACATTTAAGGTGCCACAAGACAGAAACATGACAGCAACACCAAAAGTTGTATGGATGGCAGTGCTAAGGCTACCACACTGCCAGAGGACTATGGTGAGAAATGAATGAAACAAAGATTGCTTTTCTTTTGTGCAACACAGCAATATAAGATAACGTACCAATTTTCCTCAAATTACCTGGAAGCTGACTAATATTGTAAACACACTTTCTGTCTTTGACAAGTTACTTTAATTTCCACAGCAGAGTTAAAGATACTCATCTCATCAATTCCAGCATTCCAAGGCTAGAGTGGTGTTTATGTCAGAAGGGGACATGGGATTTTCTTACAATGTGCATTTCACATTAAAAACACAGGGCTTTTTTATTATTGTTTCTGCTTTTTTAAAAACTCAATCACAATCTTCCTACGACAGTGTGAAGATTCATTTTGGAAAAAAAAAGATCCTATGAGCCATTCCAACAAGAGATATACATACTTGCATCATGTCAAACAGCACATTATAGGCAAGAAGCTAACTATAGGCATTCTGCTGGTCAATGTTCACAAAAAGTCAACAAACCACACATAAATATTTTTGATAGGATTCTCTTTACAAAACCATTCAGATTCACATAATTAGTACAAATAAGGCACATTAGCATATATGATAAAACAGTTTCTTTTTAAAAAAAAGAAAGAGAAAGGCCAATTTGATTTGCCATGATTTCTGAATCATATTAGAATAATTCCATAGTACTTTTTCACCAGGGATGCTCCTCTCTTTAGGGTGGCCTTTAAGCACACCAGATCCAGAAAATTCTTAGATCCTGGGCCTTTGTCATCGCTCTCTCAGTACTGCTAGAGCAGCTCTGAACACCTTCCTGCGCTTTTATAAAGCCACAAATGTTCATTGCTTTGGCTGAACACAGACTTCTGCATTTATGTTGTGAAAGACTGCAAACAATTCTTTGCTTAAAATCTGGGAAGAAAAGATGTCCATCCTCAATTGTCTTTGTGCCAGGAGCAACTGGACCAGCTTTGGCTACAGGGAAGTACGGGTTATTCTTGGCTGGACGTTCTCTTGAGGACCCTAAGTGCTTTGCATGTTGTCAACATCCGAAGTCCTACTTCAGTGACACAGGCGTGAAGGTTTAGTTTGTTAGGAACAAATGCAGATCTTTCAAGCCCCCTCCCTGCTTCAGAATTTAGGAAAGTTAAATTTTTGAACTACAATTATTCATCGAGATTCTAGGATTTATAGATCCTGAAATAATTTTTTCAACTCAGCTTTGCTTTGGCCCTGGAAAAGTAGTTTTGAAAAGTCAGCAGACACAAGGTACTTAATGTTTTAGCACTTCATGTATGTAAACCTCATGTGTGTTCATATGTTTAATATATATAAAAGATGTATGGTACCAAAACCCACTGCAATGTTTTAGACAGAAAAGTCATAGTAAATGTATCTTTTATTCTACTCATTATGAGCAAAATAAAGAGACAGGATTTTCAAAAGAGTAGAAAAAACTATTTCCAATTATTAAAATTAAAGTGGGGATATTGCATTTATTTTTTCCAATATGCTATCACTTTTCTAGTACAAATATTGCTTAAAATATAAAGAATGCTATGGGTTGTGAATTTACTAGTATAATGAATTCTAAAAATGCTGATGTTTCAAGATTGTACTATTTGATTAAATGAGCTTTAACTTTATCCACCTATGGACTTCCCTCATTTCCCACTGGAAATTCATTTACACACAACACAAGGTTTTAATTAGGAGCATAATTTACAGTAAAAACTCTTTACATTACAGCTTTGCTATATAAAAAAAGAAATCCTTTTTTTCATTTAAAGTTGTAATTACACATTTAAAAATAGAACACTATTTTCCTTATTAGGAAGAATGAATTTACACATCCTCAGATCAGCTTCTTTATTGCAGCTTTCAAAGTCAAAGGTCAGTCACTTTATTCTCTAAAGCAGCTGCTATCTGTTGTAATCGATAAGCAAGCTGCATTTTTTGTGCAGCTTGGTCTTCTTCTAATGTGTTGATGATCTGGAAGGAAACACAGAAGACTGAAATTCAGAGGAAGGCACTAGACAAGGTATTGTTGGGCCGTATTAATTTTTACAGCCACAGTCTGATCACATGTAGGATCTTACTTCCGTGCAGGTCCAGAACTGCATTGCACTGCAATGTTACATGGAGGGAGATCCCACCATTGCAGCTATACTTGACAAGGCTTTATTTAGCTGTTTATTTATTTATAGACAAGTTTTCCCAGGACTGGGACCAAAGGTGGTTTACTGTATAATTAAACACACAAGCAAACAAACAATGATAAAAATATTATAAACATTAAGATACAATATAAATATTAACATGTAACATAAAAATTAAAACATAATGGAATCAATGATAATTAAACACAATTAAGTTTAAAACAATTTAAAATATCTCAATTATTACATTAATTTAATTTAAAAATACAAAAGTACTACTCATCCATTAAAAGTCCTGTCCTTAAGAGGTTGTATGTATGTATGTATGTATGTATGTATGTATGTATGTATGTATGTATGTATGTATGTATGTATGTATGTATGTATGTATGTATGTATGTATGTATGTATGTATGTATGTATATTTTACCTTATCTTCCACCTTCAAAACGACCCAAGGTGGCTTACACCATTAAAAGTCAGTATAAACCTAGTATGAAAACAGTGAAGAGGATCAAATGACTACTATACTAAGAATACAAGCAACACCAAAACACATTCAGAGCAGTAATGTACAACAATCCATTAAAAAAAACCCCTACTCAAGCAGCCAGTTACTGAGGGAAAGCTTGTCTGAAGAGAAAAGTCTTTGCCTGCTTGCGCAAGGGTGGGAGAGATGGGGCCAGCCTATTGTGTGTGTGTGTGGAGTTCCAAAGTCTGGGAGCAGCATCAAAGAAGACCCTCTCCCATGTTCCATCAAATGCACCTGCGAGGGTGGTGGGATGGAGAGACATGCCTCTCCCAAAGATCTTAACACTCAAGCAGGCTCATAAAGGGAGGCATGATCCTGGAGATACCTGAAAGCCTACTTGAAAAGCACGGGGTTTGCTTGCTGACAGGAAACAGCCCAGCTTAGCCTCCTTTGGAAAGAAATTCTAAAGTATGATGCAACCGTCAAGAAGACCCTCTCTTGCATTCTTCCCAAACATGCCTCTGAATGAAGTGGTACCAAAAGAAAGGTCTCTCCTGAAGATGTCAAAGCCTCAGAAAACTTGTTTAGTCAGCAAATTTGCTGCCTGAACATCCCCCCCTCCCCCCAAAAAAAGAACCCTGGAGACCTGTTGCTTTCTGGAAGTAACTCTCAGAGTCAGGTATTTTTACAAACATTTCTCATGGGTTGTCCAGGAAAAAATGCCCTGGGCTGGGTAGGGAAACTACCCATAGATCAGTATAGACAATTACCCTGGACAGTTCACAAATAAGATCTGGCGCAGTGAGGTCCTTCCAGCTGAGCAATTAGAAAACATTTCTTTCTGCAGAAAGCAATTCATTTTTCAAAGAGATGTTCTGGAAAAGTGGAAAGTCAGTATGAGCCTAGAAAAACAACAGCAAAGGAGAGGAACTGGGCCGGGAGGTCAGAGATGCTCAATGGTGTGAGATAGGAAGAGGCAGGAGTGGTGTGGCAGGGGTGGGTTTGGGTGGACAAAGCAACTGCAGGGCCTTAGCATAAGTGCTGAAAGTTAGGAGAGAAGCCTCAGATTTTCAAGTCAGAAGATGAAAAAGAGATGAAGATGCCCAACAATGGAGAAAAAGAAAGGGGAAGAGTGTTGAAGGAAGCAGAAAAGAAACAACAGATGTGTGAGAAAGAGCTGATAGTGATGGCAGCAGAAGAGGCTGCAAAGCAATGGACTAGCACTTCTCTTGCCACCTCAGGAATGGGGAGAGTTTGGGCTACCTTGATGGGAGAACACAATCTTTTTGATAGGCATCACCAGCACTTTGAAATGTGCCTGGAAACAGACTGAGAGCCAGCGGTGCTCATGTAATGGATGATACATGGTCCTTGTCACTGGCCTTCATCACCCTTTTGGATCTGCTGAAATTTTTCACTCTTCAGAGACAGCCCCACAAAGAATAGGTTACAGTAATGCAAACAAGATGTGATTGCGGCCTATGTCACTATGGCCAGATTAAAGAACTTCAGGAATGGGCACAGCTGGCACATCAACTTGAATTATGCAACCCCCCCAACACGACAAAACCAGGAAATCAGGGTTGAATCCAGGAGTACATCCAAATTAGGAACCTGCCGCTTCAGTTGAAGTGCCACCCCATCAAACACACACTGAATCTATATCCCTTGAACACTCATCATTTTGTCTGGATTAACTCTTAGTTTGTTCACCCTCATCCAGTCCATTACTGACACCAGACTTTTGTTTAAGACTTATTCAGATTTAAGGAAAAGAGAAATCAAGCTGAGTGCCATCAACATACTGGTCACACTGAATTCCAAAATCTTTAATCTATGTTAAATAGTGGGGTGGGGAAGAGATGACAAGACAATAGCCCCAAGAGGTCCCACAAAACAAGAGAGAAGACATTGATCAAGAATCCTCCCAGCACCACCTTCTGACAATGTCCCTCCAGGTACTGAACCTACCAAGTTCTACTTCAATATCATGGTCAATGGCATTGGAAGGTGTTGAGAGGATGAGCAGAACTCAGAGGACTTGAAGCTTGATAGGTATATTGCACTCAGCAAAGTTCAACCTAATGGAGCCATGTTATTCCATTAGACTGAGTAACAGTGAGAACTGAAATGCCCCATGGAGAAGAGCCACTGATGAAGAGAAAAAGCCCACAATAGCAGAAAGCTTTCTGCCCCAACAAATCTTCAGTAGGTGTAGGCTTCTCTGCCAGCCCTCTCTTCACCTCCCCATGCATCTTCTTTTTACTTCAAATACTTCCTACAGATAGAGGAGATTCATCTAACAACCAGGAATAAAGGAGGCTTGCTAGAAGCCACTGTAAATGGGAGGTGGCAGCCTTGCAGTGTCATATTCTGTTGGCTTGGAAATGTGTCAAGCCACTTTTTTTTTTAATTTGCAAGAAGCATCTTGGTTTATGTCTAAGACAAACTGACATGAATATGCCACGTTTTGCAGAATATCATTACTGCCAATGGAAAATTGTAAGATAGGTATTGCAGTAACAAAGCACATCTTTCTTAGAGCTACACACACACACACACACACACACACACAAACACAAAGAGAGAGAGACAGACAGAGAGAGGATAAAATAAGGTTTACATTGGACTGAATTGTTAATACTAGTTTCTTTTCTTCAAATCAGTCCCTCTGACTTAACTGAAGGAAAAGCTGCAGTGTATCTATATCAGATAACCTCACACCACTGGATTTGCCCAGAATTTGGAGCAGATCATCTACCTGGTTTTTAACCTGTTGATTTTACTGCTCCCTGCTGGTTTTACCATTGCATTTTATTATTGCTCTGCGATTATCTTGTATTATTTATACTTCTTATCCTTGTCTGGATCATGTAAGCCATGCTGAGAGTTTGTTAGAGAACTGTGGCATATCCATATATTTTTAATAAACAAATATAAGCCTGTAGCTGACATAATGCTAGCAAATTCATGAAAAACTAATAAAGTTTGCAATTCTGCATTTAATCCTGTATACAGAAAAAAAGTTTGTTAAGTCTTCAGTTGCTGATGCTACCAACATTCATATTCTCTTTCAATGATGATGTATATTATTCCACTTGGCCATTTCTGCTTTTTGGAGTCCTCCTGCTCATTCTTCTAAGCACAGCCCTGGACATCTGCCCCAAAGTCCTGCTCTGAGGGTACTACATCACAGCTCATCAATATGAACAATTTGCTCCCTTTATCTCCTGTTGCTACAAATGGACATGCTTCCATGAAGCCTCATACGTTTGCTAAAGCCATCATCAAACTGGATTTATCTGAGCATGATATAAGGATGTCCAGGAGCTAATACTCTTTTCTCTCTCTCCCCCCCCCGGTATATCAGAACTATAGCCTCTCTCCAAAAGCAAAGAACTGGATAAGCTAGGAAAACTGCAGGCCTGAAGTGTACCAGTTGCTGGAGTCTCCCCCCAACCCCGCTGTTGACCTTTTTTACAACATCATTAAGGTTCATTCAATGGAAACTTACCTCATCATAATATTTGTTGGTATACTGGTAGAGCTGGTGTAAAGCCACAAGTGTGTTTAATGAGTCTGTGTGTGCCTATTAAATTAAATAAGAAGAAAAAGAATGTGTCAGAGCACAGATCTGGCTGCCTAAGAGCTTTAATGAAACATATATTGGTGCCCCAGACATGATGAAAATCCTTTTTCCATATCCAAGCTTTGGTTCTTAAATCTTTTAATAGCTGTCTGACTTGGTAAGGAAGTGAAACTGACAGTTCTCAGAACTCTCATCTTGGTTCTCCGCTGGATCTGCCATTACTGCAACGAAGGGAACAAACAAACACACACACACACACACACACAAAATCAAGTCCCAGGTTGGCTCCAGACATGTCCACAGGCCCTGTGAGCAAATGATCCCACAAATGAGACCTCAAGTGGTTGGGGATCTGAGAGCAGTCCTGCTGGATCAGATCAAATTCTAGTCCAACATGTGATTTTCCACAGTGGCCAACCAGCTGCTTGTGGGGTCAGCCCTTAAGCAGGGTGTCGTGGCAATGTAGAGGCAATATGTAGAGGTTGGTATGAACCATGATAGCTCCCCACTACTCAGGTTCAGCAGCACCCTCCTTCACTAAAAGGTGCACACAAGTGAACTGTCTCTCCTTCTGAAGGTTGCATACAGCTGAGGTTGGGAAATTTATTTATTCATTTATTTATTTATTTATTGCAACCCCCAACTAGCATGGCCACTGTCCACCCTGACTGGAAGATTCTGTGAGTTGTATTTTTAAAAGTAACTTCCCAAGCTCTGTATGTGCTATGATGCTAGTAATTAGTGAAATCCATCTCCTCCAGAAATTAGCCTAATGCCATTAAACCTAATAAAAGCTAAGGTTTAGATTGGTTCCATCCTTTGTAATCCTCTACTTTTGTTGTTGAGACTGGGTAAAGCAAACAAACAATGCAGGAGGGCTTTCTCTTTTTATCAGAACTAAATGGTAAATTATCTTTGAAAACACAGTACACAGCATTCTCTAAATAAAGCCATTTCAAACCTGATCATGTTTTCTCCCCATGGGCCCAATGCACAGTAAGACCACTATGGTTTTCTTTACACTATTATATTTATCTAAGCTATTAGGAATCCCAAATTTTGGAGGCAGAGAAGTGAACGGTACCAGCAAAAGCATGAATACTGTTCAAACCATCACATACAAACTATTAAAATGACTCCGGGAGGGGGGGACCCTAAAGATATGCTTGAACGTAACCTTCACAAGCAATGCCATATAACCTAATTGTATAGAAACTAGCTCAGAGTACAATGGTGCCTCGTTTAATGACAATAATCCATTCCGGGAAAATCGCCGTTAAGCGAAAACATCATAAAGCAAAATTAAAATCCCCATCTAAAGGCATTGAAACCTGTTCAATGTGTTCCAATGGGGTAAAAACTCACCATCCAGTGAAAATCCTCCATATGGCGGCCATTTTCACCACCTGTATAGCAAGGAATCCGTCCCTAAGCACAGCGGGGAGCCGTTTTAAGCACCTGGCGGCCATTTTGAAAACCCAACGATCAGCTGTTTTTGATTGTCATAAAGAGAAAATCGGTTCCCGAAGCAGGGAACCAATCATCGCTAAGCGAAATTCCCCCATTTAGACCATTGTCTAAAAGACTGTCGTAAAGCGGACTCGTAAAGCGATTGCAAAAAGATTGTCATAAAGCGGATTTGTCATAAAGCGGGGCAATCATTAAGCGAGGCACCACTGTATTCCAAAAGACAGGTACACCTTCCTCTTAGAAGAGAGCACAAAATGACAAACATGGCAAAAATAAATAAAGGAAAAACAAGTGGGCAAGCTGACGCATCCTTTCTGTTCCACTTTAATACTTACTCTAGAGATTTCTGCTAAATGTGTATTCATGTCTTGGTCACTCACTTGTACCATTTGGCGAATACCTTTGTAATAACTAGAAACAAAAAAAAATTATCCATTATATGAAGCAAGTTTTTTTTAAAAAAAAATCTTTACAATGATATTGTTACATTTTCCAAATAAATAAAACTTGACCAGAACTTTTAGGAATACTTGAGGAAAACTTTGCAAATGTCTGTACTAAAGGACTTGATCCCCTTGTTGGATTAAAAGGATTGGAACCTTGCCGTTTACTGTTTTTTCACATATCTGCAGTCCAACTTTCAGGAAACGCAGCAAAATAACCAGTTCAGTGGGTATTTTTAGAATACTTTTATAATTGTAGATTAATGTGGCAATGAGACAGAATTCTAAGTAAAAATATGCAGAAGTGCCGTGAATCAGAAAGACAGATCCGTCCTATTCTCACAAAGTTTCTTTAATACAGCATTCTATCAATCACGCCATGCTGCACAAGATGGAGGGTTTTGTTTCTTCTTTTGTTAAGCATGTAATGGGTTCAATCCATCAACCACAGCAACTACAAAACACCATTTACCTCAACAGGCCAAGCATGGAAGGGAAACACATATTGCAACCCCCCAGTCAAACTTCCTGTGAAGTCTTTCCATAAGCATCTGAACCCAGATTAGATTATGTTCCAAAAGTTTCTGTTTTGTTATTCCTGTAACATGTCATAGCAACTTCTATGATGCTACTTTTCTTCCCTACTGAATGTTCTATAGAGAAGAAAAAAGAATCAAAAACATGTACAAGGAACCAAAAAAGTAAGAGAGAGATATTTTAGATTCCTCAAATCTGCTAGAGTGTGCCTTTAACTTTATTGGCAGTATTATCTTTTTACATTTAACCGGTCTGTATTTTAAAATAATCACATGCTATGTAATTTGTATTATTAATTTTGCTTTGTTTTGCGGTTAATTTGCTATCAGGGTTTTTTTTGGGGGGGGGGCTTGTTCTTATGTTTAATTTTATATTTTAAATCAACAGATATGAGCTGCCTTGTAAGGTCTGAAAAGAGAATCCATCAATATCAAAGCTAGTGTAAATGTCAGTAAATATGTTTAGCCCAACTGCTATGCTTGTTTCTGGGTAGTAAAAATAATCTAGGAAATATGAACTTTCCTCTAAGCCATATGAGAAAAGTCACTGGGCCTCTCTCACCATCAAGAGAGACACAAACACACTTCTCTTTATACTTACTTTTCTACCATCTTCTTGTATGTGAAGATTTCTTTTGCATAGAGTAACTTGTTACTTGGAGAATCCTGAAAAATGGAAAACAAAACAAAGCAGAATTTCAAACCTAATTCATATGTTTAGTTTTAGCTGGCATTTTAGAGATCTGTGTTTCTGGAGGACCCACTTTCAACAAAATGAATGTGCTAACATAATATCTGGAAAGCAGATTTTTTTGCTTCCTTGTGTTGTACAATGTACAGTACCAACATAAAAGCTAATGGCATTTAATAAACAAGTGTACTCTATATGCTTGAATGAGACAAAATCCTATCTCAAGTCCATCCTATTCTGTGGGAAAGAAGAATCATTCTCTTTTCTTCATGAGGTACTGTACATTTACTAAAGAATCAACAAGGCAGTATGAAAACACACTGATTTTAAGCTCTTTCACACTTTTTAGGGAGGAGGAGATTCATATTCATCAGGTCTATGTATTTAAAGGTGTATGCACTAGCATGGATTATTAAAAAGGTGCTCAGTAAAATAAATGCTTTTGAAATATGGCATTCAGCAGAATTCTTTGTGTCTCATGGAGTGATAGAATAAAGAATGGAGAGGTATTTCACAGGGTAAGAAAAAAATAAAATTGACTATTAAGAAATTCAAGCTCTCATATCTTGGACACATAATTCTTCGTGATAAATATAATATTCCATAATACACCATTGAAAGGAACATAGAGGATAAATGTGGAAGAGGTAGAAGACATCTTGGATGAGTAACATCAGTCTGGGCTTCAGTAAAGAACAACTAATCCACACAGCAAGTGGAGATATGCTATAATGGTAGCCAACCTCAGTAGCTGAGATGACACTCAGGCATACAGAGTAGGATAGGGTGGGGAAACAACTTAAGGGTGTGGAGCCCCCCTCCCCCAAACCTCCTGGTTTGGCAATCCTGACATCAGGACGATGTCATCTACACCCCACCCCCCTAATGGCAGTGGATCTCTGGCCAAAGTGCTGGCCGCAACTGTTTCCAGCTAATACTTTAGACCACATGGGGATAGTGAGGTGAAGGAAAGCTGTGGGTAGTCATCTGAGGACTCAGTTTGGACACTCTGAGGACACTTGGCTTCTTGCTTGCTTTCTCCACATGGGAAAGGAAGAATGGGTAAAGGCAAACCCACTCAAGGGTCATAGAGGGCTCTGTTCTTGATGTGCTGGTTGAGCATCCTGTGCTCTGTCCTGGCTTCCTCATACGTAAGTGGGTGGGGAGGGGAAGCTGTGAGGCATTACCACCCTCAGCACTCTCTTATATTCAATCAATGAAAGCAACTGCTAACTGGAATTCCATCTCTTGCCCCACTCACTTCCCCACCTGGTAGAGTACATGATGAAAGGGGTGGAATTCCTTTTACTTCCAATCAGAGATAACACAGGGATGTTATCCACTAAATGTGATTCTATCCAACTGGGAGGAATGAAGTTTCCTCTGGAGCCTCTGGGGACAGATCAGGCCCAGAGACAGGTTTTCTGCACAGCAAGTAGAGAGAGGGGGGGGGGGAAGAGGACACCTTCTCCCATCACTATCTGAAAAAGACACACAAATGGGTGTCCAGGGGTAGAAAAGGAAAGTGCAGGAACCTGCCTCCCTCAAGGACCATAATTTCCATATCTTATTTTAATGTTTGTTGATGAAAACGTAACGGATAATGTGAAAAGTAAGAACAATCCAAACTCTTCTAGACACCTTCTAATCTAAACCACATGTAGCCAACGTGCCTGCATGTGGGCTACATTTAACTTTAGGGGCCCCGAGCATGACACAACTCAAAAACTACGGAGTTTTTGTAAAGTAACTTGGCTCAAAAATTCCCTTGTGTCCTTGATGTGGAACAATGTTTCCATGTTGTCAAGGCCCCTCAGCACCCCTGATGCCACCCTCTGTGCCAGTGTTTTAATTTTTTAAAAAATGGTCACTGAAGGGACTTGCACAACATCACCTTTTAAAGCATCCATTTAAAAATGAATTAGATACAGGTTGTGGGAACAGATGCAGCTCTCCCAGAGCCAGGAATAGGTTTGTGCAGCCTTTGGGCCTCTGGAGGTTAGTCACTCCATTCTAAATCCTGATCAAGTACATCTTTTTCTCCTCGTCACTCCATGTCACATATTGCTAAATACGCTTATGGCTACAGAGTATTTGTAATTTTATTGCATTGTTGTGCAGTCTATGCTTGAATTACAATAATAGATCACCCTGAGGCTTCTTCTTTGCTACCTCTAAAAATACTCATGGACTAATATAAATCCTAAGTTGTCTGGAAGAACAAATTGTGGATGTTTCGCCACAAACCTAACCAGAGATCTTTTGGCCTTCTTCCTTTCCTTCCTTGTTCCCTGCCTCTCTTTTTGATTTATGACACATTGATCTTGAATCAATGAGACCCAGTGATTCAGGGCTTTGTGTGTACCTTGGATTGTGCTATGGAACTTCTTTGGATTCATCACATTTGTCTTTCATCTTTGTTGATAGATGGGCAACAAATGGCCCTCCAGATGTTAATGAACTGCAGTTCCCAAGATTCTTAGCCAACACAGTCAATGGTGTGGGAGAACTGTAGCTCCATAACATTTGGGACGCCACCTGCTGCCCACTCCTGATGCAGGCACTTATTAAATGAAAACAAATTTACCTTTGAAAATACCAGGCAGCAAAGCAGGCAAGGAGGAAAGAAACTTACATGGGCTACATTTCCTGGGTACTGTAATTAATTGCCACATACAGATAAATGGAAACAAAAGCTTCTGGCAGGCTTTAAGACTGAAGGGGTCAGAAATGGAGGTGACAGTGCTTAGTACTGACTCTGGATTACCAGGAGCAGTAATGGCAAAGCAGATATGCATTAAGTTTTAAAAATTAACCTTCATACCTAACCACAACACATTCTATTAGAGAGGAATATGCAGAGTGGTAATTGGATGAGTCCTGAAAGCACCAGAACATAACCTGTTATGTATGTGTCGCTAAATATTATGTTTCCTGGACCCATGAAGCAGCATAAGCACCTTTAGAAGTAAGGCCAAAATGAACAGATTCGTGTACTATTTGCGACGATCACTGCATCATGCAGTTCGATGCCCTCCCTCTCCCAAAGACAGACAGCAGAAGGTAACATACTTACCCTGCTTAATTTGTGCTCTGTTCTTGTGCAAGCATCCATGAAAGTCTGTGCAATGACTGACAAAGAAGCATCCACTACTTCGTGAACATGAACATCAAAGATGAAATGGGGATTTTTCAGTATGTTCACCCAAAACCTAAGTGGCAAGCTATGATGCAGGCAAAGAAATAAAACAAATCCTTATTAAAGAAGAGTGAAGGGAAACGGAGAAAAGCAGCCCTGAGTCTTGACAAATGAAGGCTATTACTACGTTTTAAAGGGCTCCACCGTATTTTCAGTTTGATTACATGCTTAAATTCACTATAGGAATTGGTATCCACAATGTGCTCCTTTAATTCCATATTGAAATCATTTAAAAGGTTTAGTCTGATAGACACAGATGGCAATTCTGTTGTTTTAATGCTCCAGGACACCAAGATGGAATGAACAGAAGCTAGCTGTTTTGTCAAAAACTGCCTAGCTTGGTAATGCCAAAGTGCATATAAAAATTAGGATGCGGCTATTTAGTTAAAATGCAGACCCTTCAGGCTTCAAGCTATTGCTGAATAAATGGGAAAACTTAGCTTAAGAAAAAATAGAGGAATTGTCACAGTAAATATTGAAAGGGAATCATGCAGGCTGCCACACTTATTTTAGTTCATTTTATTTATATCCCAGTTTTTTTTTTTTTTTTTTTTTTTTGCTAATACCAAAAGGCAAGGGAGGTGGGAACATACTTTGAAAAGAACAACTAGAAATAGAATAAAAACTTTTAAAAATGTATCCGCGGCCAGAACCCTGTTGACTGTTGTGTGGCTCATTGTAGTTAACTGACAAGGTGCGGGCCAAATCTTCATTGTCTGGCTGGTCAAGTGCTCAACTGTGCCACCAAGGTGCATCTGGCACCTTGCCAATTAGCTGTGTCAAATTATGCAAACCTTAAGCAAACACAGCGTTCCGTGTCTAAGTCGCACTGGCCATGTGACCACGGAAGATTGCCTTTGGACAAAACGCTAGCTCTATGGCTTAGAAACGGGGATGAGCACCGCCCCCTAGAGTTGAACACGACTGGACAAAAATTGTCAAGGGGAACCTTTACCTTTACCTAAGCAAACACCAGTCAGATTTTAGTCAGTGTTTTTTTCCTACTGATTCTGGCCTGCTTGTATCACTTAGGCTCATGGAACATTCCCCCTTCTCCTCTGTTATCCTTATTCATTTGTCAATTTATATCCCACCTTCCCTTCACTGAACCCATTCATACATGGCTCTCTTTCACCTCATTGTATCCTCACAACTTTCTGAGGCAGGTCATTCTGAGCGTCATCCAGTCAGTTTTCCAGATTAGAGGGGATTTGTTTTTTCAAGCCCTGATCCATTCTTCTACTTTGCAAAGACATTCCTGTTGCATTTGCCCATATTTTTATGACTGCCACCTAGTCCCATAACCAAGCAACACCACATTTCAAATAAATTTGTTTTTCCCCTGTAAGCTTTTTTCAATGTTCAGTTTTCACACCCATACACAACAACTGGGAATATAATTGTATCGATAATAACAGAGAGACAGGCAGATTTGTTTTCCTCCTAAAATGGAATGCTGAGAGTGAGGGAAGTTTGGACAGTGGTGGTGGAGGACCAAGGGGAGAGAAAGGTAAGTGGACTTTTATGTAACTTGACTCTGAATGCTGTTCTGGTGCTGAATACAAAATTTGAAGGACAGCATGTGCTCAGAGGCACTATTGTTTCTTAATTACATGACTATGTTTTGCCCTCTTCCCCAAACTTTATTCTGCCACAATTTCTGGTTGGTAGATATCTAATAAAACAAACTTAAAGTAGATCCCACAAACATGCTCCAGGTCTGGGTAGTACAAGCTCAAACAACAGTCAGCAAAGAATAGTCCTCCAGATGTTTTTAAACCATGACACCATAACCCCTCACTATTAGATATGTTGGCTAGAGCTGTTCAGAATATATATGTGTACATTGAATCCTTTCTCTCTTTGCCACACACACACCGACAACTTACCTGTTTGTTTTCCAAATATGGATGGTATCTTCATCTTTGATATCATGCTTTTCTGCTTGCTCATCAAGAAAATCAAAGAAGTATTTAACAGCTGGTGGCACAACATGGTTGGAGTCAAGTACACTATGAAAGAAGTTATCTACAAACTGCTGAAGTGTACCCTGAAGGAAGGGACAAAACAACATACACAAATATATTACAAATTCAGGTTATACTGCAAGTGTAGCATTTTCAAGAAGATCAAATTTACAAGAACGCTTTCCAAACTGATTTATAGTCGCCCGCGCAGGGCTCTGTCCCAAATGACCAAGGAATCACAATAGCTTGAAGTGCAGCATTTTTCATTTACAAATGGGTAGTAAATGCTCTTGCAAACCACACGAAATGAACAACTATAAGAAAAGACCCGGGAAGCTTAGGAAAAATAATTCTCTGCTCCTTTTAAAGAGATGGGGAATTCAGCACTGTTGCTCAGGGAACCAAGATGACTATACTCTTAAATATGTGGACAAGCAAGGGAGAAAATTGATTGCAGTGTATAATGCACTTGCCATTGAGCTTGCTGTATACATTCTGACAACAGTGCCATGGATGTCTGTGATTTATTCCGATCATATTTCATAACATTTAGTAACTTCATAATAAAGATACAGTGTGCTTCTTATACCCACTGAGACTTTTTTCCTACTGTAAAGGAAAAGTTATTTTGAGAAAATCCACAGTTGGGTAGTAGCTTAAAACTGAAACCAAAATTATAGTGAAGTTTGACTATTAGTACTGTTATTCCCTGTTCCCTCTCTGCTGCCTAATACCAGCTCTGGAGCAACTCCTCATCCTCGAGCAGGTTTTCAACAGGGGGAGGAAGGGGTCCTCCACACGTCATTCTGTTAAAAGAAGGATTTCTGTCACAGGACTCCTCCTTTGGATTCCAGCCAGTAATTTTTTAGATTACTAAAAAATCCTTCATAAAGAATGCAGCTGAGATCCCCAAAATTTTTAGTCTGTCCAAATAAAGGTCTTAACCAGTTGTGGATTTAGGATTTGCTTTTCAAGGACCAGTGTGGTGATTTGGGCTTTTAAAGAAAATGAATGGTTTTCTTAGTATTAATTGGAATGTGCAGAAAACCACAGAGGACTTATATTACTCAAGAAGCTGTCTTGTGAAGGAGCCATGGATTTACACCAAGAAGTTGTCTTGTGAAGGAGCCATGGATTTACACAGAAAATACCTTGGACTTGGCCACATTCTAGTTGGCCCCGTTTGCCCTGCCACAGGCACTCCCAATGGGAGAAATGGGAGTGCCTGAGCACCTTATCTATGTCCTGAGAAATCTATATGTGGGATAGGAAGCAACAGAACTGGATATGGAACAAATTATTGGTTCAAAACTGGGAAAAGAGTATGACAAGGCTGTCTATTGTCTCCCTGCTTATTTAACATATGCAGAATACATCATGTGAAAGGCAGGACTGGATGAATCCCAATCCGGAATTAAGATTGCTGGAAGAAATATCAACAACCTCAGATCTGCAGATGCTACCACTGTGATGGCAGAAAGTGAGGAGGAATTAAAGAACCTCTTAATGAGGGTGAAAGAGGAGAGTGCCAAGAATGGTCTGAAGCTCAACATCAAAAAAACTAATATCATGGCCACTGGTCCCATCACTTCCTGGCAAATAGAAGGGGAAGATATGGGGGCAGTGACAGATTTTACTTTCTTGGGCTCCATGATCACTGCAGATGGTGACAGCAGCCAAAAAATTAAAATATGCCTGCTTCTTGGGAGGAAAGCGATGACAAACCTGGATAGCATCTTAAAAGGCAGAGACATCACCTTGCCGACAATGGTCCGCATAGTCAAAGCTATGGTTTTTCCGGTAGCGATGTATGGAAGTGAGAGCTGGACCATAAAGAAGGCTGACTGATGCTTTTGAATTGTGGTGCTGAGACTTTCTGCTGAATCTGCTGAGAGTCCCCTGGACTGCAAGGAGAACAAACCTATACATACTGAAGGAAATCAATCCTGAGTGCTAACTGGAAGGACAGATCCTGAAGCTGAGGCTCCAATACTTTGGTCACCTCATGAGAAGAGCAGACTCCCTGGAAAAGCCCCTGATGTTGCGAAAGTGTGAAGGCAAGAGGAAAAGGGGACGACAGAGGATGAGATGGATGGACAGTTTTATCAAAGGTACCAGCATGAATTTGACCAAACTCCGGGAGGTAGTGGAAGACAGGAGGGCCTGGTGTGCACTGGTCCACGGGGTCACGAAGAGTTAGATGCGACTTAACGCCTAAACAACAAGCCCTGCCTCATCACATTTTCTGCAGATATCATGCATACTCCAGACACCTTAATGTATAGGTGGTCAGCTCACAGCCACAATGGATCACAAGACTAATAGCTTAGAGTGTATCAAGAGAGGCAAAACAAGAGCAATAGATGCAAAGCTTACAACAACAAAGCTCACAGTACAATGTGAGAAAACTGCTGCTGGATGCTAATCTTAGCAAGGTGACAGAAAGAAAAACATAATTCAGCCAAAGTGGCTTTCCAAGGTAATCTCGAATAAATTTCCACCCAATGCCCCACAGATGTGTACTAGGCAAACTGAAATAAGTTGCAGAACACCCCCTCATCAGTCATATAGTACTAGAATTAAAGTAACAAAAAGCCAAATAAAAGCATGTACAAAAACATTACTTTAGGGCTACCGGAGGAAGAAACCCAAAATGTGAACACTGTTTGGGGGCTCATTTGCACTCAACCAGTCTGCTTTCAGAAGCTAAGCAAGGTCAGGCCTGGCTAATATTTTGGTGGGAGACACCAATAAAGATGAGGAAAGAATCCTCACCTGTGACTCTGGACAGCCCTGCCAATCAAAACAGACAATACCTGGTTAGACTGGTAAACAGCAGATTCAGCAGAAAGTAGCTTACAAGGTTTCTACATGCAGCCAGTCTAGCCTTAAAGGCATGTAGGTCACTTAATGTTAGCAGAGGACGAACAAGCTGAGCTTCAGACACAGTCATGCCAGAAGGGAAGGAAAGAGGAGAGAACAGTGAGAAGGTAGGCCAGTGGAGCAGTGTTCGGCCGAGGATCCATTTCATGTTTATGCCACAAGGACAGGTTGGTTAACATGACTTCTACAAAAGGTCATGGAACAATAAACCAGCTAGTCTTGAAGGGTCTCACAGCCTGTCTTGTTTCAAATGCAACTGCAATTTTGAGTGCAGAACAATGCTAGGTAGAATTCTTTGTCATACAAAAGTTACATAGTGTATTTTTTCTGAATCTGTCCAACAAAAGTAAATAAAACACAAAATGAAGACACTACTAATAAGCTGTTAGGCATGACAGCTTAATCCAGTGTTAGTCTAGACTACACCAGATCAACCGAATCAATGAAATCTGTGTATGCTTTGACTTACCAAGTTCCCATTGATTCAGTAGGTCTAGCTATGTTTAAATGGGTATGACTAAGACTGGATCTAATCTCCCGTTCTCATTTCCAAGCTCAGCACTAAAGAAACATTCCACACAGTGACTCATTATTTTATCCATTCATACCTAACACAGCAAATTAAAACCATTCCCAATGGAAAATGGCTATTAACTTGATGTCTCAATCTTACCTTCACAGAGAGAAGTCTTGTCAGGTAGATTTCAGTAATAGCTTTGGTTCTTTCTTTCTCTTTCATACTCCCTCTTTTTGATTTGCCTTCATCAACTTCATCTACTGGCCGAACTAGATGCCAAATCTTATTCTCCTCTTCTAATAATGCATGCCCTGAAAAAGCAATGCATTTTAAAACAACCAAAAATGCATTTAAATCCAGTGACTGTGCACCAGTCACCAAGTTATAAATAATGTGACAGAAGGCTAGAACTAAATTTGCATTTTAGTTGCCTGTAATTAATATTTGCAAACACAAGCATAAGGATGCTAAACCAAAAAAAAAAAAATCTACAGATATGCTGACATTCTTCTTCTTGGGGTGCTTTTATTTTCATAGTGAAAAAGCTGAACTTTCATCCACTTTGTCCCAAACTATGTTGAAAGACCAGATTTTAGTTTCTTGCATTTTCATCCTATGTTTCTCTGCTGTTTCTATAGTCTTGGTGGTGCTATTGTTTTGAAATCAGATACAGAAGTAAATTCTTGTATGTTTATAAGTATACTTGCATTCTTTTGTGATGCCAACTCACAGACTTATGGCAACCCTAATAGGGTTTTCCAGCTGTGTGTGATGTTTACAGAATAGTTTTATTATTGCTTCCCCCCCCCCCCCCGGCCCCAAGTTTCCATGGCTGAGCAGGGATTTCAGCCCTTGTGTCTTGAGTCTCAGTCCATCATTCTATCCACTACACTGCCCTTTCTCATCAGAGTTTCATTTAAACTTTTCTCAAAGTACAAATCATCATCTTTATTTACAGTTAACAGACTATTGATAAAACACATATTAATACACTAAAAATACAAGTTTAGAAAATGATTAAATGTTAAGTATATATAAAAATTTATAATTAAACAGGGATTAAAAGCACTCCAGCAGGAGAGAAAAATGACAAAACACATAACGTGGACTGGTTCAACTCCACAGAAATCTTCCCACCATTGTCATAGCTGTTGGAAAACGTACACGCCATATATCTAATCATGTTATGCTGAACTGCAGCATGGTCAGCAAGTCAATCGGCACAATGAAAGATATAAATACACAACTAATTACAACTCTGTGCATCAAACATAAGCAGCTTGACCTCTGAATCAGCAGGAATGTACTAACATCATGGCTAATGATTAACTGCACAATGGTCACGAGACTGAGAGAATACACAACTCTTGGTACATTGCTCTTCTTTGTTGCAAGACTGATTATTTGTGCAACTTGTGATGGAAATGGAATTCATGAACAGTGAAAACAAATGATGTGGAAGATTTACCTGCTTCATTTTGTTGGTAACATGTATATCCCCTGTTTATTTGTGAACAGAAAGGCTGGGATTTTTGCCTCCTATGTGTTTCAAAATGAAGACTTATAGCAGCAATGGGAGACTTTCTCCCAAGGATCCACAGGAAAAGTCAGTCTCCCTCCCACCAAAGCAAACTGTGGGCAAAGTCAGATCCAGTGGTAGGCACAGACAGAACCTAAAATGGGCAGACCTTGTACCAGTGCACAGACCATTTTCTCTGTCTCGCACAGCACCATATTCATATTTTTCTGTACCACCACATCCCTTTCTCCTTTTATTTTTGTAGCCCTTCACAGAAGACCAAGCTGAGGACCACAAGTTCCCCACCCAAGTGTTCAAGTCTGAAAATCAGAGTACTGTAGATATCACAAGAGGTAGTGTTATAAATGACTTGTGGTCATATATTACTTCCAGATAGTATACTGCAAGGTATGTCAGAAACAGAAATGTGGCCTTGAGTTTAATCTAGCAAGGTTTTCATAAGTTTTTCTGACTGCAATATGAAGTGAAGCTTTCTACTGTAAATTTCTACACTTTAAAATCAGCTAACACATACCTCTTATGGCGATTTATGGCAGTGAAAGAGAACTGGAGGGTGAACTGGAAATTTTCTGGTTCCAATAAAAGCTTAGGAAAAGTTTTAAAAACTTTTAAAAGCTACACTTTCCAAGAGATTCTCAGAGTTACAGTTCAAGACAGTTACTTTTTGAGGCTCTGGTTCTAGCTGTATCATACAATACAGTATGGAAGTAATACTATACAACACACCCTGCAGAGACAATCAAAACTAATGAAATAATGTACACAATAACCGGCTGGATAGCTCAGTGTGTTAGGTATCTGACTGAGGAGCCAGAGGCTGGGAGTTTGATTCCCTACTATTTCTCCTGTGAGTAGAGCCAGCCTATTTTGTCTTGGGCAAGCAAGGGAATGCTAAACCACTTCTGAGTACTCTCTACCTAGAAAACCCTGCAAGGGGGTGCCATGAGCCACAACTGACTTGATGGTACACAATAATAATTAATGTATACAATGCACGTACACATCATGAAATAGTTGCTATTAGCACTACCAATGTAAGAAACAGCAGTAGCAGACAAATCAGCACAACTGAGAAGTTTTATGACAGACTAACAAATCTTAGTCTATGGAGGCTGTGACTGATTTTACTTTCTTAGGCTCCATGATAATTGCAGATGGTGATAGCAGCCACGAAATTAAAAGATGGCTGCTTCTTGGGAAGAAAGCGATGACAAACCTCGACAGCATCTTAAAAAGCAGAGACACCACCTTGCTGACAAAGGTCTGCATAGTCAAAGCTATGGTTTTTCCAGTAGTGATGTATGGAAGTGAAAGCTGGACCATAAAGAAGGCTGACCGCCGAAGAATTGATGCTTTTGAACTGTGGTGCGGGAGGAGAGTCTTGAGAGTCCCCTGGACTGCAAAGAGTGGTCTTAACTGACCATATAGGTGGGATATAAACAAACAAACAAACAAACAAACCTATCCGTTTTGAAGGGGGTCAACCCTGAGTGCTCACTGGAAGGATAGATCCTGAAGCTGATGCTCCAATACTTTGGCCATCACATTGGAAGAGAAGACTCCTTGGAAAAGACCCTGATGCTGGGAAAGTGTGAAGGCAAGAGGAGAAGGGGACAACAGAGGATGAGATGGTTGGACAGTGTCACTGAAGCTACCAATATGAATTTGACCAAACTCCGGGAGGCAGTGGAAGACAGGAGGGCCTGGCATGCTCTGGTCCATGGGGTCATGACTTAATGACTGAACAACAAAACAAATCTTAATCTCCAAACTAGAATGCCAAAAAAATGGGGCAGGGGGAACAAACTAAGTTTTCTGTAAGAAAGTTCCACAAAAATAAATGGAAGCTCCACAGGAGTAGAACATTTATGTAAACTCTATTCATTTCAACATGAGATTTGGAAATGTGGAATATTATGGAAGTTAGTTCAATAGACCCTATAATCTCTTTCTGGAAGAAAAAGAAAGGAGAACCATTGTTAAACCATTTGGCCATTATTCTGCCTTTTTTTTGGAAAGAGATGTGAAAAAACAGCCAATGAAACAAAGAGCCTAAGGATACAAAAATCCTTTTAATATGCTGTTTTTATAAAACTGTCAGGGGTAGGCTCTGCATTCAGGCCTCAAAACAACCTATTTGGGAGAGGGGGGCTCAAAAACTATTTTATGTCTTTTTATGTTACAAATCATTGCCAGCTTGGCTGTTGCTTTGACTTGGCCCTCTTAACTCGCTTTCCAAATAGATAATCTGGTTTTGGATAATTCTAAGAGATCAATGCAACAATTGAAAAAAAAGAAGATAGCTAAGAATTAAGTAATACCTTTCTATAAACTGCAATTAAACTATAGTGGCAATGCAATAATTGTTTGTAACTAATTACTTTTTAAAAGTAACATTCTATCTCTGATTACACCACCGCAACTCATTGCCTATGGACAAGTTTGGCAGTCACACGTATCTTTTTCATTAAAACAAAAGCAAAAATGCCATTTTTATTTGGGGTTATATATACACTGGAAAGCTTGATAGTATTTACCAGCTCTTTGTACTTTAGTTGTTTACAAATAAGCATATGCTCAACTAAAGTCAGGGTAAAGATAGCCCCCATGATAACCAATGAGAATCAGTGCCCTATGTTCTTTTTCCTACTCTGTCCACACAGGAAAATGATAGATGGTGAAAAGACAAAATCCTGAACTATAGAAATGGGATACAGGTCCCTTCCCTTTGCCAGAAACCAGAATAGCCAATTGGTTTGTGGTTATATGTGCTCAAGATTCAGAGCATGCAAAATATACCTGATAAGACAAACAAACTAGGAGCAATGGCAAATCACATTTTGTTCTTGCTAATATATTTAACTTCTGTACCAGAAGACACACACACCCCTTTGCATGTCAAGAAAATAATCCTGATACAGACGCTCTTTCTTTGTTGCTTCCTGCTAACAGCTGAGCGAGCTATATGAAACAGTGGGGGGCATATCTGATAGAGAGGCATGTGTGTAGGGGGTGGCATGCAGTCATTAGAGCTGCAACTCATACAGTCCTGCTCTTTTTCAGGGAACACATGAAAAAGATTTACATAAAAACAAAAACATGAAATAAATAAAAACTTGAAAAAGATGCATGCAAAGAAGCAATTCAAGTAAGCAGCATTAGCCACAAAACAAAACAATCACCTTTGAAAATCCTTTATGTAGTGGGATGCTCTCTTTAGGCAACTTTAAAATTATTTTTTTCCACCAAAGATGGAAATCATTCTGTGTCCTGCATGCTCACTATAGCTCTAGCAACCAGGGCCAAATCAGAATGGGGGCAGTACCAACATTAACTATTGCCAAGACATTCATTTTTTTTCAGTTCTAGAGCCTTAAAAGGACAAACACATTGTACTTACTTTCTCCTGGCATGTCTTGTTGGTGATCTTCTGGCTGCTGGGAAACCCCCATTTTTGACAGGATGAGAGTAGCACCATCTCGCACCTTCAGAAAAACAGACGGGATGAAATAGTTGAAGATAGCAAAAAGACATGTTAGTTCTATCATGTTTGTGAGTGATATGTAGTCTGGGAAATTATTAATTCACTATCTCTTGCTTGTTTATCTTTTTCTTACAGTGCCTTTAGTTCTTTTACATGTGGCCATGGTATTTCCTTGATTCCAGTACACTGGGCACTCCAAACCTGCATCAATTTGTGTGCAAAGAGCTGTGCCCACCTTTGAAGTGAACTAAGAAAGATCTATCATCAGAGTTTCTAATCAGAGCTAGAATCCATTTAACGACTGAAATATTTTTCTACTTCTATCAGGCAATTCAACCTTTGAGCCTTGAAATGCTTTGAATATAGGGAACTGACATTCACTAAAGAGCAAAGAAGATGTGTTGCATTCTTTAAGTTTGAAAGTCTTCCTGGAAGCACATCTTGCCAGAGGCATACTTGACAGCCAGTCTTGTATACTGGCATTGCACAAAGCACACTTTTATCCTGAGCGAAGGATGTGTCTTGGTTTCCAAAGAGGTTGTGCTATATAATTGCCCAGTTGCAGAAATGCCAGCTTAATTTTGGAGCTTTTTAGGATTTCCCGCTTGGCCTTTATAGGGCAATAACAACAGCAGAAAAAAAAGTCGGCTCATAGATCTGATGAGAAGAGGAGAACACACTGTCTCGGCCAAACAGCCTTTAAAGAAAAGCTGTGCACTACAAATGAGTAATAAAAAGATACTATAAACCATTCCAAAATGCTTCCTTACATTATAGTGCATCAGGGTATTGATGCGTTTCCATCTGCATTCTCTTTGCGATGTTAAATCCAAGTCTGAGAGTATCTGTGCCGTAGAACCTGGACGCCATTCTAAAGGGCATATAAAAAGATAAACTCATTTTACTGTTGTGCACCTGAAAGCAATATTCCTCAGAACTACGGGTCTAGCAAACCACTGAACCACTGTACAACTCTAGCATCCACTCTCTCGCAACAATTTTTTTTTTAGAAAAGAACAACAAATCCTCTCTCTGTTGTTAACAAAATACTAGAGTCAGAAACAAGTCTATTAATACAATCTTACTCTTGTAACATTATCTGTCTTACCATCCTAAACACTTCTGGTCTCATAAGATTTCAGAAGCTCAGTCAGGTTAGGCCTGATTAGTCCCTGGATGGTAGACCACCAGATAACAAGAGGTTTCTCCTGTTATTTGTCTAGGAAAGAATCACCTAAAACCCTGGAAAGCTGCTCCCAGTCTGATTTGACAACGCTGGGCTAGGATGACAAATACTGTAATTCAATGTAAGGCAGCTCCCTACATTCTGTGCTTTGATTTATATGCAAGCTAGATTGAAGACAATCAGTACATATAGGCTGCAAACACATCATAGTTTTTTGGTGGAAAATACAACATTTAACAGTGATTCACGTTGTAAGTAGCCAAGCAAAAAGTTTAATCTAAGCATCCAGTTCTTTAGAGATCAAGAATCCAGCATTACTAAAAAGGTAAGTTATTTTAAGAACAGGTTGCTCACCTGTAGCTGTGGTTCTCTGAATGGTCATCTGTTCATTCACAAATAGGGACTACTGTTCTGTACATGTACAGGACTAGTCCATATGTGTGACCCATAGACACCACAACAAAGAACTAGATAATCATGACCTGTGAGCTTGGGAGTGGGGGGAAGAATCATCACTACTCTCAACCAGTTAAAAGATATTTGTTTCATTGGCTACTCAGCCGAATTACAGAAAATTACATCAGTGTATCTATTTGTGAACAGATTTTAAACCAAAGGCTTTGTTTGCAGGAAGAATAACAAATGTAAAATAATACAAATACAGTAATTTACTGAATCAGTTCCTCTTGCTAATATCACCTCTATGGCAACTATAATTTTAGGAAATTCCGTTAATAAAGCAAGAGCAGAAACATACCAAGAACAACACTGTCAGGCTTTGGCCACTGTGAATAAGGCAGATTTCGATAGACTTGGTCTATGATCTTTTCCTTCACTTGAGAAATAGTATCACAGTTGAGCACTTTCACTGGTACAGGCTCTGCGCCTTCATCTTGTACAATCACATTTACAGTCTGGAAGATAGGAAATTCCATGATTTCAGCAAGGAAAAGAAAATTAATGCCGACATTCACTTGAAAACGTTAATTCCCAAAGACTGAAATTGAGACAGGCTCTACAATTTCATGTGTGCTCCCACTGCCACACTTGGTTCATATGTTTGCGATGGAAATGTGGGCCATACACATAACTTCTGTTGTTAACTTGTCAATGAGCTCAATGAGTTTTCTGACCATTTTCTTTCCTACACTGAGCACACATAGAAAAGAGCCTTCGATGGATTTTCTTCTTTGTTAAGTTTCTGTGCTTCTGGTACTAGATCTTAAAGACAGGTTTTAAAGAGAGACAAGCAATCACCACAGCTGGACCATGGCTGTTTGGATAAGTCAATTTAAAAGGTATTTTAATAGAAAGAGATACCATTTATTATTTACCACTCTACTAAAATAGCAAGGAATGTAATCCTCAGGACAGTCACAATTGGTGGGGATGCTTAAACCTGATTCTAAAGGCACATCACTTTGTCATAATACTATAAACCTAATTTTAAATTAGATATATTTAACCCACAAATAGCCAGCAGCAAACTCAGTTTAATGGAGTCCTACAAAAGCCAACATTTGTAGAGTCCTACAAATATTGTACAGCATTTTAGCAGAAGTTGGGAAAACAAACATCTATGTCTCTGTGATGGGGGCAAATAATATTTGAGGGTTTTGAGGAGGTACACTTGCCATTCCCTGGACTGCCTCTTCTGGTACCTCTAATGTCATGAAAAGATGTCCCCCCCGCAATGGCAAATCACGCCCCACCCCCCAAAAGCACCAGGGCAGTCTGATTTGACAGGTATATGATATGTTATACACCAAGATCTCTTTCAGAACAGAAAATACTTTTTTTCAACATAAGAAGTGACCGATAATGCCATCTTTTGGACTAAAATAAGCCCTGGTGAACAAAATTATACGAACAGAGCAAACTGCAGCTCTGGGGGTCACAGGCCTTTTTTTTTTTTGTAGGGGGGTGCCATTGGATGCTAGGAGGTACAATTGCCCAGAGACCTACACTTCACCTGCTCTATTTGATGGCAGAGGGGTTGTATCACTGCGGAAGATCTTTGTCGTGGCAAGAAAGTTTAGTGATATGTATCAATGATCATTCTGCTATCTATGTCCAGATTTTTCTTGGAGACCCGCTTCGCTCCTATTTTGCAGTTTCATTTCCTTCCCAAGCCTCTTTATCTATATGAAAGAAGGGTGCTTGGGAATGTACAGCCTGTTTACACCAGATGTTTTAGGCAGACACTCAAGATTATCTATTTGATGATAAGAGTACCCAAGCTGGACAGTTACTGAATGTTTTTGGACCTTGAAACTTGCTTTTGTTAGAATATTGCTAATTAATCAGATGTTCTGCCATCATTTCACCAATTAGTGAAGTGCAGGCATAAGGAATATTAGCTGTACACAGATAAAACTAACAAGCAGGTACAATTGATTGCTATGCTAGTCTGAAAATATATAAAACCTTGGTGTCCCTATTTAACCCCCAGTATATTTGTAAGTACTGGAAAGCTGCTGCATATCTACTGACTTCAGGAGTTGTCCACTAGCTATCCTCCAGTTCCTGGCAAGCGGAAGGGGTGTAAGGTTATTCTTTCTATCTACTTCACTGCTTTACTACTCATGTTCTCTGTTCTACTGCATCTTTCATAATGTTTCTCTCCCCCCCCCCGCCTCCAACAGATGTGTGCTTGTCTCCAAATGTAAAATGAACCTCTTGCGAGCATGGGCAACACTGGGGCTACCTTGATTAAAACGTTTCTGCCAATACATAATGTATTCTAAGCGATTTCTTGAGCTGGAAGAACATCTACATAGCAGAAGATTCGGATAGAGTGAACTGGCATAAGGAGGAATCCCAAGCAGTGACCTTGAACCTTTAAAAGAGTAATAAGAGCAGCCACTGATTGTATGGATATGTGAGGCGGCAGTTGTACATGATTGATTTAACTTGGCATGGTAAATTAATTCTGGCAATTAACCTTACTAGTGATTACTCTTCTTGCTGTTAGGCATTTCAGACTTCCAGAACAAAAGGATAGAACCTACACAATTTCAGTAGACCTTTAACCAATATGAGAAAAAAAATGATGGTGTTGATGTATTTTAGTTTTACCTACTTGGAGATACAGCCCAGAGTAGGTGTTTCACATTTGGTAGAGCAGATATAGAGTAGTAGGGAAATTTTTGATGGCATGTATTGGATCGTTTAAGAAAGACCAGAAGCTCATAATGGTTCCTTTAATTAAACTTTCTTAGTAACGATTTCCAGAGGAGTAGTTATGTTAAGTCTTTGAAGCAGACTTCAAAGGCCAAAATCTCACTGAATTTTTATGCTGCCAAAATACAACTGGAGCAAATCTCAATTGTGATTTGCCACAAGTAAGAAGTTAATATCCGGCTGGGTTGGATGAATCCCAAACCGGAATTAAGATTGCCGGAAGAAATATCAACAACCTCAGATATGCAGATGATACCACTCTGATGGCAGAAAGTGAGGAGGAATTAAAGAATCTCTTAATGAGGGTGAAAGTGGACAGCGCCAAGAATGGTCTGAAGCTCAAGATTAAAAAAACTAAGATAATGGCCACTTGTCCCATTTCCTCATGGCAAATAGAAGGGGAAGATATGGAGGCAGTGACAGATTTTACTTTCTTGGGCTCCATGATCACTGCAGATGGTGACAGCAGCCACGAAATTAAAAGACACCTGCTTCTGGAGAGGAAAGTGATGACAAATGGAGACAGCATCTTAAAAGGCAGAGACATCACCTTGCCGACAAAGGTCCGCATAGTCCAAGCTATGGCTTTTCCAGTAGCAATGTATGGAAGTGAGAGCTGGACCATAAAGAACGCCGACTGCCGAAGAATTGATGCTTTTGAATTGTGGTGCTGGAGGAGACTCTTGAGAGTCCCCTGGACTGCAAGGAGAACAAACCTATCTATACTGAAGGAAATCAACCCTGAGTGCTCACTGGAAGGACAGATCCTGAAGCTGAGGCTCCAATACTTTGGCCATCACATGAGAAGACTCCCTGGAAAAGCGCCTGATATTGTGAAAGTGTGAAGGCAAGAGGAGAAGGGGATGACAGAGGACAAGATGGTTGGACAGTGTCATCGAAGCTGCCAAGATGAATTTGACCAAGCTCCAGGAGCCAGTGGAAGACAGGAGGGCCTGGCATGCTCTGGTCCATGGGGTCACGAAGAGTCGGACACGACTCAACGACTGAACAACAACAACAAGAAAAAACTGTAGGCACTAACGTCTTAACTTGCAGCAATTCACCAACAATAATTAAGCCACCAGCATTATGTTAGCCACTGTAACTAACAGCATTTTAGCTAATGAATCTTATACCACCTTAAAGACTAATATGTTTTATTTGACATTGCGTTCAGGGAGTTTAGCTCACTTAATACAGCTGAAGAAGTGAGTTAAAGTATACAACACCAGATATCAAATAAAAATTGTTAACATTTAAGATGCCATTGAACATGTTCCTAAGTAGCAATGCTAGCAGATTATAGTATTTGCAGTAATCTGAACTAGTAAAAACATGGGTTGGGGCCAACACATGGCACTTGAATCTGTTGGAAGTTCTGAACCCTAGCTTCCTAGTATCCTGCATGACTGGTTGGAGCTAATGGAAATGCACTGTAGTTGAAAACATATGAAAGGCACCATGTTTTTTATAACAGCATTTATAAAGTGAGACAAATAATGATTAGTAAGAATTTTTATAACATTCTGGACTGTATTTTATATGTCTCTGATTGTCTTATTTCTCTGATTCCTTTTTCCCTTGGAAACTGCTGCATGAGACATTCTTACAAATAGCTTTCCCCATTCCCCCACAAACATCCCTTATTCCCTCAGGCACATTTTGGTAAGAAAATATATTAAATATCCTTTCAAAGAGCACTTCGAAAAAAATTAGTTTTTAAATTAAGTCTCATCTAACACAACAGACATGTCATGAACAAAATGAAATAACTTCTACCAATGTCAATAAACATGATCCCACAGCAAGGGGATTTTATAGACTCTCCCCTCCGCCCTTACTGTTTTGTAATACCCAATCCTGGAGTCCATGTATATTTGCTACATTTGTTCCTAAGTAAGTCAAAAAGAAAGTACAAGTAACTTTTGCAAATATACATTTTAGGCATATTTCACAAAAAGAAAAAAAAGGAAAACAAGTGGCTCCTAATTAATTAGATCAAACATATATCGAAAGGGAATTTCAATATATGTTTGATCTAATTACAAACTGCCTAGGTACTGGCAACGGGGCATTTCTCCCTAAAGTAAACAGCAACTACAAAAGAGAGATTTGCTTCCTGTGTTCATCCAGGGAGTATTGTATTAAATTGCCTCCTCATGCCTGCTCTCATCTAAGGGGTTATCAACTCCTTTAGCACACAGCACTTGGCTTTAAAAACCCCCAAACCATCCTGAAAATGATCATTCTCAACATCATCATCATTATTTGGACACTTAAAGGCTCAAAATATCTTGCAATAAAAAATTAGACAATACTTTGTACATGAAAAACAACGTACCTTGTAAAATAATATTTCCCACCAAATAAATTATAAGAATAATCATTTTTTCGAAAGCCCATTGTAAAAAATTGGACAAACATATACCATTGTGTGGGCTGTACTGGGGACAGTGTCCCTTAGGCAGGGGATCACAACCAACAAAATCCTCTCCCTTGTCACTACCCTTTTGAGCCTCCCTCAAAGGTGGGAGTTGATTTCAGGTATATGAGAAGTTTGTCAATTCTAGTCAGCCTCTGGAATTTTTACAAATGGGGGCCAATTGAGTTCCCTAATGTTACCACTGTGTACAATACAGTGACTCAGCAGGAATGGAGGTAAAGGTAAAGGTAAAGGTTCCCCTTGACAATTTTTGTCCAGTCGTGTTCGACTCTAGGGGGCGGTGCTCATCCCCGTTTCCAAGCCATAGAGCCAGCATTTTGTCCGAAGACAATCTTCCGTGGTCACATGGCCAGTGTGACTTAGACACGGAACGCTGTTACCTTCCCACCAAGGTGGTCCCTATTTATCTACTCGCATTTGCATGCTTTCGAACCGCTAGGTTGGCGGGAAGGGGATGAATGAAATTAAGCCTTAAGATTGCTGAATAAGAGAAAAGAGGCACTTGAGCAGAATACAAGGGCTACAGAGGAAGTTGGCATTGAAGGCTTTCTGTCTTGGATACAACATTGGAGAGGTGCGCAGATTTGGGTTTTTGGACTACAACTCCTAGAATTCCCCAGGCTACACTTCAAAAGCCCAAATCTGCACACCTCTGCAACACAAGATTGGTGAAATTATGATATTAGGAAATCACAGCTTCCATGGTAAATTAGTAGGGACTGTCAGTTTAAGAATCTATTTAATCCAAAGTCCAATGGAAGCCAAACCACCAGTCAAGCAAGAAACAGCACAACTATAAAAAATTAGACAATACTTTGTACATGAAAAACAACGTACCTTGTAAATAATATTTCCCACCAAATAAATTATAAGAATAATCATTTTTTCGAAAGCCCATTGTAAAAAATTGGACAAACATATACCATTGTGTGGGCTGTACTGGGGACAGTGTCCCTTAGGCAGGGGATCACAACCAACAAAATCCTCTCCCTTGTCACTACCCTTTTGAGCATCCCTCAAAGGTGGGAGTTGATTTCAGGTATATGAGAAGTTTGTCAATTCTAGTCAGCCTCTGGAATTTTTACAAATGGGGGCCAATTGAGTTCCCTAATGTTACCACTGTGTACAATACAGTGACTCAGCAGGAATGGAGGTAAAGGTAAAGGTAAAGGTTCCCCTTGACAATTTTTGTCCAGTCGTGTTCGACTCTAGGGGGCGGTGCTCATCCCCGTTTCCAAGCCATAGAGCCAGCATTTTGTCCGAAGACAATCTTCCGTGGTCACATGGCCAGTGTGACTTAGACACGGAACGCTGTTACCTTCCCACCAAGGTGGTCCCTATTTATCTACTCGCATTTGCATGCTTTCGAACCGCTAGGTTGGCGGGAAGGGGATGAATGAAATTAAGCCTTAAGATTGCTGAATAAGAGAAAAGAGGCACTTGAGCAGAATACAAGGGCTACAGAGGAAGTTGGCATTGAAGGCTTTCTGTCTTGGATACAACATTGGAGAGGTGCGCAGATTTGGGTTTTTGGACTACAACTCCTAGAATTCCCCAGGCTACACTTCAAAAGCCCAAATCTGCACACCTCTGCAACACAAGATTGGTGAAATTATGATATTAGGAAATCACAGCTTCCATGGTAAATTAGTAGGGACTGTCAGTTTAAGAATCTATTTAATCCAAAGTCCAATGGAAGCCAAACCACCAGTCAAGCAAGAAACAGCACAACTACAACATGTCTGCTATTTGTTCCTAACTTCCGGTGCTCGTACAGCTTACAGCCTTTGGGAGATCAATTATTTTGTTCTATCTAAACCCATTCCCCCACCATTATAAGCACTATGTAGGTGTTCAGCCTATTTATGCAGGGCTAAAAATGAGAAGGAAACCAAGGCTGACATACATTTGCTATCTCCAATATCCTAGAGTTCTTGGTCTTCCCGCCTCAAATAGGGATGGTTGTAGGTATTTTGCGCACTCTCACTCAAAAGCAAACAAAACCCTCCAAGATGTTGGGAATTCTGATTAAGCAGGTTTTTCTCACCATGTGAAAAATGCTCCTAATAAGTGAGTGAATGTCAGCACAAGCCCACCATGTTAGACCTTCCCCTCAATATGAGAAGGTTGGGAACTGAGGAGACAAAGATGGGGATACCGAATGAGGACTTTCGGCATTCTTACAAATGGGAACCTATAAAGTGCCCACATCTTTTCTCCATTTTCAGCTCTCATGAGGGGTAAGCTGAAAATGCCCAGCTTCTCATGCCTTTAAAGGAGGCTGGGGCATTAAAATAATCATCTATAGTTAGTCTTTGTAAGAGAGAATTCACACTGAAAAGTATCATTCAATCCAAGTTTTTTAAGGACCAAAATCCTGAAGCTAAACTATTCTTTAATTTTACTTAGGACCTAGCTTATAGCATATCTCAAAGTGGTATATAACAGAAACTTAACACAAGTAAAAACAGCTTAAAACAGATAAACAATATAACTAATTAAAACCCATTTAAAACTGTACACTTATGAGATATTCTACATCCAGCCGAGGCCAAGATCCTTACATTCCAAAGGCTTTAGCGAGCAGTCATATTTTAATTTGGCACAAAATTAAAATCAACATCAATGCCAATTGCACCTCCAAGGGAAGAGAATTTCACAAGCAAGACGTGAAGGGCCTCTTTTATGTATGTCAGGTAAACAAAATTAATTGCTTTATGCTCCCATTATTGTTACGAAGCACTGCTTTATCACCCATATTTTACATAAAAGACATTAACTGGGAAACAAAGAAAAGTGAATTTCCTCATTCATTATTTAAATTAATAGCCTCAAAGAAACACGGGAAAAACCTACGTACCAGTTGAGAGTATTCCACATCATCTCCCAATAATCCAGTGTCATTCAGTGTGTATTTGGCTTTCATCTGCACAGCATCCACAGGTCCTTTTTCCACCTGATGTTTGATGGCCTTGAACAATTTATAAAGAGTCTCTCCAGCATTGTCCTGTTATTGGTGAAGGATAGTAAGATTTTATGAAGCACTTTTCAACAGAGAAACAATGACTGTGTTCAAATATAATCCTAAACCGTGCTCTGGGGTTAACCAATAGCCACAAACCTCAGGCTTTTGTACTCCATTCTTTCCCATCATGATAACCTCCAATCTTGGTATGCAGCAAACCACAGTGTTCTATTTTATCTGAACTGAAGACCTGTGGTTTACAATTGTCTGCAAACTGGGACCACAGAGCTAACTATGGTCTGCAGGGATCAGAAGGTACTAATCTATACACACAGAGCATATATAAGCGAAAAACTTATTTGCATTACGATTGTTCACTATGACTGAACATAGTAAGTGTAAAGGAAGTATCCATTTCAGATTTTACCTTGAGGTACTGGTACAGACAAATGGACATCCAGTTGGATAGCATCCTCTCCACTACGGTTTCTGACCTAAAACACAGGAAAAAAGCACATGAGGAAGTTGTAACTACAGTATGTCTACATGTATTTATTCAATAGTACAGCTGTTGCTAGAATCTCCCTCCTGTGCACTTTACCCAACATATACTACCTGTGTAGGGACAAGCTATACAGCGGTATCAAGTTCAAATCTCCTCTGTCGTGAAGCTTACTGGCTGACATTATATCAATCACCATCTCTTGACCTAACCCATTTCACTAGGTGGCTGGGAGTATAAGTGCAGTAAGAGAAAAACAATCTTCACATGTGCTGTGAAATGTAAATAATATTCATAGTTGGGGAATGTTATTATTATTTTTAATTACTACTCTCCAAACCCTCAAACCAGCATGGCCATAGGCCTAGGGCAACTTTTCCCCACCTCTGGAAATACCGTAAATGACTATCAAAACAGGATTCTTTTTTAGTGCTTATTACAATAAAGCCCATAGAGATTCATTCTGAGAAATATCTAGTGTAGCAGCTAATGTAATCTTCACCTTAGCAATACACTTATTTAAAAATAAGTAATATGTTGTCACTGCTGATACAAAAGCTCTGTTTATCTGTTTTCATGTGCTTTGCTTGGATGGCTGTTGGCATTAACTATCAGTGCAGAATGGTGATGACAACACCAGCAAGAAGCAAATTTCAGTAATTAAAAATTTCCTATTTTTGCCTCATGGCTTTTTTGGCTCCTATGTAATCCCTTCAAATCATGTGGGAGCTGCAGGAGCCACAGGCCCAAAGGAGGAAGTATGTAACTACCAAAAATTGCTAATGATAACATTACCAGAAGGGGCAGGTTTTCAACAATTAAGTAGTTTCCACTTCTGTCCTGCAGCTTCCATGGCTTCCATCTGATGACGGGGATTGATAAGAGCCAGAAAAGCTGAAGGACAACTGTAACATGTTTTGAATTAACATCATCACCCTTCTGCAGGCCTAAGATATACAACAGGATTTCAGCCAGTAATAAGAAGTAGGGCTACATATTTAACAGGAGCACGAAATAGTTTAACTTGCACTACAGTGGCTGAAAACCTGTTGCTTACTGTATTAAGTTAGAACCAGAATAGGCCACTGAATCAACTTATGGAAGAGACAACTCACTGAATACCCACTGACTAACGGGCCTGCTCTATTGCAATGTACTGTACTAGGCAACAGGATTTTAGCCTATATTTGTTAAACTTAAAATCGAATCCTTAAATTATTAAGAATAAAAAGAATAGTGTATTTTCAAACATGTGCCAAAGAATAAATACAAATGATTTGAACAGAATGACACTATAGACAGAAGGGAAAAGAAAAAAACACACACACCACAAACAGACTGTGAATATGGTAGACCATGCATATAGGTAAACTTTTAATTTTAAAAGTAGATTAAATATATGTAAATGATCAATATGCTATTTTAGCAGAGTAGACTTTAAAAATAAATGACCCACATAGGGCATTTGTCAAGTTAATCAACTGTTCTAAGCCCATTAAGAAATCTAATTGCTTCTTTAAAATTTTAACTGTGACTGCCTACCATTCAGGATATTGAAGTACAGTAGTACCTCGGTTTACGTACGTAATTTCTATTTTACGAACGGAAATCCGTTCAAAATAATGCCTCGGTTTATGTTTTTGTTCAGTTTTTTTCAGTTTGCAAAGGACATTTCCCTGTGCCTGGAGGTCTGTAGTATCGCTGCCGTTGCTATGGCAATCTGCATTTCAGTTTATGAAATTTTCGCATTACGTAACATTCCGGAGAACGTATTAATAATCATAAACCAAGGTACTACTGTAATCACTTTAGACAGCAGATGCTGGGTGATATGAGTGGGGTTTGCTAGCCTCAGGTGAAGCCAGGTGAGGTGGACAATGCTAACAGTATCAAGGTAACTTTTAACTGCCAGTCCAAGCGATCTGGTTAAAAATAATCAGTGTTTTTCCACTGAAACACAGGCAAATCCCATTGATAGTGGATTACTGGAGAAATTTTCCCTACCTTCGGAGCATCAGTTTAGGATTTTTGGCCACAACATACTGCTCCATCAGCTCCAAAAACAAAGTCCTCATGATGTCTGTATAGTATTCTAACTTCCCATGTAAAGCCACAGTCAAGAGAGATGCAAAATATACTTTTTCACGGGCAGAAAATTCTCTTTGGTTTTCCAACGTATGAATGAACTAGACAAACAAAAACAAAAGACCACAGGCATGTGCTTGAACCACAACTGAATGTTGTTCTTATTATTCAGTTTGGAAACATATATATATATTTAAAAAAGGTAAGACAAAAGTAGCAAAATACATTCTATTCTAACAGTACTCTGGTGTTTTTGGGCACACAGTTTGATACTGTCATTTCACTGGTTTATTTGGCAGGCTGTTTGTCATCTGTCATCAGGTAACCGTTCTGAACCCTGCAGTATTACAATGACAGATGGTGTGCATGCTCAAGATCCCATTCTAAGTTTAAAGTTTGAATATCAGCTTGCCATATATATTTCTTTTCAAAGAGGGAAGAAAATACAAAATACATTATAAAACGGTCTCCTGGAGACGAAGGTAGCAGGTTGAAAGTTGGTATGCCTATCCAGCACCTCTTCTTAGATGTTGTGTTTGAAACATAGCCAACAGGTATAATATATTTATTTAGTCTATGCATATGCTTCTTTCTACACTGTGGAACTTAAGGCAGGTTACATGGATTCCCTAGTGGTCTGTCATCCAGGCACTAATCTGACTCAGACCTGCTAAGAATGCTTGGACTATGTCTGCTCAGACAACGTTCAGGATTTATTCGCTACAGACTGATGAAACATAAATGCTGAAATAAATGTGACTAAGAATAAAATCTGTATACTTCTTAAACAAACCCACAAATATGTAAAATCCACTGCAGTGCAAGAACTGTCTTGAAGACTGAGGTACTGGAATGAAGTTTAGGATATATAACATCATTTTTAATTTGAAGATTGAATTGCCATGCAACGTTTGAATGAAGCAAAATATGAAGACTATTCTTTTTCAGGACACACTGTACTATATTTGAACAAAATTACAACTGTATATTTCCTCTGAAATATTGAAAATAATTAATCAAAAAAAAAAAAGGAAAAAAGAGAGAGAGAAAGAGACAGGAACAGGGATCTTTAACACATTTCTCAACAAGTTTCAAAGACAATGAAAGTAAGGAAATGTACTAAGTTTAATTTTCTTCTGAAATTTATTTAAATAACTAATAGATCTAAATGGGTAGGAAAAAACAAATTACTGCTTTTATTTAAGCTTTATTCCAAATGGCTACTGCAGTGAGCAAAATATGTGGGTAAAGTTAAGAGGGAACAATGTTTGAATGGAACAGTAGATACTCTTTCAACAGAAATGACAGGAAGAGGGTCAAAATTATGTAAGATATTCTTATACTATTCACACAGCCTTGCACATGATGCTAATGACATAACACATGCAAACACATTCTGTTTTTCAAATCAGGCCAAGCCATCCACCCTGCAAAACTGTGACTTTTTATTCTGTACTCACATTAATGAGAAATAATTTACTATTCAGCAGATTGGAGAAATTATTCAATGCCTGCTCTACAGTTGGTCGTCTAGCTTCTGGGATGTCCAGTTTCCCAGTGATCATCACGTCTTTTTCTCCATCTTTGGATGGTAGAAAGAAGACTCTGTCTGTATAGGTTTTATAGTCCAACACAGGAATTCTTGCTTCATTGATGTCATTTGTCTGATCCTCCATTTCAATCATTAGATCTGTAATAGGCAACAATTTTATGGTTTAGTAGGAAACATAATATTGGTTCTTTTTTTGCTGCATTGAAGGAAATAATCTAATATGTCTATCTTTTCCATTACGCAGTTTTGAAGTATTTTTACCTTTCCAATGTTATCTAGAAAAACTGGCATCTTAAAGCAAAAATTGTTTTTCTAGTGGTACAACTGCTTCTTTTTCTGAATTAGTTAAGGGGCTGCAGCAGGACTTGTTTTAACTTATAAACTGCCCAGAGTAGTGTATGGACTAACAGGACAGTATAAAAATAAAATAAAATAGATAGACAGACGGACAGATAAAGTGCACACATAATCCTGATCATAAATTTGATTGTGAACACACTGGTGAATAATCAATCTTAATTTAGCAGATCCCAGATGAATGCCATCTGGAGTAGACACCACTTCTCTCCTTTAATGGCCCAGAATCAAGAGGTGCTATGGCACCTATAGATGAATACTGTTTGCTATGTCTATAATTTATGGTGTGTTATGTTTCCCACCACAGAACCCACAGAGGCTGAGATATCACACTATGAGGCAAGAGGTGGCATCTGAATCCAAGTCTCCCCTTAAACTGAGCCAGTGCTTAACAATCACCCATTAGTAAAATGTTTCTGAAACTTGAATTACAGGAAGGTAGCTATTGCATGCAGAGTAAGATGTGGGCCTAGTCCAGTTTTCCAAAAGCTCTGCCAAGTTACCTCAGAGCAGACATGCCTTTAAGCTCAGAGCAGGAAGACAGGAATATGCAAGAGTTAGACCACCTCTTCCCTGTTTAACATCTAATATTTTGGGGGGTCAAGTTGAGAAAGAGAGGAAATGTTCATACTGGTATCTACATCGCATCCTTGAGCTGCTCTCAAAAGGGAAAGCAGAAATATGCTCACTCCACACACTCCATTGGGATATAAGGCTATTTAGGTGGAAGACAAGATCTTATGCAACACCATAAAAAGGTGTTTCTTTGTCCCTCCTCTACCCCTGCATTACAAAAGCAAGCTTGTTACTCTTTGTATAGCCTTGTATTGACTCTCATTTCTGGCTCATGCAAGATTGGACAGCACGCTGGAAATAAGAAATGCATGAAATGAACAGATAGGACCTGTTTCAGGTCCCTTCAGAGATAGCCTGCTTTGAAAGATTTAGTAACTTCCCATTTTATTACTGCAGTGTGCTATATGGCTACTTTTGAAGTAAATTTGGAGGCTACAACTAATACAATTTTTTTTGGCTTGCCTCTTTACAGGCAAGTCACATGAAGCATATTATTAACATCTTAACTCACTGGGCTTACTATTTGCTTTTGAGTCCAGTTCAAAGTGCTGGTGATAACTTTTAAAAATTAAAATGGCACAGGTCCAACATACCTTAAAATCTCTTTTTGCTCCAAACTTGATGGGGGAAAGCTTACAAATAAAATAAATTTGTTAGGCTTAAAGACTCTACAATACATTTGTTCTTCCTGTCAATATGGAAAGTGTTGTTCTGCATCCCATCTTTAAAAGGGATGAGGGTTTAAATGGAGCACTCCAGAAAAAAAAAACCAGGTGGCATTTGCAGCAATTTCTGCTGCGGCACATGAAACAAACCCTTCTGCGGTTTAAAAATGGTGGCCAATGTACATTTTGTTTTGAACCACAGTAGGGCTTGTGATTGGTTTCTATGCCCCTCAGAAGGTGCCCCTAGATGAAATGCTTTGGGGAACCCACAAATTGAAAGACGGAGAGAGGGATACACAGAGACACACGTGCTTGGGTGGTTGGAATGCTTCGGAGTTGCACAACTGATGAGAGCTCACCATTAGGGCTTTGGATGAGGTGCCCTCTTCCAAGGGATTTCTATTGCCACCATTGGATGTCTACAGCCCAAATCTGATCTTTCTGGGTCCTAGTTTTCTCTCTTCCAATCCCATCGCCTTTATGGACAGTCACCTTCTGAGGCTTGATGTGTGCATTTATTTAGACTTGGTCGCTCTGACATGTACTAATAGGAGGAATCCTATCAACACAGGACATTGATACATGTGGGTTCATGCCTGTTTGCAGCTAATCTGCCATAAATACCTTTGCTGTGGATTATTACAAATGTGTAGTTCTAGCCATAAATTGCAAGGGCATGGGGCTTTCACCGAGGTGGCATTTCCTATCTGAAAGTAGAAACAGCTGTATTTTCAGCAATCTCTTCCAGCAGGCCGATCTTCCTTATCTTTAACTAGTGCCTCATGTCCAGCATTGGAATTTTTAGTTGGCTGAAAATTCACTGTAGAATTTTAAAGGATTTTACTCTGAGCTGCATTTAACTTTGTTGTAAGCTACTTCAGGCATTATGTGAATGTCATGGAATGCTGCATAGGGATATTTAAATGAGTCCTATCTGGAACTTGCAGGTCATCATTCAATGAATCAATTAAGGTGCACACTTAGGTAAATTAAATAATTTTCAGTGTACCTGATAAGAACAGAGGTTACAAAAATTTACAAGTTTCTTGCCATGAATAGCAATGTTATAGAATATGATGCAATAGGACAAGAATACATAATACTAAGTATGAGCAAATAAGATAAAACACCTGGCTTTTCTACAATAAACACGTAAGTGTGTAGATTTTTGGATGGCTGCTAAAAAATTTTAATCCAAGATTCATGGCAGTATTTGTTACAAATTTCTTGTACATTTTGTCTGACACTGCTACAGTAAATCTGCTATACTATTTAAATTACTTTTTTTTTATAGCTATGGTTTTATACTATCAAGGAGATAAATAACAGTTGATGAAGAAATAAAGCACAACGTTCAATAGCCCGTAACTACTCTAATGGCATAAAAGAAGGTTATAAGCTTCATCAAATATTACTGACAACACATCAGGTTAAACCAAGTACTTTTAAGTTTTGACACAGGGGACAATTACTTTGTCATGTCATGTTAGCTGGAGGGCTTCTGGTGTCCTGAATGACTGGAATACCAAGGTAATCTAATGGCCTGCCATACCAGGAGTTTGAATTGACTATATAACTCTCTTTATTCCAAAGTTCCAGTACTCAGAGAATAAAATACTTTCTGGTGAATATCTTTATACTTCCTGTGCAAACTCTATGGTGAATTGTAAAACTGATTATTCAGTATAAGAAAAGGGATGAAAGCAGGAAAGGCAGCCCAAGTCTTAGGGGCAGGGGGTACAGCAGAAACTAGATGGGAGCTGCCAGGTATAAAGGCAATATACCAGTGATTCTCTGTGACGAACAGAAAAAGATGCATTGATGTCAAACGATGTAGTGAAATATATAATTGTTCTTTGATTTTAAACATTATGTACAAAGTGATTTTGGCTGCAATCTAGTACAAAGTGTTTAAATCGCTCTGAAAATGGGATCAACAGCAGAGCTGTGTGCAACACTGCAGCTCCTGAACAGGAAATTTCACTGTTAAAAGAACACAAAAAGCAGGGAAGCAAAAAAATAAAATAAAAAATGATTTCATTCTAATAATCAGGTCATCTGTTTCTTTCGTGACATTATAGCAGATTTTTATTTGTAGTTCATTGCTTCAGAAACACCTTACTTTCCTAATAATTAAATTATATTCAGAATTTCCTGTCTAGCTGCTACACAAGTTTCAAAAAATCTCCTAATGGACTGTGAATGGATTCAAAGTCCCTAGCAGAAACATCCCGGGAATAAAAGATGCATGATTCTTTCTCTGCTGCCAATTTAGCTCATGCTACTTATTATTTTCCATTAAAATAAAATCTTTGTTAGTTTCTTTTACACACACTTTTATCGAAGGCCACTGGATCTAATTGCCAGAAGACTATACAGTGGGTATGTTGACATGCTGTAATGAAGAACAGTTGTGTCTTCAGAATATTCTCACAAGACATTTTAAGGCAGACAGTAACAGAGTAGAAGCACATCCTGAAATTTCTCTGGAGAGCTTACAAGAATCAGGCATCAGTCATACCTGTAAATTCCTTTTTGCACCGGTCCCTGACGCTTTCCTCCAAGCCTTCAAGTTGTGATTTAATTTTTTCATATTCTCGTTCTGCTTGTTGGCTCTTCCTCCTATAAGGAATAGAAACAGAGTGCGTGGAAAAGTTACAGTCGATAGAAAAAAACATAAATCATTTTACAACACAGCTGTGCAAAATTCTTTAGAAGTACAGCCTTCCTCCTTGTGATAATTTAAAAATGAGAAAACAGAACAGATAGAGAGAAAAAGATGGGCTAAAATTTTACACTGGTGTAAAATTTACATGGCTGTATTGATTTTACTGTGTCAAGGGTTGCTCACAAACCTACTCCAAGGAGTTAAATATGTCAATGTCTTTCAAAGAAAAGAGGTGGCTCCTAAATGAAGTTGAATTATAATCACTACTGGCTTTTCCATGGCTTGCTTATGAAGTTGGACTAATAGCTGTATCAGAAGAAACTTGCTTTTATTCAATATGCTTTTTAAAGCTTAAGCTTAAGTAGCTTTAAAGGGTGAGACCTAGCTAGGTAGAGGTTCCCCTTGACATTTAGTCCAGTCGTGTCCGACTCTAGAGCGTGGTGCTCATCCCTATTTCCAAGCCGTACAGCCAGCATTTGTACAAAGACAGTTTCCGTGGTCACGCGACTAGACACGGAACACTGTTCCCTTCCCACTGAGGTGGCAGCTATTTATCTACAGTGGGGTCTTGACTTGAGAACTTAATCCGTATTGGAAGGTGGTTCTCAAGTCAAAAAGTCTGTAGGACAAGTCTCCATTGACCTACAGTGCATTGAAAACCGATTAATCCCGTAACAGGCGGTTTTTGTTCCATTTTGGTTTTTTTCTGGTCTGTAAGTCAATTCTCAGGCTGCAAGTCAAACCTAAATTTTGCGGCCAGAGAAGTCTGTAACTCAAAAAGTCTGTAAGTCAAGCCGTCTGTAAGTCAAGGGTCCACTGTACTTGCATTTTTGCATGCTTTCAAACTGCTAGGCTAGCAGGAGCTGGGACAAGTGACGGGAGCTCACTCCGTCGCGTGGATTCGATTTTATGGCTGCTGGTCTTCTGACCTTGCAGCACAGAGGCTTCTGCGGTTTAACCTGCAGTGCCACCACGTCCCCTAAGACAGTGGTTCTTAACCTTGGGTTATTCAGGTGTTTTTGAACTGCAACTCCCAGAAACCCCAGCCAAGCTGGTGGTAAAGGCTTCTTGGAGTTTCAGTCCAAAAACACCTGAGTAACCCAACTGCCCTAAGAGACCTAGCTACCTGTGGCTAAAAGGGGAGTTATCCACATCACCCTCACCAAACACACATCTGCCTTGTATAAGAAGCTCAGAAAATTTATCACATGCCAAGATGTTCAGTTTACCACACCAGGAAGGCATGCAGAAATGCTAAGCAGGTTTATCCCTATCTCCTTCATTTGGCACACACTTATGCACATACACAGGTACAGATTCAAGACAGATGTGCAGCATCAATGATATCTAACCAAATGGAAGGAATGTTGTATTTTCTGTTTCACAGAAAAGTACATGCATGAATATAGGGACTACTAAGGAAAAAAAGTTTGTCACACTTCTCTGCAGGGATATTTTACCTCACCATCAGCTTTTCCACTGACACTGCAATAATATTTGAAGACTGAAAACTGGATCTTACCTGTAGCAATAAATTGAGGTGAAGATAATGGCCACCATAGGAATAATTACCAGTGGCAAGATAAGGCTCAGTGGCACGTCACTCACTTGGGTATACTCCACTCTTCCTAGGACCCATTCTTTGAAGCCAAATTTCACCTAGATAAATCATTGCACTTCATAAAGCTAACAATCAGATCATACAGGGCTATTTAAATATGCATCAGGATGCTTTGATTCATGGCTTTTTTTCACTAATTTTTTTAAAAAAATAGAATTCAAGTACCCAGCTCGTAATATATACGAGTACTATAACAAATTCAAATTTACAAAATTATACTCCAGGTATCTGGAAGAACATAATTGTCTAGTTATCTCATTTAGTCTTTAAAAGTAGAAATTCAAAATGGCCAAACTCCAATAGAAGAAAGACACGTCAGTCAATAAGGAGAACAAAGACACAGACTGGCTTTATACCAAACGACATGGCTCAGGAGCATCCATTCACTGAACTTTGCAGAGAATCTAACTAGCTTTGTTTTCAGTTTGCAGCCCTCTCATGCTTTCCCTTTGCTTCTCTCACACCCCCATTTTTTAAAACCAGGAAATATCCAGTAAAGGGAAAAATCACGATGGAATAGCTCCACAATGCTTTCTAATCATAAACATTTGGAACCTTCAGTTTAGATGCTGCCTCTATCTCTAGACAACATGTAGGACAAAGCAGAATGTCCCCCTCCCACCCATGCTCCAGGAAGCACAAATAATGTGTTCAGGGAGCCACTTTATTATTGTCACTTAAAACAAGATACCCTGAATGCAACACTCTTTATATATGTCATTAGAAACACAGAGAAAAGTGACTTACAATGAATTCTGGCAGGTTATTAACTGTATCTCTCTTCTGTCTTCGCTTGGGTGGGGGTTGTTCTTCAGGTGGTTCACAGTATAAATCCTTCTCGGTCAGAGTTGTTATGTGGCAGGGCTCCTCTCCTACAAACGCACGAGCCTCATCTATTGTCATAGCTTTGTTCAGATTACTACCCTAGACAGAAAAAATGAACACTAAGCCATTTTAGCTATCAGCTTATTTTCAGGGTGTTTTGAGATGAGTGTTTTGGGCGGTGGTGGACAGAGGATAGAAACTTCATGATTAATACATTAATCTTTTCTGCAGTTTCATCTTAAAGCAGAGATGGGTTGGATATCTATGTGGAAGAAAAAAAATACTCTCCAGGAAGCTGACATAGATTACCTCACTATGTTCTTGTTTGTACAAGCTTTTTCCAGCTGAACAAAGAGAACATAAGCACAGATTCATCGTAATACCCTTCCATCCCCTTGTGGCAAAAGGAGGTATGAAGATGTCCAAACAATGTCAGAGAAGCTATCTAGAGAGGACTAAATGGCAGTTTTCGGTAGCAGATAAGATCAGGAAATCCCAGTGGTGACAAACAAATCAAGAGTTATTTCTAGACAGTGCAGGCAGAAACCACTTCCTTAAAAGGCAGTAGCATTTTTCTCCACACACACCCCCATCATTTTGTACCACTATTTTGAAAACAGAAACAAAATTATTCTGACCAAACATATTTCATCATGTTATGTTACATAAAACAAAACAAAAAAATCCAAAGTATTTTTTGGCAGGTAGACTTGGAGAAGGACCAGGAGAAAACAGTCATTTTCCCAGTACACTTACCTTTGCATGAATGAGTTTGTTGACCTGCTTTTTGACACCATCAGTGAAGTTTTCAAAGGTTGGATCAGCAACATACTGGAAGTCTTTTTCAACCTGATGACCATCCATTTTAATAATTACAGCAATTCTATAATTTTCTGGATCCTCCAGTACTGGTGGAGATAAGAAGACTATTGCAGTGTCATTGATTTTTGAGACAGTTTTGCCTTCAAACTAAAAAACAAAACAGAGATTGGCTATTAGTACTTGGAACTGCCATTTCCCTATGTCACTTGATAAAGCACATTTTACTGTACTGTTTTGAAGCTAAGTATTTCTGTTGATGAAACTGCGTAACAGTAAACATTTCTCTGTGCTGTGGAAACTGTAAAAACCCTGAAACAGCTATCTCGTCAACCTTAATGATTTCTAGGCATGTCAGATTATAACTTCCATCATCCTCAGCCATCCATGCACCTTGCTGCCTAGGGTAGAGGAAAATAATAGTCCAACAGATGTGGAGGGAAGCAAATAGGGGACGTCCGGCCCACAGAGACTGAACAACATTTTGAGACCATTTGAGAAGAGAGGATAGTAGATGTAGTTTAGCATACAAAGAGGATTCAGTGGTGTCTTTTGAAATGCTCGATACATTTTTAACACTGTCCCAATTGTCACCCTCTTTCCTACTATCAACACCTAAATACTATTATTGGTATTTGATACTGTACTGAATTTAATTTCTCTGCAGCGTGCTATACTGCTGCTCATCTTGGCATAAATGTGGCCCTGGCTCTTGGAAGTTACAGAGGAATGCAGGGTTCTATCAAGCTGGTAAGGCTTTGCGTATGGCCTCAGAAGTAGACTGCTTTGTTTGCCATCTGAGGAGTTCAGGTAACAACTGTGATGCTTACTATCAGAAGTCTGGAAAGCGATGAACTGGCCACTGGAATTATACCCATAATGAAGTGGAATATTGGTAACTGCCATCAGCAAAAGGACTACCGATAATAATATCACAGCTATTCAAGATACACAAGGCAGTATCGAGTAAGTCCTTCTTGGCCTGTTCAAGAAATCATTTCCACACCAAATTGTATGCACAGTTGTGCAGGTTCGCCATCTCCAGGTGACCCATTAAAATCTTCACAATATGACAAGATTGACATCCTATCATGTAGGAGGCTCATTAGAAAAATGGTTTACCTTAACTGAGAAGAGTGCAACACCTGAGTTATTTTTGACTTTTTTTTGCACTTTGAATATTTTTCTCCACTGAGTAAGTATATTCAGGCTGTTCATTCTACTGCCTGTTATCAAAAGGTTTTGACAAATGTAACTATTATTTTAATTCTGGCTTGTTGACAAAATATGGCATATGGACATTTTAAACAATTATTTTGGAATTGTTCCTCAGTTTTAAAACATTTTTTTTTATTTTTATAAGCTGGAATCACAGTATCAATTCCTAAGATCATGATCTGAATCTCATAGTAAGATCAGTCAGCAGTGCAGGGTACCTACGAGCCCAATGTACCATGAGCTTCTAAATCTACCCATATGCCAAGAGATTTCTCCGATCAGTGCATACAAACAATTAATAAAATAATAATAGCAGACTTTTAAAAAAAGCTACCAGATTACAAGTCAACAATGCCAGGCAAATTTTTGTCAGGGTCTAAAAATTACAAGATAAATTAGTAAATGGTGACTATTATTAAAGACAGAGTTTGGAAGAGTTGCTAATTTGGACTAATATTCCCCAAATTCCCCATCCAGAAGCGTAACTGTGAAAACTGTTAAGTCTTCCGAACTCTTAGGAAGTCCCTCCTGAGCTTCTAGATAGCTACCAAAACTAACAAGTATTCTGAGGATCTGAAATAGGACTGAAAACCTACTCTGTGGCAGAGGTGGCACAGCAAATGCAGAGCCGTCTAGGGGAGCTCTTTCGGGTGGTCAATGGCCTGTTGCACAGATGGCCACAAGATAAAATGATGAGCCCTCAACAGCCTGCTGTGAAGGGTATGTTTGGCATTTCTCAGATGCTTGGATCTGCTCTGACTCAGATGGTGCAGTTGACATAGGTTCTGTCAATATAACTTGAGACCCTGTTTGTCTTGTTATAGGGATATGATTCAGTTGGTGCAGTCTGAGGATGCAGACAGGATCTCTGGAGAGGTGAAAGCCACCACATGTGTGCTGGGCCCTTGTTTTTTCCTGACTTATAAAAACAGCCAGAGGGGGACTGGCTGGGTGCATTAGGAGAGTGGTGAATGCAACTCTAAAGGAGTGTCTAAAGGAGATAAGTTTTGCTTGAAAAACCCTCCTTGAATCCCAATGATTTGGATAATTATTAGTCAATTCCAACATTCCATTTTTGAGCATATGGTGGCACCACAACTCCCAAAAGTTCCTGGATGATGCAGAGTACCTACCCTTTCCCCCTGAAAATAAGACCAAACCTGAAAATAAGCCCTAGTATGATTTTTCAGGATGCTCGTAGTATAAGCCCTACCCCAAAAATAAGCCCGTTAAGTGAAAGCCCACGCTCGACCATTGTGTAGCAACCAGAAGATGATGACATGACTGTATTTGAATGAATGTAGATTGTTGTACATGAAAAAAACCCTGAAAATAAGCCCTAATGTGTTTTTTGGAGCAAAAAATTAATATAAGACTCTGTCTTATTTTCAGGGAAATATGATAGATCCACTTCAGTCTGGCTTAAGGCTTGGTTATGGAACAGAGATGGCTTTAGTCACCTTTGTGAATGACCTACGCTGGAAACTGGACAAAGGGAGTGTGTTCCTGTTGGTTCTGCTGGACCTCTCAGTAGCTTTCGATACCACTGATCATGGTATCCTTCTGGGGTAACTTTCTGGCATGGGTCTTAGAGATACTGTCTTACAGTGGTTCTGATCCTTTCTGGATGGCTGAGTTCTGAAGTGAGTTTGAGGGAATCCTATTTGACACCCCTGACCATTGACCTACGGGGTCCCCCAGGATTCAGTTCTATCCCCCATGTTGTTCAATGTCTACATGAAACTGCTAGGGGAGCTTGTACAGAATTTTGGGGTTCAGAGCCATCAGTAAGCTAATGACACCAAACTCTCCTTTCCATCTGATTCCAAGGAAGCTGTTCTGTACCTAGACCAGTGCATGAGAACTCCTGGACAATCACAAGGCAAATCAGGGGATAGAGATCCAGCTTTTACCAGATGGGGTTACACTCCTCCTGAAAAGTGGGGTCCGCAGAGTGGATGTGCTCCTCGACTCAACTCTAATCTTGGGAGCACAGGTCTCAGCGGTGACCAGGAATGCCTTTACCCAATTAAAACTGGTACACTAACTGTGCCTGTTCCTTGAGATGTCCAAACTAGCCATGGTGACACATGCCTTAGTTACATCTCTCTTGGATTATTGCAATGTGCTCTACATGGGGCTACCTTCAGCTGGTTTGAAATGTTGCAAACAGACGGCTGACTGATGCTGGCTGTAGGGAGTGGGTAACTCTCTTATTACAACGTCTTCACTGGCTGTTATTCTGTTTCTGGACTTGATTAAAAGTGCTGGCTATTACCTATAAAGCCATTCACAGCTTGTGTCCAAGCTATTTGAAGGATCATATCACCCCCTATGAACCTACTGGGCTTTTAAGATTTTTTGGGAGGCCCTCCTCTTGGTTCCAGCACCTTGTCAAGCTTATTGGGTGAGGGCATGAGATAGGGCCTTCTTCGTGGCTACTCCAAGGCTTTGGAATGCACTGCCCTGAGAAGCCCCTCCCTCTTGCCCTTCTGTTGCCAGGCAAACACCTTCCTTTTCAGGTAGTCTGAATAAATGGGGATCTGGGGAATGCTCTATTTATGAAATTTATGTAACGTTACATCTTTTTAAAATCATTTTTTAAAAATATGGGTAAGTATAGTAATTATAGTAATCTAAATTCATTATGATTGTACAGTTTTAATTGTTGTGATCTGCCTTGGTTTCCCTATGGGGAGAAAGGTGACATTTAAACAAGTCAGTCAGTCAGTAAATCCTGTATAGGCTCTCCCTTCTTGCTATAAATAAGAAACAAAGGTTACCTTTTGTTGTTCCTCTATCTCCCTCTTCCTCCTTTTTGAAGATATATCTCCAAAAGGCTTAAATATAACTTCCACAAAAAAATTCTGAATGATATCAAAACCAGCACCAACTACAGTAATATTTCGTCCTCCACTGAAATACAAAGCAAAGAAAACATTATGTATACTTTCTACTTGTGCTTATTTATTTATTTGATTCATATATGTTCAACTTTGCATAAAAGCCACTGCCTTAGTTGTTTTACCCCAAGTATTTTGTGAATGGAAAAGAAAATGAGACACAAACTATAACTGAACTTGTTAGGTCACCCTTGGAAGAAGATTAAAAATATGATGTCTCTTTTCTAAAATATTGTGCTTTTAGCCACATTTCTTTCAAATTTCATGCCTTACTGATCCTCCAAAAATCCTCCAAACCAATAGTAAGTTTACTAATGCGAAGGTTCTCAAATCGTGATATACCATCTATGTGTAGTCTTGCATGATCAAAGGTATCTGTTGTTGCTTCCTATGATAGCTAACTGAATTATGTAATATCGACATCTGACAGGGAGATCAGAAAAGCTTTTTCTTTGGGGACACTGGCATAATTTGGTTTATCGGGCTGACTGGCTTTTGTGTCATTATGTACTGGCTTTAGAAAAGTACGGGATACTTTTTTTTTTAACCATCAGTCAATAAATTGATACGCCATGTGGCTCCAAAAGATGGTGGGCAGCAGTTCACCACTGTAGACCCCAGATGATTAAGACAGAAATACTAAAGCAAATGAATAAACACTAAGCAATTATGAAACATATAAAAGGCAGAAAGAAATAATGTTTTGGTCACATAAAGAGAATATAAAGGTAGACATTGTTACAGCTCATTATTTCGGGTAAAATAAACAGGAGGAGGAGGAGGAGGAGGTGAGCTTATTGGCTGAAGACCATGGGAGCCTGGTTTAAATGCAGTACAATGTAATTGTTTAGAGCTGAACTATCCAAAGTCAAAATAGTCACGAGGACATCCAACCTCTAGTAGGATTGGAACTACCTCTGGTAGGATTAGAACACAGGACATTACTCCTTACCACAACTCATTCCCTCCTCCTGCCCATCCCAACTCGCATTTTAGCATATGAAGCCATACAATATTTGCGTCAATGTGGTAAGGTTATGTCACCTGCTGGAACACTGAATCACTAATGCATGACTAATGAGAGTGGATGAGATTTTGGTCAAAGACTGTTTTCCCTCTCACATACTATTTGGCATTTCACTGATTGCTTACTCATTGCTTTTCTGTAGATATTACTCTGATCCTGTTTAGTACTTTAGCAAGTCTGCACACCATATAGCCATATGCATAAGGAACATTAGAAGCAAATTCTCCTCAGAAGATCTACTAAGGCTGTTATTTTGATAGCTGTTTGGATAGCTCAATGAGGCTGCAGAGCTAGAGGTTGAAAGTTTAATTCCCCCCATGCCTTCTGAAAGGAGCTAGTTTGTGTAACTTTGGGTAAGTTACACAGTCACAGAGCAGCTCCAGAAGAAAGGATGGTAAACTGCTTTTGAGTACTCATTATGTAGAAAACCCTGGAAAATGCTGCTGTGAGTTGAAATTGACTAGATAGCATGTAATTATTATTTTTTTCTTTTTTTAATGAGTAAACATACATAATTTGGTTGAGGTGGGTTATTTCAGGATCAGTCCAGCAAAAAGGACAGCACCACTAATTTATACTACTAGGATGCACCATTGTTGGCAAGAAGCATGCAACACATTAGGAGTTTCATTTTCTCAGACCCAAGTAATTTGTTTATTGCCTGGCCATTTTTTTTAAATAACAGATTTTTCTTGAAAGACTGCTGCTACAGCTTTCTGATTTTTTAAAGTCTAATTCTCTGACTACTGGCATAGTCTTCAGGCAGTAGAGTCCTTTGAGTCTCACATTACACCATCAGTGACTGGAAGAGTATATGCTTTACATGCAGAAGGGGCCAGGTCTCATCTCTTACATTTCCAGATACAGCTGGGAAAAGATTTTTGTCTGAAACCACAGGGAGACATTGCCAGACAATGTAGAACGGGATGGAGAAGGTGTGACCCTCCACTTACTCAAGGCTAAGCTGTTTAGGGAGTAACTGTCTGACAATATCTGGAGAGATACATGTCTCTAATCCTTCTGGAGACAATACTAAGCTACATGACCAATGATCCAACTCAGTATAACTCTTGTGTTAAACAGGAAACAGCTTGACTTTTTGTTTAAATTCAACCCCATCTAGTAAGTCAGTTGCTTTATTACAGTAAAAAAAGTGTCATATGAACATTTAATAAATTTGTCATTCAATCTGAAATGGACGAAGAGAACACTGCCTTCTCTGTAAGTATTGGAAGTCCATTTTGAAAGAAAGATACAGTTAGATTGATTGTGATTGCTCAGACAGTAGTAGTTATCTAATAATTACACTATAAAAAGAAACAGACACCACTATTTCAATTCATCAGCACTGAACACATCATTACAACAGAAACATTTCATTACCTGCGAATGCTGACTTCGGGGGTGATCTTGGTAATGACAGGGTTTTCACTGTAGGTAAACTGTTCATTTTCTATTGTTTTTTTGGTGCTTCCATGCCACACTGTTACTGGAACAGGCCCTTCTTTGCTGTTTGGACCAGTAACACAAACTATTTCTGGTCCAAACTCGATACTGAAGTAAGGGGGAAAGAGAAAAAGAGTTAGGTTATAAACAATGTTAGTATCATCTTATGGTATAAAAGACCCCATAACTACTTCTTAACCACATGGTCTGAGATACATCAACATTGCTTGGGTGATATTTAGATGAACGTTAAAATAGAACTAAATCAGTTCACATTTATTCAATCACATTTGTTAGGGCATGCATCTACTGGTGTCATTCTATGAAGTCCAGACAATAACAAACATATAGAAATAGCATTAAAGGTGCAATTCAATGCATTTTCAATTGTACAAGCAAGTTAAACAGTGCAGTTCACAGGCAGTGGTGCCTGCATTAACAATTGTCCAACTGTGTGATTCAGCATAACTACACTCATGTGGATTTTGACTATGGCAATAAGATATTGCATCAAGGCCCATAACTACAAGAAAAGAAACGGTGACATGGAAACCTTTTGTTCCTGGAATTAGAGATGAGTAGAGGAGAGACAGAGAACAAGGATACTAAAGGAATGGTGTGGCTAAGGCTGCTTGACTTTCCATTTGAGGTCCACCTCTTGTACAGTTTCAGGTAACTTCCTCTAGCTAGGCACTGGCCTGGCATCAGTGCAAAACTCTCTTTGTTCAGTGTTGCCCATTCAGTCATTGCTATTTTCTTCTTCTTCTTTAGTTGTGAAGAGATTAGGAAGGGCTCAGAAAGGGTGGTCTCTTCCCATGATTCCCAATGCAGGGCTTTTTTTTTTAAAGGAGACTCTATGTATGTGGTTTCATAGCTTAAGTCTATCCTGGAGCCAAAACAGCCAAATTTTCAGGTAGCTACTGGTAGGGAGCAATTGTATCTGTTGTAGAGAGTGATGCAAATGTATCTTATATCCAGCAGGTGTAGGCTTCTACTCAAGTGACAGGCAGCCAGCAACACTAGAGTACCCCTGCCCACACGTCAACTTTGGTCTGTTACAGCCAAGCCTTGTATGTTGTTTGTCATTCCACCTATTTTGCCGTTCAATTGTTTGAGGACTGTCCTAAATTTATGGTCGCCAAACAAACAAAAATTTACAAGAGGTTGCCTAACAGGTGACTTGGTGATCCTTCCTGACTGCTGTTAGTTAATCACATAAATGTAGAAGGCAAGAGAGTGTAGCTTCTTTTTCCTTCTTTCCTCCATCTTAATCAGTTATACTCACAGCCAAAGCGAACTCAAAAACAGTACAAATAGCAAAGCTCTATTTAAGATATCATCATGACGAACAAACTTGACATTTGCCGACAACGCTCTTTGTGGCTTCTACACAAATTATCCATTTTCCTTTTCTCATACAACATTTACAGTGGAGGCAGTTCAAACATTCAAAGGCCAGAGTATGTTACATTAACCATGGGGATTCTGCCAAAATCAGACTTTCCGAAGTGCGTAATATCCATCAGTAATGGAATCCTCCTTGTCTACCCAAAAGATCCTCTTTAGCTATAATTCTCAAAGCATGCTGTCACATAGACAGTGTAATTTTCCCTCTTGAACCCATAAGAAGTGTATGACAAGAAAAGGCCAGACATCTTCCCTATTTCTCACCCTCAAGAAGTAATAGCTGGATTTAATCTCTTTTTCCTCAACCCCTTCTGCCTATTATGATTCACCTCACTGGCTGATTATTTTTTCACTGTCAGTCAGTCCTCCTCCAACATCCCAACGCCCTCTGAGGCTCATCAAATATATACAGGAGTTTTCAGCTTTCTAAGTCTTTTGCCCTTAATTTTCCTTGTGGAAACTTTGTGGACAATGGGGAGCTCCACATGAAAGTGATGACAATGGAGGCCTACTACTGGGGATCCTAATCTCTGCAAATGAAAAGTCTTAGACATCATTGCTCTGTTATTTTGAATGCAGTCCTCTCTTTCTCCATTTCATTTTAACTTAAATGTTTAATAATATACATTTGGATTGAAATTTGGGACAGTTGAGTGCTGTACATGGTTTATCTTAGGCTGTAACTCCAAGGGTTAAGAAGATATTGGGTAAGCTTTTACATGCTACAGACTGGGAGGAAGGTAAGAACAGTGTAATTTTGCAGCTCTGGAATCCGCACAGCCTCAAAGTCAATAGACACATAAGTAACATACCTATGGGTCCTTTCTAGCCTGTTTTCCCTCAGAAAGGAGAAGTACCAAGGCTATTACACCATCCCACCCTACTACTTAGGATTTCTGAACATACAGTGAACTTGGAAAAGTTACTTTTTGGGCAAATGTTCCCTGAATGCTTCAGTGACTACATCCACATCCATTACGGCTGGGGAATCTAGCAACCTCTGTTCAAAAAAGTAACATTTTCAAGATCAATAAGCAATACTCAATGAGTAGGCCTACTTGAATCAATGAAGTTGGCTCACCAAATCCCCAAGGATTCAATGGGCCTACTCCAGCCTAAAACTATGGTTCTTAGAGGTGTGCTTTTTGAAGAGATCCAATAAACTAATAGAATTAAAATAGATGTTGACTGATTCAGATAAGGACAGAATAGGGCCTACTTTAATTGGAGCCAGCAGTTAGATTTAGACTACAGATTAGAAATCTGTTACATAAATGGTCATCTACTGTTAAGGCATCAGGACTACTGTTGGTTTTCTACTTACACTTTACAGGGTTCATTATCAAGGTGAACTCTGACATCTTGAATAGAGCCAGTGTCTAAGTTTGTGCCAGTGATTGTTAGGACAGTTCCTCCAGCTTGGGGGCCTTTCTGAGGATGCATTCCTGTAGGTTCAGGATCCTGTGATAAAGGAAATCACAAACTGGTTAAATTCCATCTTCACTCTAATGAAAGTACCTTCTAAACAGTAATAATGTTTACCTTTTTTCCAGAATTAGTGAAGAAAAAATGGGAGATTATGAGCAGAATCATATTTGAAGATGATGATGATTAAAAATATCAGACACAGTCAAAATTATAAAAACGTTGACTAGTATTATATAACAAATACAAGTTTTAAAAAAAAACCTAAGTATCTGTTAAATACTGCACAGTACGTATGCCGTTCCTAATATTGTTGTTTTTGTAACTCTAATAGTGTTATTTCTGAGATCTGCAACTGCTTATAATATTGTGTGAAATTTCTTGATATTGTTCCCAAAGCCCCAACGACTATGGGGACCACTGAAGCACTAATTCCTTGGATCTTAGCTTTCATCCCGTTTGGAGTGCTTGTTCTTGTGCAGCAAAAATCAAGGCTTTGGTTTCTTTCTTAATGGTCCCCAGTGTTAGCCATGCCCATGTTGAATTATCATCATGATTGCTATCAATATTTCTCAGGTCTTGTCCATGTAGCGGTTTACTTTTCCAACTGTTTATTTTCAAATTGTTGTATCTTATATTGAACCTTTGTTGTTTTCAAAATATTCTCCATTTTCATCGCCTTAAGTAATTTTTCTTTACTTGCAATTATATAATCATTTAGGCTTCTTTCTTCTTCTACTACTACCTGCTGTATTTGCAGTAATCCACGACCTTCAGTTTCTCATGGTAAATATCATCTGTTCACATTGCTTCTTGGATGTAGCACATGATGCATGTTCGTTAATGTCTATATTTTTTGATCCAGTTCCTCTCATTCATTTTGGGTCCAATCTATTATCCCCACAACTAGCCGTGTGTTTATGGCTTTGATTACTTTTCCACAATATGATTTTGATTTTAAGATTTTCTAGTCTTTTGATGTGGAAGATCTTTTGATCTGTCAGTTCTTTAACTTTGGTGTGCATGATGTTATCTGCTTCTAGTATTCCAAGGTATTTACCACCACCACCACCACCACCACCACCATCATCATCATCATTATTATTGTTATTGTTATTGTTATTGCTATTGCTATTGTTATTATTCTGTTGATTCTGACTTATGCTGACCCTTCCCAGGGTTTTCTAAGTAGAGAATACTCAGAAGTGGTTTACCATTCCCTTCTTCTGGGAGGCACCCTGGGATTGTGCAGTTTACCCATGACTACACAAGCTGGCTCTTCTCACAGGAGGCACAGTGGGGAATCAAACTCCCAACCTCTGGCCCCACAACCAGATACCTAAACCACTGAGCTATCCTCTTATGGTATTTTATTAACACTATACACAGAAAACTGACAAAGGCAGAAAACCAGACCCCAATAGTTGAGCAACAGAAAACACTTTCTACTCTCTGCCCTGCCATTCATAATTCATTAGCTTTGTTTTGACTATAGTACAAAACAAAGGTTATGTTTTATTGCTAGATTATTTGCCAAAAGATAGCAAAGGTTACGTTTTATTGACTATGGTTATATTTTATTGCTAGATTATTTGCCAAAAGATACCATGATTTTTTTTTGTTTCTGAACCAGAGAAAACTTCTAACACTGTAATAATGTCAATCCATCTTCCATCCAGCCATACTCTCTTATGGAGTGAAACAGCTCAGAAGCTACAAGAATGAAGAACATCTAATGGATGGTTTTAGATGGATTTCTGACAAAACCTAATGGTATAGGTCTGATTTTACAACACATAAAATAGGCTTTGTTGGCTCAAGATTGGACTATAATGGTAGTTCAGGTATATTTATTCTATGCCACGAAGTACACCATTCCAGCAGAGAAGAAAAGTGGATCTATTGCATCAGTCCTGCTGAGATCCGATGCTATTAGCCATTTCAAACGTCACCTCCTGACAGATATTCCAAAAAAGTTACCTGACCTATTTCCAGCTAACTTCTCTGAACTGAATTTGTCTTATTCCTTCTCCCAGCCTGTATATTATTCCTTATGTGCTGTGTCTTAAATTTAGATTGTTACTCTGAAAACAGAGACTGTCATGCTATTTCTCTTTGCAAGCTACTGTGGGGGCTTGCAAATAAATAATAATGCACAACAAACAAATCACAGTCTGAAAGGCTGTTTTATAATGCTAGTAATGCATTGACAGCCAGAGATTGTAAGAAACCCTGGCTTACTGTGACACCCAGGCCTTGCAAATGAATTTCCTATGTAATTTACATTAAAGGTATATATTCCGTGCATGCTGGGTTCTACATTTAAAGTCCTAGCATACAACACAGACCTGTGGAATCCTGGAGAGCACTTATAGTCACTTGCAAATGAATAAAGAATCTAACCATACAGCACCTCACTTGTTACTCTCTAGCCATATTTAAAATAATAATCATGTGCTGACAAGTCAATTCTGGCTTACGGTGATCCTTTTCAGCCATATTTAGGCACTTTAAAAAGACTTCACTTAGAGATATACTAAGTATAGTTAACACATACTTAAGCCTGTTACTGAAATCAATGAGAATTAAAATACCTGACTTTTTCAACATTTGTTTGTTCACTGTCCCCTGCTTCTACTAACTTTTTAGCATGCACATTAAAAACTATTCATCAGAACTGGTTATTAAATGTGATACACATGATTTTTAATTCAGAAGAAGCTCTTTCTTGGAACATTAAAAAAGGGAACACACACTTTTAATATCATCATCTGGTGCTCAACAAAGCTGTCTCAGCACACCTAATGTTTTCCTTAATGGGCCAATAAAGCAAGCCATAAACCTTTCTTTAGTGCTATAAATTTAATGGAAGGCTCTTTTAAGAATGAAACTACGCACAACAGGGGTTGCACGTGAGGTTTTAAATCCTTCACTATTTGGTTAGACAGTGCTGATATCATGATAAAACACAGATGCCTCTAGCATGATAACCATCATCAAAAAACCTCATATTATCAAAGCTAAAGTGGGTTGTTCCTAAATGAAAGGTAAGGTAAAGGTAAAGGTTCCCCTTGACATTTTAGTCCAGTCGTGTCTAATTCTAGGGCGCAGTACTCATCCCCGTTTCCAAGCCATAGAGCCAGCGTTTGTCTGAAGACAGTTTCCGTGATCACGTGGCCAGCACGACTAAACATGGAACACTGTTACCTTCCTGCCAAGATGGTACCTATTTATCTACTCGCATTTGCACGCTTTCGAACCGCTAGGTAGGCAGGAGCTGGGACAAGCAATGGGAGCTCATTTCGTTGCGTGGATTCTATCTTACGACTGCTGGCTTCTGACCCTGCAGCACAGAGGCTTCTGCAGTTTAACCCGCAGCGCCACCACGTCACCACGTAAATGCAAGAACTCTTCTCAAATGTAGAAAAACTTGGTCTGTCCTCAATAATGCATTCAGTTAGGCCAACCCTGAATATTTACCCACCATGAGCAGTAATGCAGAGTTTAGCTTAGAAAGGCTTACAAACTAATACTTGTTTATGACTATTTCTACTATGAACTTTTTTCAGGTGGTTCAAGAAGAAAGCATATTATAACTTTATACAGAATTCCTTCAGGAAAATGATGGTTTGGGGTAGTTACCCAAATCAACTGATATGGAATTTAATTTTTATTTATTTATCTAAAATATTTTAGTCTGCCTCACTCTTTAAAAAGGATTCAAGGAGGCTTACATCCGCCTCACTCTTTAAAAAGGATTCAAGGAGGCTTACATTATTAAAAGCTAAAACCAGTAAGTATACACATAATATAAAGCAGGGGCCCCCAACCTTTTTCACCCTGCGGACCAGCTGGGGAAGGCGGAGCATCCCCCACGCTTGTGTGCATGCGCAAATCAGCTGTGCGGGGTTGAGTGCGTGCAGGGAGGGGTGGGAGGTCTCTCTCCGCAGCCCGGTCTGGCTCAGGCCATGGACTGGCATCGGGCCACGGACCGGGCGTTGGGGACCTCTGGTATAAAGGATTAAACAAATATCATCCCCCAAACCAACAAACAGTAAACAAAAGCAACACCAAAACACATTCAAAGCAGTAAGGCACAACAATCCATTTTGAAAAGCCACATAGGCAGACAGACACAGATACACACACACTTTTTACACGGATCAAACTGTTCCAATAGCCATCAAAACATTTTTCAAAACTTTATGCTTCCCCAAAAAGGAAGACTTTTAAAATGAAAATGGCATGTCATCATGGTGCCTGGAGACATTATGGATGCTTTAGGGAGCTTTCTTCTTTCAAAGTGGGTGTGGAGGTTTATCAGGTCCCTTCTTATAAAAAGCCCCTATTGTGACAGAATAAAATTCACTACTCCAGCATGCTCCATTTCATTGTTGTATAGACTGTAATGGAACCACCACTGTGATAAATTGGTTAAAATGCAAGCAGAATCAAACAGACCTGGTTTCATGACTCGAGAAATCCATGCAGCTCTTAGGCAGACCATCAGCTAATTCCTCCCTAACCAATCATAATGCTCTGATCAAGAATTAAAAAACAACACCACAACTCTCCATATAGCTTCTTAAGTTGATTGAGTCAAGGTTATATAATAAACTACGTTAGAAACGGTTGTCATCCCATACATCTATTTGCAACATTGCAATCCTGGTTAGAAATGAAGTGGTGGTGGTGGTAACAAAACTAAACTTCCACAGCTAATGCCCCAAATGTGACAATTCTCTCACTGCTGCTGTGGCCGACAGTCCAGTGCTCTATATTTATCCATTGACTTCCTTCTTATAACTTGACCACATTCATTTCCTCTGTGCTGCTACTCAGCACGAAAACTGAAATTGTGAAAGCATAAAACCAAATGCCCCAGGGAATAATCTAATGCCCATTTCCTGTAATGCAAAACATTTCAATAGCTATTATAGTCCAAAAATTTTAGATTTCTTTTTTTTTTAAAAAAAAATCCCCTCTGATCTTTAACACTTTGTATCCAGTTCAACAGTGTTTCATAGGCATTATGCAACTTTAAACATCTCATCTCATCATATCTCATCATGTTAGATCTGCAGAGCTGGAATGATCGAGTCCACCCCTTGTCAAGGAGGCACAGTGGGGATTCAAACTCCCAAATTCTGGCTCCACACCAGAGACCTGAACCACTGAGCAATCCAGCAGTTTTGTGGCAAAAGGAATTTGAGGCTTATCCTTTGAGAAGGGAACAACTTGTCCACTTCTCCATTCAAAGTGATAGTGTAACGTGCTCCACTGGCCTAAGACTTTACACCATGTTCTTCAATTAAACAATAGAACTAAAAACATTTTGAGATGCACAACTGTAATGTTTTCAGTAGCTACGCACTTATTTTTGCTATCATGATTACTTGCTCAAGAACAAAGCATGAACTGTCTTGAGGCAAGTATGGCCTGCCTCAAAAACAAAATCTTCTTAAGAGGCAGGCAAAAATTCAAGGAGAAGTGGTCAACTACACAAATATTCTTGATTTTTACCGTAAGCAGAATTGAACATGGCTCAATTCATAAGCAACACCACATCTTCAATCCACTGGGCACCCCCAGTCCTCCATCACTGGCATTCTTTCTCCTAAGCAAAACTTACTCTGGAGAAGAGAGACGGAGGGAGTATCCAGTGTAAGGTTTCACTGAAGACTTGGCATCCTATTGGTCTGCTTATTAAGTAGAAAGTGACATAAAAAAGAACTTTTCAGCCATAAAGTCATTGGTTAGACTACAGCTCCCATGATTCTTTGGAGAAAATTATGTTCTGTGCATCATCACCATCACCACATTAGAGACTATGAGGCTGCAAATGGCTCAAGATTACACATTGATTTTTATGGCCAAGTTGGGGTTTGAATCCTGAGTCATAGTCCCACTAATGTCCTATTGCTCACGTTGCAGACTGCGAGGAACAACCAACAGCATTAATCAGAACTCTAAGCTGATTGATAACTCATGTGCTTGCTTGAAGACTATTTATTTATTTATTTATTTATTTATTTATTTATTTATTTATTTATTTATTTATTTATTTATTTATTTATTTATTTATCTGGCTTAGGGTAAAAGAATGGAATTGCAGCTGTAGAAGTATTAGTGCCCTCGGAATGCTTGCAAAGTTTTTCCAGGGTTAGGTTTTAATGCTCAAGTGACACTAATTATTTTTCAGGAATGGAAGAGAACACCTTTTCCTCCATCTGTAGTACAGTTGATGTGAATCATGTTACTTACAACAGCACAACATTCTACTACACTTAATGGATTTCTAAATTCTATTAGAAGATGATCATTTCACGATGCAGGAAATCAGGGCAAACTGTCTAACCAGGTTGAAGGAAGAAAGGCCATTGCATTGTTTACAGCAAGTAAGCACTTGCGATATATCTAATTGTCAATGAAAATACAAGATTCTGTCTGAAATGCTCTTGCATAGCTACACAAAAAAACATAATTTCTGAGGTAAATTGCCTCAGGCGAAAACATGTCTGTAGGTATCACTTGTTGCATGCTGAGTCACATGACTCAATATGCAACAGATAATGTCTGGAGAGATCTCTTAAGCTGAAGCAATTTGCTTCCAAGAGTTATATCATTTGCCACGATAACTAGGCAAGTGCACCATGGCTGCTATGTGTGAAATAAAGCAAGATATTGACAAAAACACACTTACCTGATATGTAAACGTCACTTCATTTGCTGATTGACCTTGTTGTCCCTTTATATCAACTTCAATGTTACCCTGTGTTTTTTCCAACACGCCTCCAACCTCACATACAATCCTGGTTGGAAACAATACAAGAGCAAAAACAGACATCGAAATGTGCATTTTTCCTGATGGTTGGGGGCCCCTGCTTTACACTATGTGTACACTTAATGGTTTTAACTTTTAATGACTAAGACACCTTGAATCCTTTTTAAGGAAAGAGGTGGACTAAAATATTTTAGATAAATAAATAAAAAAATAAATTCCATATTAGTTGATTTGGATAACTACCCCAAACCATCATTTTCCCAAAGAAATTCTGTATAAAGTTATAATAGGCTTTCTTCTTAAAAGTTCTTAAAATATATACAATATATTGCTTCTAGCAGGCCTTGCTCCTCTTCCTATCTCTGCCCAAGCATAGAAAGAAAAGGGAAGGGGGACCCAAGCGATCCCCCACCCCCACTGCCTTTGTAAAGACAGTGGGGGTGAGGGATCACTTAGATTGGCTTCACTCCTCTTTGTATCCCCACTCGGGAAGAGGAGAGAAAGGGGACACTGTCTTTGCAAAGACAGAGGATTGCTTGGGTCCCCCCTCCCTCCTCTTCCTTTGCCTGGGCTGGATTAAAAAGGCAAGGCAAGCTGGATGTGGTCCGCGGGCTGAAGTTTGGAGACCTCTGATCTAGAGAAAAGACACCTGAGGGGGAACATGACTGAGACATATAAAATTACGCAGGGAATGGATAAAGTGGATAGAGGGAAGTTATTTTCCCTGTCACGCAATACCAGAACCAGGAGAGTGAGAACAGACAAAAGAAAATATTTTCTTTACCCAGCGTATTGTCTGTGGCAAAGAGTCTGTAGAACTCTCTGCCACAGAATGTGGTAATGGCATCTGACTTCGATGCCTTTAAAAGAGGATTGGACAGATTCCTGGAGGAAAAGCCCATCACAGGATACAAGCCCAATAAATAAATAAATAAACAAACAAACAAACAAACAAACAAATAATCTCCAGGCTAAAAAGGAAGGTGTTGTCTCGTGTGCCCCAGAAGCATCTGGTGGGGCCACTATGAGATACAGAAAGATGGACTAGTTGGGCCATTGGCCTGATCCAGCAGGGCTCCTCTTATGTTCTTACTTTGACAGGGGGAGTTAAGGTCAACACAGAATTGCTTATTATACATAAACAATTTAAAACAGTTTTATCTTTCTTTTCTTTTTTTGCCATTAAGCTTGCCAATTTATTTCCAGAAGAAATTCCAAAATCTAAGCCTAACATGCTGTTTATACCTATTGTGCATTTATGCTATCATTAGTAATAAAGTCTACTAAATTCAAAATATTTCTAAAAATAAAGTTAAAATCACTAGATTGGACAGTGACTGAGTGAATCTATTTACATCAGTGGGATCTATATTAGCCACAGCTAACTTATACTTCACCAATTTTCAGCAGGAAAGGATAACTAAGGGCACAAACCCTATTAACTGAGGTGGCTTGAGAGTTAGGTGATCTGATTACGTGAGACTGTGCTAAATTTATTTTATTTAAAATATTTTTACCCTGCCTTTCTCCTTAAAAAGGACCTCTACTAGCCTAGAAATGAGCTACCCTGAAATGGGCCTAATTCTGTGCCAACATAGTGGCTGTGAGTCTAAGCAGTGAAACGTTTCAACCTGGCATAATTTAGTTCCCACCCAGCTCCTCCTCCCCACCGACTTTTTTTTTTGGCTCTTCAGCTGGCTGATCTCAGCCTGGACCACAGTTGTGCTGACAGATCTTAGACCAACCAGCAAAAGGCAGATGGGTTGGCCCAAGGGCGGCTGTGCTGGCACAAGAGGCTTTGGCCCATTCCAAATCCACTACAGCTGGCATATCTTTAAATTTGAATGGCACAAGCCCATTACCTTCAGTGGCAGTATTTGTATACAGGATTTAAGTTAAGAATTATTTTTAGTGTGTAAGGTTGCTAATGGCTGGGATATAAATCTTTCCTGATTTGAAAATATGAGCTTTAACAAAACATGACTGCAGGAGGTAACATACTGATGCATCTAATGTCAAAGTAAATTAGTAAGCTGTTCGATATGAAAAAGCAACAGACTGGAGTTAAAGCTATAAGATCATTTCACAAAGTGGCTCTTATTATATGCCTCTTAATTACAGTTATAAACTACAGCAAGGTAAAGATAAACATGCTATTTATCTCCAGAACTGTGGTTCAACATATAATGAAACAGTTACAATTCATTGCCATACATAAATACCTCAAAAGTTATCTATTTAAAGCCACTTTAATTGCCATGTTTGTCAGGACTGTCTTTTTTAAAAAAGCAAACACACACATTTCTATAGTGCTTTGCATACAGATTCCCCAACCCTGTTATACAAAACACCAGAAAAACACTTACTTGGTAGAAACAGAATAAAACTCCTCTTTGAAAATACATTCAGTGCCTGCCACCATTATATTTTTGACATCTTCAGATAGGACGCCCAAATTAGATCCCATTATGGTCAATAAAATCCCACCACTTAATGGCCCATTCTTTGGTTCAATCTAGGCATGAAGAAAACACATATGAGAAGTGCCAAGAGAAACTCAATTGTCAAATTCTAGCTAAACACAGAACGTTCTCACAATGGAATGGGCAAAAAGAATGGATAGGTATAGTGGGATTCTAGAGACAGAAAAAGAGAGAACCTTACAAACTTTAACTTTTATTGTGATTATGGAAGATGACTGAGGTACACCTGTTCAGATGTTTCAGCAGCTGAATGTTTAGAGGTGGGTGTGAGGCTGGGCAGAGTGCTTGTGAAACATAATTGCTTGACATGTAAACCTTTTAGCAAGTCTTAGGAAAAACAGCCACTACACTCCGGCCAACTAGACTTCCTAAGTCTTAATTTGACTATCCTTCATCAATTATTACTCACTGAGTTTGTGCTACCTCTGAGAAGTCTAGCAGTTCTTCAGATTCCAAAGCACTGGGAAACATGTTGTAACATTTTTCTTAAGATCTGCATGTTCACACTGTCCTTTCCCTTCTAATTTTACTCTTCCAGAGAAAAAAGTCTATAAGACTATAACAATGTACCCGCTATTTTGTTTTAATTACATAGTAATATACTCTTTATTTTGTTTTCATTACATGTTAATATTGCCATTCCGCCAGTGAGCTCATGGGAGCATACTCTTCCCCACTTTCTCTTCCTGACAACTTGTGTGTTACAACAGGCTGAGAAACAGTAACTGGCCAAAAGATACCTAGTGAGTTTTGTAGCTGAGTGAGAATTTAAAGCAAGGAGCCTTGTGGCACAGTAGTTAAATTGCAATACTGTAGTCAAGACTCTGCTCAAAACCTGAGTTTGAAGGGCTCAGGGAGCCAGCTTGAGGTTGACTCAGCCTGCTACCCGTCTAAATGTAAAGGTAAAGGTTCCCCTTGACAATTTTTGTCCGGTCGTGTTCGACTCTAGGGGGCGGTGCTCATCCCCGTTTCCAAGCCATAGAGCCAGCGTTTTTGTCCGAAGACAATCTTCCGTGGTCACATGGCTAGTGTGACTTAGACACAGAACGCTGTTACCTTCCCACCCAGATGGTCCCTATTTATCTACTTGCATTTGCATGCTTTCGACCCGCTAGGTTGGCGGGAGCTGGGACAAGCGAAGGGCGCTCACTCCGTCACGTGGATTCGATCTTATGACTGCTTGGTCTTCTGACCCTGCAGCACAGGCTTCTGTGGTTTAGCCCGCAGCGCCACCACGTCCCTTTGCTACCCTTCTAAAGTTAGTAAAATGAGTACCCACTTTGCTTGGGGCTGAGTGGGGAGGCAATGTGTAGCCTACATTACTGAAAATGGTAAACCACCCAGGAAATCTTTTAAGTTCTATGGAGTGGTATATAAGCCTCAAAACAAACAAACAAATCCCTAATTTACACAGGCCTTTGGTCACTAACTGGTTGTTGAAGAAGGGTCTTTTAGTTATATGTATTTCACTTTTTTCTTTCAGTGTACTTGCTGTGTTTTTACAAAACTATTCTTTAAAGAAGGTTGCTTAAAATAATTTCTTACACTACTTTAATTCAATACTTGCTTTTAAATAGTAACATACTTAATTGCACTTTAATATTTTAACTTATCATGTTAGCTTTATTCATGTTGTGAAGTGTCTTGAGTCTTGCACTGGGAGAAAGTTATAAAGTAAAGCAAGGTGAATCCAATCAAACCTAGGTTTCTTGAATCCTGGTCCAGTCTTCTAACCACTACACAGTTCAGTGTACCAAGAACAGAACAACGAGGTCTCCTTGAGGGACAGGGTGTGGGGAAAGTATCCAATTGCAACCCATCAAGATAATTTTTGAACTTTTCTGGAGAACATTATTTTAATTCTGGAACAAGCATTTTTGTCTATATGAGACTATATCCTACAACATTTAGGAATTTCTTTGATGCAGCATTTTATGCCACAGATAGGGGAGTGTGAACCTCCATATGTTGCTGGACTACAACTCCCACTGCATCTTGCTATCAGCTATGCCAGCTAGAGCTGCAGGGAATTGTAGTGCAACAACATCCAGGAGGCCAAATGTTTTCCCATCCATATTATTCTCTCCAGAGCAGCTAAAAGCCCATTCTACAGTGAAATTATGGGGTTTTGAAAAAAGCAATCAAAAGGCAATGGGTTGTAGACTAAAGTTTTGTTTTCTATAGGAAAAAGCTGTGAAGGCTGAGGGGAAAATATGCTCTGTGAGCTTAGTTTTATATTCTAGGAGCTTATACACCAAAGAATCCTATTGACTCCCCCCCCGGGTAACTTAAAAACGAGTGAGGTATTCATTTTTATTTGCATATTTCAGTATCAGGCAAAAGGTGACAGAATTACACCATCAGAAAAAGGTTAGGAACAATGTTGAAATTTTTGTATGCCAAGGATGGACAGCGGTCAATCCTAGACAAAAACAGAGCAAGCAGAGTTGTACATGGCTTCTAAGCTGCCTGGCATCTCTTCCTCCTCTAACTCGAGTGGATTAGGGATCTTGTTTTTCTTTGTGGGCACTTGAATCCTGACACATATAGCACTTAATCCCTGAGCAGAAAGTAGTCTATTCCTGAAGAAGGAAGTAAAGCAAATACAGTTTGCAACTTTGGATGTTTGAAATTTAGCAGTGCTAATGCAGTTTTGTCTATTAATACAGTTGTATGGTCTGCAATGTTATACAGCTCCCTACTCCTCTTGAGGAATTCAAACTGCTGCATTTAAAAATGAAGAGCAAATACATTTTTTTCTAGAAAACATTTCAAACTAAAAGACTTAAGGAAAATAAGTAATAAGTTAAATAGCAACATTATGAATATCTGAGGAAGGAGAAGGAAATGAAATGGCCAAATTGCTGCATCTAATTTATTATTAATTTATACCGCCCTATTCCTCCTAGCAGTGTGACTGAATGTGGCTTAAAAAGAATTCTAAAAGCCAAGTACCAAAATTACAGTATAAAAAATTTAAATATTAATCATTATAAATTACTAAATAAAATCCTTTTAAAACAATTTGAAAACACAGAAAAAAAAGAGTTAACTCATTCATTATAAGCCCTCCTTTAGCAGAAATGTACTTATTAAAAACATGCCTAAAAAGAGAAGTCTGCTGGCTAATGGAAGGACAGCAGGGAGGGAGCCAGCCTAGTCTCCCATAGCAGAGTGTTCCAAACCCCAGAAAGAGTCACCAAATAGGCCCTGTCTGATGTTTGCATTAAGCATGCCAGTGAAGGTAGTGGAACCAAGAGAAAGGCTCCCCTGAAGATCTTTAAAGCCAGGGAGGATCATTTGGGGGTCATCTCCACATTGTACCTCAATTTCTGGTACTCGGAAAATGCTACAATGCATGTTCTCTCCAAGTTCTTCTGACATGACAATGCAATGGCTATGCCAGGTAGATATCAATATTCTCATGCACATGCATCTCTAACTGGGACAAGGCTGTCAACAAAAGTAGTCAATCTGTGATTTAGATCCTCTAAATCATATTCCCTAGTAGTTAGTGCAAGGAGTCATGCCAGTGAAGCATTTTCGTGTGACTAAAAATATAATTAGATATATAGACCTCCCCTTGCTTTTGGACTGTGTAAGGCAATGGTCCCCAACCTTGGGCCTCCAGATGTTCTTGGACTTCAACTCCCAGAAATCCTGGCCAGCAGAGGTGGTGGTGAAGGCTTCTGGGAGTTGCAGTCCAAGAACATCTGGAGGCCCAAGGTTGGGGACCACTGGTGTAAGGATCAAGTGGCTTTGTTTGAAGGGGTTTTTTTTTTTTGGACTTACAGTAAACTTATTTAGGATACTAGTATATGTGTCAACATGTACCGGTTGGCCTGTCTGGGGTAAGATCTTTGAGAAAAAGAAATGAGTTTTGTTTTTTTTTACTATGGGACGTCACAAGTGACGTCATTTGTAACACACCTGTAATAATCCTCTGCAGAAGTAGCACTCAGAGAGTGTTGTGAAGCAATATGGAATTCACTTACCTGAGTAATAACTGGAGGAGGGCAGATGACAGTAGAAGTAGAACAGCGTTTTGTGTAAACACAACTCTCACTGGCTTCACACCAGACACATTCATACTGATGATCAGCTGCTAGACACAAGCTGCAGTCATCCCGACCATAGGAACAGCTGTATAAAGTCACTGCGAGAATTGTAAATGTATGTATCAGTTATTACTCCATCATTCAAAGCAAGTCAAAGCTCATGTAAAGTCTGACATGGTCTTCTTGGATAAGGATAATTATAGCCCATTTAAGAACTCTGGTGCGAGTGAGAAGTAGAATTTGCTATCTGGCCATCTTTTCCCTTCCCTAATGCAATAATTTATATCCATTTACAACTGCACTGGATGAAGAGAGCCACCTGAAGAGGCAGTGAGAAAGGATCAAACACATGACTTTCAGAAATGTTGTGAAGCTTCCCACACATTCCCCAATTATTGATACATTTGTATGGTGTCGACTTGTCTTAATAATTAAGAGGAAAGTAAGGTAATGGTCCCTGCATGAATCAACATGCATCTGTTGACAACCAGGATAGAAGGCAAAAGAAAACACTGAAGGCAGAAAGGAGAAAAACAACAGACTTCCAAGTTCCTTTTTGTAGGTTCAATGCAGTGGCTATGCTAAATGACCATACTTCGATTGGCCTTCCCAGGAGAAAATGGAGTAGACAGGAATGTAAGTTTCATTGTTATTCTGTCTTCATATGTAGTGCAGGTGTTGGCCACTGTCCTTGGGTCATCTACTGATACCTGCTTTAAAGCTACTGGTGGACAACTTTTGTTGATCCATGAGCCACCTTTCCAAAGCCCAGAGGCGTTGGGCGGACCATGATGAATGCCACTGTTACCTTCGTTGTCAAGGGTGGCAAAAACCAGGACCTTCTCTTAAAAACTGCCATTTTGTTCCCCAGTTGAACAATGTGTGTCTGTTATCTACAAGTAGATTAGTAGATTGGTTTTTCCACCTTTGTTAATTAAATATAGCAAATTTGGTCCAGACACTTTCCCAGACAAAATGCTCATAGATGTTGATGGCCAAGGACAGCTGAAGTAGCACTATGTTTGAATGCTTGCTGCTTGTAAGTCCATTCACATCTGGAGAGTATTATTATTACCTAAACAAGATGTAGGTATTCCTATTCAGATAATTAAACCAAACAAGTTTCCAAAATTCTACCAACAAAATGTAGTTCAAAATTTAACATCAGAATTTAGACAGTAGAGCAAAATAAGATCTTTCATTCACATATTCTTCAATAACCTGATACACTCCAATATGTTTCTCCACCACTTTATGTTGAACACTAATGTCAAGGGATTCCAAGAAATCTTGTACTGTGCACCAAAGGCTAGCAGATTGGGTCAAAGATTGCAGATGGGAGGCCAACACAAAACACTCAAATCCTGAGTAAGAATGCCCTGCCACTTCTGGTTATCATGACCATGAATCATAGAAAAAGATAAGAGTGTCTCTTAAGGTCACAATAGTTTTGTGTCCGTTGAGAAATAAAGTTAACTGCAACGGTGTATGTGATATGTGGAACCAAGTCTAATTCCGAAGCTTGGAGTAAATCTAAAATCCTGGATCATCAGAACTGTGGACCAGGTTGTCAGTTAAAAACAAAAAACAAAACAAAACAAACAAACAAACAAAAAACCAAAACAAAACAAAAACACATTTTCAGTCTTGAATGTTTTTGCGTATTTTTCTGGGCAGACAGAGTATCATCATCTTAACTGGAAACAGCTGAAGTCTCCTAACAGTAGTTTCATTTGAACAAACTGCTACTTGCAGAAAGTAGCTACTGTACTTCTTTTCTTCTATATCTGTCTTTTTATGAGCGTTGTTCACCTGTGGTTCATGGATGTTACATGATGTAAAAAAAATCTGTTAAAAAAAGTAGCTGAATTTAATGGGCCAAGGTGCTGATAATTTGGCTGTGTTTCTCTTGTGAGCAATGAATAAGTCCCCCCCACACACATATGGGATACATGCCTGTACACAGGGCAGTATTAAACCTGTTGGTCACTTTAGTGGCCCCAATCTGGATTGCTCTTTTGTAGGCCCATATTTTTGCATTATGTGGGGGTAGGGGAGGGGAATCAAAACAATTGGACCCCTTCTAACAAAGCAAATTGTTGAGATGCATAACATTACACAGTGAAGATTAAAGTCTTCCTCAGTGAAGGTTCTAATTGGGATTGGATCCTGGCACTTGCTTTTGAATTAGGATTTTTAAAACAACCTAGCTACTACCATTATGTCCAAAGCAACTTCTAGTTTGATCTGAGAGTGCAGAACAGACCATAATTTTTTATTAACTCTGTTTGCAGTTCTGCTATGCAGTTACCTGTGCCATTTACCACATTTCACCAGTCTCCTCCTTATTTTTTATAGAGCAGAGCGCTAAATATAAACATTTGATCTTGTGCTCCGATTAACAGTTATATGTACTTCATTTGGTTCTATTACTCTGAACAAAGGGTTTAAAGACTGGATGATATTTATTTAACACTGTCTTCATTTCTGCAACTTTTCACTGTAGTGCATGCTACATAGTTTCTTTAATGGGTATATTCAAAACAAGATCACTCTTTTAGTATTTACTGCCCCTGAAACCAGCTTATCAAGAGTCCCTGAAAAAAGGATATGTTTGACACACTACATTATGAAGTGAAATGATTTTACCTCAGATATTGTGAGGCTGGCCCTCCCTCTGTTTTGGGTTCACCCTCTTAACAACTATAGATTGGCTCGTTTACTGTGGTAAATGCACCAACAAGCAATTTACCCTTTGCCAGAAATGTAACAGGAGGCCAACCTTTTCTAATTGACAGCATCCAGACGTACAGTATTTGGCTACAGTTTCCACATTCTAGTAAACAACAAATTATTGTAAGACTGTTTCCCTCACCTTCGCATCTTCCCACATGCATTCACATAATAATTTCACCCACCTCCTACCCACCATGAGATTTCTCCATAAGGTTGTTTTTTTTTAAAATCCTGACTGCTCCTTCAAATCTCACTGTCTTGCCAAGGTCAACTTAACAAGGGGCAAACAGGAAGGACAGTTATCATAGGAGATGGTGGAGAATATTTTCCTCCAACTCCCATGAAAGGCACACTGACTTCTGGATTATTTTCCACGCCCTCTTTGTACCACAGTCTACCTCACCACATCAAAGAGAATAGACTTCCACATTTACTCACTTTGTCCAATTCCTGCCCCCTCCTTGTCCTCTGGGGGAATCTCCTCAACTCCCTATGATTGCAAAAGGGTTCATTCCCTCCCTTACCACCAATGCATTTCGGTGGTGTTTGTTTTTCAGTATCATACTTGTCTCAACCTTTTTAGTGTTTGTATACTTACTGTTTTTAATGCATTTCGGTGGTGTTTATGTTTTTCAGTATCAAACTTGTCTCAACCTTTTTAGTGTTCGTATACTTACTGTTTTTAGCTGTAAATACTGTCTTATAATTATATATGCCACCTTGGGTCCCTTTTAAGGACAAAGGTGGAATAAAACAATAATTTTATCCCAGTTCCAGAAGGAGATCTAGAAGAGTGGAGATTCCTATTTGCATGGAGGTCCTCTACCCAAAGAAGAAGACTGGAAAAATCAGAGCTCGTCCTTATACAAAGATCCTCCAGGCAAACAGGAAGAGGAAACATTATCACTTCCTGTATAAATACTAGCTACTCCCCTCTTGACATGTAGAAGCCAGTCAGCTAAGTAATAGCTAAATAGGGTTAATAAAGTCATTGAAATTACACCTTGAAGAACCAAGACAATTTAGTTTGAGTTCTGTATGATGAATTTACAGCATTGGAAGGGAATAATCTCTTGGTCCACAGGCAGATACCTCTTTATATACATATTATATATTACTGCTTGGATTAGATCCACCCTTTACACAGGTAGGAAATTTCAATTACTTTATTAACACTGTTTAGCTGCTATTTAGCTAGCTGGTTTCTACATGTCAACTGGGGAGCACCTAGTTATTATACAGGAAATGAAAATGTTTACTCTTCCCTTTTGTCTAGAGGATGTCAACTCTTCTAGATCTCTTGCTTGCCTATATAGGAAAATAATGACACAGAGAGGAAGGCTAAGTAACCCCCCCCCAAAAAAAAACCATGCCCACTGAATAAGTAATTCCTAAAGATGGTTACTGGCTGGCAAACACATCCCAGTAGATCCCATCACCTTTACTGAGCACAAGGGCACCACTGGCCTCACATACAAAATAGGAGAATAGAATTCCATTTTAGGAATTCCTAATATCACAAGTCTGTTAGAAAAAGGTTACTGCTTGACCTGCTGCTTCAATGCATTTTTCCATCTGTATGTGCAGAAATGAGAATCACTCCTGTGTCCACAAAAGCCAGCATTCAAACCATCTCCAAATTAGACCGGTTGTGCACTGAAACCTCTTATAGTTGTACATAATACAAGTGTGGGGGCTCAAAGAGTTAATCAGTTTTCTTACTGATCAGCTCATTAAATGAACCAGCAGCAAGCCAGCCATTAGATTCCAACCCTTATCCATCATTTTTAGATACTAGCTGTGAAACCATTGATAAAACAGGACAAAGGATAAGGGGAATATATTGGATTTCACACTATTCAGAGTCTCCAGTAGCTATAAAAAGACATTAAATGCCACTGCTACCTGGCATTTTCTAAGTGTGTTCCAGAAAGAAAGGATTCATTTATATGTGGAAATTCAATAATTGGTTACCTTCTATACAGTAACTACCACAGCACCAAAGTTAACTAAAGTATGACATGATTAAAGCTAACTGTTCTAAAGTTCTGAAAATTCAATAGGGAAAGAAAAGCTAGATAGCATTAGTACAAAAAACCACCTTTCTTAGTTCTTCCCTGTTTCTCTTTCATTGTTACTGAGGACCTGAAAATGAACTGAAGAACTGCCTTTAAAATTCAGCTGTACTCTGCTGTTTCCAAAAGACAAGTCTGTTTGAATTAAAATTATATATGGCTTTATCTGGGATTATAACAGAGAATCATTGACTTACTAAAACAGAAGAGACTAGAAAGTCACCTAGTCTAGACATACTGTACAGAACTGTAGGAATTGGATCCTAATAATAATTCTTTACCACTGCACCATGGTGGATTATTCTTGCTTCAACATGATTGGTGAAAAAGGGTCAAACCATAAGGTTGTCAGTATGCTCTACAAACAGTAAAATCATTCTGCAGCCCTTACAGGAAATGCTGAACCAAATAGAATTTCATCTGCCTTTTATGTGGTCACGTTCCATTAGTGGTTCACAGTAATCCCATATAAGAAGATGAAGTACATTGTTTGGATGAAGGAGTTATTAGTATTGTAAAAAGAGAAGGTAATGCTGTAAAAATGATTTCGATTTGCAACATCTATGAAAAAGTAAATCTTTTAAATGTAACTGTGCCTATAGATTAATTTGCAGTTATGCAAGATTTATCAGTATGGGCACATCAGTTATAAGTGTTCCCGAGTCAGGGTAATAAGCAAAAGCATTTGGAAGGTTATGCCTGGTTTCAATCCAGCATAATTACTCACTATAGATGGACCTTGCTGCCTGCCAGGAAACAAACGGTTCATAATGGACCTGGGCCTGCACAAAAATACTTGCAAGATTGGGACTGTAATCAAAAACAGTCCCAAACTAACTGATCTAAAGCAGAGGCAGAAAACAGTGGCAGCATGGAAGAATAAGTAAGTCTACATGGAATGGCAACACTTGAAGCTAGCAAAAGCACTGTAGTCTTTTATTAGTGTACTTGGCCGCAACATATGATACAAAGCTGTTTGGTAACATGCCTTGGTGGTTTTAATTCTGACACTCTTGCAGAGATTGTGTCAGTGCACATAAAAGTTGGAAGGCATTGGAAAATTCTATAACAAGAATTGCAGAATGGAGTACTGGGGAAAAAATCATATTTTCCCCACTCATTCAAGCAAGCAAATGTCAAAGGGATGTTTAGTTGGCTGAAATGCTGTTGCACAGTTGAGAGAATGGTGTGACATTTAGATGCAAATTGCTATAAACTAGGAAATCTCCGCAGGCATTATCTGTTGCACAACTTGGCATGCAACAGATAACTTACAGTAATTCACATACAAAAGCTATGCTTTACAACAAGATTTGATTCTTCATCTTAATACATTGTTGTCCCTATGAAGAATATTAATTTATACAACTCTTACTTAGTGCTTCTGACAACTATAATGCATTGGGGGGATTACAAACAGTGAAAATCTCTAAAACATAATGGTTTTGAAAGCACAAATCTAAGATTCTAATGGAATAGAGCATGCTGATTTTAACTTCCCTTTCCAGTGTTATTCTTGATACTCACCAGTAAGTTTACTATCAATCTTGACTTGATCTGTTTTAATGAACAAATTGAATTGTAGTGTTTCATTTGCAGGGCTTTGAATCTAAAAAGAAAAGGCAATCATTAAATCAGTCAGAAATTATCTGACATCGTAATCTATTTATCCCCAACCCAAGTAGTTAACTAAAATTATAGCAATATTGTGTCCCATTGCATCTTCAAAAATTACCAATACATCTACTATATACATAACTGAGAAGTTCTAGTCATAAACATATTAGTGCAATATTTGCTTCAATAATAATGGGTGTAGTACATCAGAAAGAATAGGAAACAGAAATGTACCAGAAAATATTCAAAATATTATACTGTCTTAGCTTCAAAAACATAAAAAATGGAGATGACTGTATTGAGTCAAATATGCCTTTAAAGAAAATGAGTGTTTTTTGTTTTATTTGTTAAATAAGTATATTTTTCAAAGAACCAAGAAAGACAGGAACCCAAATATAAGTGAATACAGTTGGCATTCTACAAGCCCTGACACTGTTGCATATTTACTTCTGCAAACCTCCCTTTCATCAAAATACATAAAGAATGCATTTCTATAGCCCTCCACTTTTTTATTTATTTATTTATTTTATTTTATTTTATTTTATTTATTTATTTATTTAATATCCCGCCTATCTAGTCCCACGGACCACTCTAGGCGGCTTACAACAAGCATATAACAATATAATTAAAACAATTTTAAATAAAGGGGAAAAACGTTAGAATGAGGATGGCTATGTTTAAGCAAAATGTTATGTATGCAGTTTATTCTGAGCAATAAATATGTTCTTGGCTGCTACAACAAGTGAGAATGACATTAAGCAAGGATTATCATCTGTATTCACCAGTGAGGGTGAAAAATCCCTCCAATGCTATGCTTTTAATTTTCCTCAGATTTATAGCTAAATCTCATTTATATATTCATAGCAGCATGTACGGCATATTCATAGCAGCATGTACACCCAGAGAAAAGGAGGTTGATTCTCTGCTATATAGCACTGCTTATATGTTATAAGAAGCATCAATACATAGTGAAGAGCCACTGTCAACATAAAAATAACCCATTCTTATAGAAAAAAGTAAAAAAGAGATCCTTAAACACACACACACATATTCTAATATTTACCGTTGGACTCTGAAAGAAATAAGTTCCATCAGACGTTTGTTCCACTGTAGTCTCAAATCCAAAGTGGCTATTTCCAATTCTGAAGTGGCTACCCTGTGAAAGAGAAATATTTGACTTAAAATGTTAACACCGTGACTATACTGACAGCAACTGAGGTATACATCTTTGAGCTCTGAAAATTATTTGGGGGGGGGGGAAGAGAAAAAAAAGAACTGAAATATTTGACTATATCAAACATAAATATAAATCTGACAAGACTGTGAGTAAGCAAGTAAGGACCTTGTAACAGCCACTTATTCCCAAAGGGTGGCTATTTACACCTGGCTAAGGGGAAAAAAGAGAACAAAAGAGGGCAGACAATAGCATAAAACATGCAGATCACAATGAAACAGGAATTTAAAAATTAATAACTGCAATGTAAGTAGAAACACACCAAAGGGGAGAAGTCTATAACCATGGCAGAATTCCCCTAAGAATATCCAAATGAGAAACAGAATTAACTATGAAGTAGCAACACAGCCAACTAAATCCACCAGATGTAAAACATAAATATTTTGTCATAAAATCTGTATCATGTGGGGGTACAGAAACATTCCTCAACCAAATTTACCAGCCTAGGGATTAACACATGAGGAATTCATACATTTCTAATGCGTTATAATACTGAAATAGAAGTTCATGAAACAAAAGGAAGAGAACCTGAAAGAGTCATTAAAAAGGCAGCTTGCTGAAAAATTGTGGCAGAAAGGCTTGAGGTGTCCCAGGCTAGGAAACCTCTGGAGGAAAGAGATACTTCTCTACTCGTTCTTGATCTCTTTGCTGTTTGAACTGACAAGGTAGCTCGGGCAGGCACAATGCAAACAGTCAGGGGCGAGCCACATCCCTCTATTTGTCCATTTTCTTGGTTCCACATTCTGTTTTTCACTTCTCAAGGCCTGAATGGTTCTCTACAACAGGACTGGTCATAACAGAATTCGAAAGGCCAGTTGGATTATTTAAATAAGGTGGAAAAGAATTAAAAGTATTTTAGTTAGGGTACAGCCATGGAACAGAACAAGAGGACAGTTCAGCTCTGAAAGATGTGTGAAAACTCCCAACCAAGACTAGTGTGGGTCAAGGGGAACCTTTACCTTTACCTTTACAGCCATGGAACAGACAAAGAGGACAGTTCAGCTCTGAAAGATGTGTGAAAACTCCCAACCAAGACCAGTGTGGGTCTCTTCCAAAATCCATTAACTCAACAACCAGAGACACAGGGTGGCCCAAATTGCAACCAACAGGAATGCTGCAGGAAATTTAAAGGGATGATGTTCTACTTTGGAGCAATAAATTCTGGTTCCACCAGTGCATAGCCTTGATATGCAATTTAAATTCAGTCTTGATCAATTGTGCATTGCACTGTAAGCGGCCATATCTAGGTGTATATTTAACTCAGGCAAAAAGCTTTCTTCTTCCATCGTTAGGTCTTCATAGTTCCAAAGGTTTGGAAAGAAAGGATAGCCAACGAACTGTCTTTAAACAAAACCATACAAATTAATACTATGCTGGATACAAAGCTAAGCTCACATTGTGCAGATGTAGTGTATGCATGTACAGAAAAGTTTGGTGAGCAGTTGGAAAAGTGTAGGTGCTTAAACAACACAATTTTTCAGGGTGAAAGAATAACCAGAATGGTAGTTCCTCTTCCCCTCCAAGCAAATGTTGCTGTTAACAGACCTCACAACCAAAGTTAGGATAATACCTTGCTGACAAATGACAACGGAGCATGTTTCACAACAGCTGTAGTACTGATTTGAGCACAAGGCATTTTATTGTCCCTGATCTGATTTTCCCATTTACTGTTTAGTGTTTGTTTTGCTCATCTAATGAGCACAGGGTGGCAAACATGGTTTTCTCCACCCCTCACAACTTCACTTTCGCAAAAACAAACAAAAAACCCACAAACAGCTTTCGAGAGATAATAACAGTTATCTGTTATCGAGAGAAAGGCAGACAATAAATAAGATAAATATCTGAAATGACTTTTAGACTTGAATGGGGGCTTGAACCCCTGTCTCCCTCATCTTTTCCTAAGATTCTTAGGTATTGTATGACAGAGACTCTCCATTTAGACATGAAAATGAGGAAGGGAGAAAGAAAGGAATCTTGAGTGGCTAATGGAAAACTGAATTGCCAACTATTAGCCAATTATTTACTTTAATTCTAATGGGTGAAGGAATAAAAATGACACAATACAGCTTCTTCAACTAAGAAAAGGTTTTGTTTCAAAAAAGATGAAGATGAAAAAGAAGGAGGTAGCACCAGCAAGCCAGAAACTATCTATTCAGTACAAAAGTAATCTCTCTCATACACTCATTTTTTCCATAAACCCAGGAATCGTTAAAAAAATAATTTTAATAACATAGTAATGGAACAATTTTAGTGCAATTCTAATAGGCCCTGCAGTAAACAGGAATGAATCAAGTAAGTCATGTCTTCTCTATGGTACTATGGATGTGGACTCTAAGCCAGTCAATAAACAATGATCTGTTTATTGAACAAACCATACATGCCTGGGTATGTCAAATCCATACAAACTGGTTACCTTGAATTGTTCCTTCTGCCTTCTCCAATGGAGATAGCAAGTAAGTAAAAACCTCTGGATGCTGGGAGCCTACTCCCAAACCTGAGTGGACCCCTCAAACAAAACACCTTAGATTGCCAATTACAGGATCCTATTCTTTTGTGACATATTTTAGTGTTCACTTCAGAAGATGTGGACAGGTAACAGCTCCTGGGCAGATGATCAAAGTCACTCTCATTGGAGGAATCAGGGATCTGTGTTACAATATAAAGGACACTGTGTCTTCTTGGTAGTTTTTCACCCCTGGGATAGTCATCTGTCATTACTTTAGAAGGTCTTTCGGACACAACATGTTAGTTTCTCTTGTTTATGTGCTGTTGTCAGAACTGACTATTGGCAATCCTAATAGGGCTTTCTAGGTAAGCGAGGTATTTAAGGAGTGGTTCCTAAGAGCATCCCTGGACCAGTTATGTCAATGGTATGCCAGGGTGCAGAGAGTACATGATCACATATATATATTCCTATTTATAGATTAATATTGCTACGTTACACCCACTCTATCGTCTTCCGTCCCCCCTTACATTCATAACTATGCTGTGTAATAAAATAACCAAAAAACAACAACTAAGGAAGCCTCGATCTATATTTAGAGAAGGTATCTATTGCATGTGGAACACGACCCTCTCCAGGAGGTTGATTCCAAGCTCTTTCAGAGAAGGAGTACTTAGTTTAATAAAGCATTGCACAGTAAGATTCATTCAAGAACTCCACATGCTAATTCTAAACTTTAGGATTGTTAAATTTAACATACAGTTCTTCAAGCAGGCATTTCTGACAGCCATCAACAACACTTCTTAAAACATACTCCTCTTTGCCCAACTTGTCTATGACTGCTCCATAATCTTGCCATTTTCCCTAACATTTATGTGGCCTGTGTCCTCAGTTGCCATAAGGCACAGACATGAAAGTGAGGAAAAAGAGCTGAATTCTACAGAAAGAATGGACAGGTTGGCTGTAAAAGTAGCAAATTCAAGAAAGCCCAGAAAGCAGTTTGATATATAGGTCACACTCTTCCCATTACTGGACAACTTGGATAATAGGCTCTGGGGTGCAGGAACACAAACCATCATTGTTTCTCATGATTGCAGGCTGTGATACTTTCTCTGTGTAATTAAGTGATCTCTATTCTAGAGCTTCACTGATGGAAACACCACAGAGACCCTTCATTCTGGACCTGGGAAAACTGTAACATCCAAACTTAAGAGCAATTTCAGAACAAACAATTTAAGTGCTGTTCATATAATTCACTTTCCAGTACACATAACAGAGAGAAGTGCTGTTTCTCAGTACTAGAATATTTTGCCTACTAAAGGGAAGGGTGTGTGTGTGTGTGTGAGGGAAGTAATAAACACTTTTATCACCACTGATAAATTTCAAGGAAATGATTTTGGTGGTAAAATAAATCTGAGAAATACAGCAGGCATTTAAAGAAAAGATGAAGTCTTGAGACAACAGTATTTCTCTGTTCGTTATAACACTGGGTTAGCACTGTACTGTATATACTAAAAGAAAGCCAGGCCCACTTGCTTTGGAAATGGCAGTGGTGGAAGTGGAAGGAAGGCTGATGGCAGCGGTGGGTGTCGTTGTCAAGCTCAGGGACCCAACAGAGTGACTCAGGCAAATGGGTTGCAAGTCCCCCTAGAAACCGTTGAGTCAGACTCAAGAGTCCCCATCTGTGTCTAATAATAAGGCAGACATACGAGTTTCTCATGAATGCTAGTGTAGGGGTGGAATCCCTCTGCCTACTGGTATTTAAATAAATAAATAAATAAGCAGCTCTTTTCTACACCTCTTTTTGTCTCACATCCAGTGGTGAAATCCATGCACACAAGAGCTGTGTACTGGAGCATATTAGGGAAATATGCTTGCAGGAATATATAAATACGAGTATCATCTAATGAAGAGATTTACACATTATGAAGAGATTTATACATTACTTCTAAAAGCAAATGTGTAAAAAAAAGTTCTCCATTTAACCCCATGACATTCAGCGCAAAGAATAGTGAACTTCAAGAAAAAAACACCAATAACAAGTAATTTGGAAATGTTTGGGTTGTACACATTAAAGTAGTGCTCAAGGATATTTCGGAATTTACCTGATAATGATCTAGATTCTTTCCTTCAAAATATACTTCTGTTGAGACTTCCATGGGTATTATTTTAGGGTTAGGATTCAGGAAGTGTGGGCATTCTTCTGCCTAGAAGATAAAGGTTTTATGTATCATTAAAAATAGAAATCTTCTATCACAAGACTTCTGAACATGTTTTGGACAATGGATTCTTGTTTGTTTTTTTCCAAAGATCTTCACGCTTGCATAGAATGACAAATCTGATTACAGCCTTTCAAATTAGACATGCTAAAAAAACTACACCATATGCCAAACTATCAAACTGACTGAAGTTTGTTTCCAACCATTAAATTAAAGCAGTAAAATGAACAGCAGGAAAAAAAAGAATTGTTTGATGATCATATTAACCAGAGTCTATCATTTATTCTCCTGCACATATTCAGGAGTAAAAGAAAATAAAACAGAACGAAAAATAAAAACTTCAGCAAAATATTAAAGAAGGAAACAACAACATATATCTGGTTTCTTAGTGTATTAGTAAGATCTGCTCATTCTACATTACCATGTTTTGTTTAATCACATCTTCATTTGGTGATGCATCTTCACATATATGATCCTTTCTGTTCCACTGACAATTCCATTTACTGCTTGCACAGGAATAGCACCTGTATGGATAAACCAGAGGTGAGCTCAGTTTCTGGGTTGCAGTTGCTCCATTCCTTTCTAAGTCTCAATTGCAATGTCATTTCATGTACCAATACTTTCCTTCAACTTTATTGTTTTTTTCAGTCATCGTGGTCAAACTATAACCACAAATATATTCAAGTCAATATGTTGTTATTGTTATGTGTTGCTGTTATCATTACCACCTCATGGCAACTCTTATGAATTAATGATCTCCCATTTTTAACAACATAAATACACTAAAAAAATGAAACAAAAAACCATTAAAGTAGTACAAGAAACCCTATTTTCCTCATACTTTTGCTAAAAGATAAAAAACACTTTAAACACTGGAGGGTTTAAAAACCACTAAGAAAGCAAAAAAAAAAAAAGTAGAAATGGAAAGAAATATACATTTTTGTTTTAAAATACAACGAATCATCTAATACATCGACATAATCAAATTAGATAATTACAGTTCACCATATTAGAGAATGACAAAATGGAGGCTCAGCTTTTCGGTAGCTACCACAAATCTCACAACGCTATCAGTCACAGATTTGTCAAAATTAGTCAACAGCTAGGTAATTTTCATTTCACCATCACATATATTCCTTAACAAATTCAGAATAAATGTTGCCTTATCTTCAAAATATAAGGAGCAATATAATAAAAACCCACAACAACTATAATACATATACTGTAGATTTGGGGTGACATATACATGGAGATAGTGTTCTCCTGGTATTTAGAAAGAGTGTTCACCACTAAATACATTGGGAACTCAGGATCTATGAAAAGCCATTGTTTTAATATATGGGACTATGAATGCATTGCTATCTGCAGCCACAGATCTGAACCAAAGACAAATATAAGAAACACAACAGAAGACTGAATTAGTGGTCCTACACAAAGTACTCTGGATACCGCAGAGTATTTTGCGCTATGAGGCTGTACTTACAGTAAGTTTAAATAAATAAATAAATAAATAGTTGCCTGTACCCACAAACTCTTAAGCTTTGCTTCTGGTGAGACTTATTTAGCACATGATGAAAATTGTGTTGCCCTCTTAGGTAAACATCTGACAAGGCAAATATGGACAGAACTCAGTTATATCTTTGACACATTATCACTGAAGAACTATGCAATGAAACACGGCCATAGCCAAGATAAAACTAAATAGGATGTTTCCCCCAAAGTACACTTAATAGACCTTGACTGAATGGTCCAATGGGGCCCACTGTTTACTCAAGACAAGGACAGCTGAATTGTAGGAACAATAAAAACATAGTTGCACTTCTCTTGCCAGTACTCAGAGAAAATTCCTTGTTCAAGTGTGAGAAATGTGACACTGAATTAAGATGCTAACTATAATATCTGGGTGCATATGGCACAGAAAACAGGAAGGTAAAGAATGCTATCAAGCAACCAAATGCAGTACTCACGGTTCATTTTCAATACAATTTATAGCTTTTCCACAATCATAAAAAGGGTATGTGCCCGATGCAAAAAATATATTATCTCCAAAGGTCAAATTCAGCGGAACCTGGACATAATCTACCAATATAATAAAACAAAATAAAGGGGTTAATTGGGTTGATACTTTGTAATTTATATAGTGTTAATCAATGTTCATGTATACAATGTTAATGCCCTGAAGACATATTTAGCTTATAGAATAATTTCAGGGAATTGTGGGGTTACAGTATGAATTTTCTGCTCTCTCTAATGAAACCACATATTTTTTTTAAATGACAAAAAGTAAATGCAAAGTATAAATATTTAAAACATCTAGACTATCACAGAAGACAAATGCCTCTTTGAAAGGATAAATGCTGTATTACTGAAAGTGGCAAGTCAGAAAAACAAAGAAAAATAGGAGGTATGAATGTGGAAAGAAATTTTGAAACCCGTTTTCTTTGAGACTTTTTATTGACAACTCTGCATCACTTACCATCTGTGAATTCTACACTAAGAATAAAACTGATGATGTCAGGGTTTCTAAAATAAGTGGTATACGGTCAAAATAATAAACTGAGCATTTTGGAAAGCTGGTCTATTGCACATACTTCCTCTATTAATGGTTTTCTAATCTGGATTATTACTGAACTCAGGATGAAGATCACGGCATAGAAATCAGGCGTCCCAGAATGAGGCTCCCAGCTATTCCTCTTACGGAAACCATTAAACCCCTCTGACAAGCTATTTCACAAGCTATTGAGCAATTTCAAACTCAGCTTCTCTCTAACAGCTTTTTGAAAGAGTGGTGACAGCTTAGGTTTATGAAAAATTCTAGTGAAAATTCCAGGTAGTTTTTCACTTTAGCCCATCCCTGAGGTTAAATGAAAACTGATCTTTTAAAAGAGGTGTCAATTAATTCAGATTTCAGATTATAAGAACTGATATTTACTAACACTGTAGATCATCTACACTTGTCAACACCTTCTGGTTTAACTGGATATATTTGTTACACTGCATTGGGAGCAAGAACATTTGGGCCTTTTTTTAACATACTAGAAAAATGGAATTCCACAGATGAACAAATTTGTGCCCTGTTCAATAATTAGGCATTCATTAATGATGACAGAGAAACAGAAATTATCTCTAAATCTTGCTGTCTGGAATTTGGAAGATATTAGCACCAAGAAATGTTGTGATACAAACACATGTGTAGAGAATGGACAGCACTGGCCTCAACATCAGGTCCACTGCCTATAAATTCCTGTTCAATGGTTTTCTTTCTTTCCTTCTTTCTTTGGATATGGCAATGTTGTTTGTAGGGGGGAGGCCCTCATATGCATATAAGTACACTCGTAAGTCATATCTGCAAGGAACTCTCACTTAACACATACAATACTGGCTGATATGGTTTTCTTGAATGCTCAATGAGAGATCAGATTAATCTTAAAAACTGTGACGGGACACATAGCAAGTAGATTCACCTCACTTCACTGGAAAAATAAAAACGGTACCAGTGCTGACTACATAATTTGTGTACTATCTTGGCTCTCAGGATGGTATTGAGGCTAAAGTTACTAGACTCAGGATACCTGGGTTAAATTCCATATTTGGTCTCAACAATCATTGGGTGACCTGTATTTATTTATTTTAAATATTTTTATCCCACCTTTCTCCTTTAAAGGGACCTTGGACTAGCCATAGTCTCTTAGCACAGCTGTAAGCCGCCCAGAGACCTTTGGGTAGTGTGGGGGGCATATAAATAAATAAATAAATAAATAAATAAATAAATAAATATAAATAAATAAATATCACAGGGTTGTTGTGAGAAAAAAAGTAGTGAAAGGAGGAGACTCATATGTACTACCTTGAGCTCTCTGGAAGAAAGACAGGTCATAAATGTAACAAATAAATAAAATTAATAATTAATACAATTAAACCTGGGCTTGCTGGCACCTGACACAGCCCTTTAAGGTTTTCAACAACATTTCTGGAGCAGTAACCACAGATGTGTTGCAAAGCTGACTTGGACAAAAAGCATGATGGCTTTGCCCCCTCCACCCCCATCAGAAATGCTCTCAGCCACTTTACTCCCAGAGGAAGTTGTTCTCTGTGTTCGCAAGAGAAAAAACAAAAGCAGATTGCAATGTGAAGAGAAACGGCCTGGAAAAAAAAAAGAGCTTGCATCTTCTATCAAGTGCTAAAAGTAGCTTGCTTCCAAACAATGGGCACCTTGTGAGTCTCAGGTACTGTTATCTCTTTACCTTGGCCTTCTGGTGTTGCAGGTATTACGTTAGGAGGTGGACAGACAATAGCCTCTCCTTGTAACTGAGCTTGATGGATCATTTCACCAAAGTGACACCAAAGCTTGTCATCTTCATTTAAATCTGGTAAAGGGGTCACAGTCAATTCTACCTGGAAACACAAGTAGGAACAGGCTGTCAGAAAGCAATCAATATGGACGGAATTACCAACTTCCTGGTAGTGGTAACAAACAGAAAAGTAGAACAGAAGAAAATAAATGTGGAAATGGGGGAGGGGCGAAGCTGACAGATAAATATATGTATTATAACACTACAATAATGCCCTCTTCCTGGATAACTTACTGTTATTGCAATTCATTTACTGTTAGGAAGTGGCCACTGTTCAGTGACAGAGTATATCTTTGCACGGAGAAGTTTAAACATTCAGTTCTCAGTATCCAGTTTAAAAAGTCACCAGTGCTAGTTTGTCTTTCAAAAGCCCTAAGAATTGCCATTGTTGGAGAGAATACAGTGGGGTCTCGACTTACGAACTTAATCCGTATTGGAAGGCAGTTCTCAGGTCGAAAAGTTCTTAAGTCGAATCTGCATTTCCCATAGGAATACATTGAAAACCATTTAATCCGTATCTGCTCTTGTCGTACATAGAAACTAATGGGAAGCTGCTATTCCGCCTTCTGGCACTAGAGGGGGATATTTTTTCTTTTTTTTCTTTTAACCTAAGATGACTTAGCTTTAAAAAAAAAGGGAAAAAAAGAGTTCGTAACTCGAATCTAAGTTCGTAAGTCGAGTCCATATATTCCTATGAGAGCGGTTCGTAAGTTGAAACGTTCGTATGTCAAGCCGTTCGTAAGTTGAGACCCCACTGTAAGTGTAATAGTCCAGGATCAGGGATGATTGTGGAACCTGTGACATGCCCCCACCCCAGGTTCTTGCATGGCCCCATCTAGCAGTGGGCAACCATGGGGAGCAGAATCTATGGTACTTTGGTGGCATGAAGCCTGTGGCCATCCCAATAGTCATAGATAGAGATGGACATGAACTTTGGTCCGGAGGTTTCTTCCGGTTTGGAGACACAGGTCCTGCACATTCTCACCTCCCTGGCTGGAACCCCCACTCAGCAGTTGGCATGTGCTCCTCTCCTCCTCTTTGGCTGTTCAACCAGTCCAGCGGGAGCACGGGCTTCCCTGCCCTGCCTCTTTGGCTGATCGCCCACTCAGATAAGGAGGCAGAACAGACAAACCCATGCTCCTGCTGGGGAAGACGAAATCTGAGTGAAGGGAGGTGTAGTTGTGCACACGCGTGCAGCCACATACTTTAGAGGGAACCTTGAGGACCACACAGCTTTTTCTTTCTTGTTTAAGCTCATTCAGAAATGCACAGGTAAAATGAATTAATGATCATAAATTTAATAATGAATTTAAACAACTTTGTTTCATAAAAGAATAAGAAAATGGAACAATTAACACAATTAAAATCCTACACCAGGCTGTTTCTGTTGTCTTCTAGCCACCCCGAGTAGACTTTGTCTAGAGGGGTGGGGTATAAGTCCAAATAAAGTAAAGTAAAAAGTCTTCATAAGTTGTCCAATTTTTCATAATGGTAGTCTGAGGGAGAATTCAGCCCAAAAATAATGCTTAGGTAAAATAGTCCACGAAAATTGGTGGTATCTCTCACAAATCTTTCTTAAGGCTCCTCAGATCATGCTGTAAAAGCCCTTCTCTTGTTTCACTGGTTCAAGCCCACAGAAAGTATGAGGATCGCTCATATAAAAACATAATTAGAACCATTCAAAAACTATGCTGATTATAGTCTCTAAATATCTGTGGCAGTAGAGGACAGAGAAGTTTGAATACAACTGCAGTAGGTGAAGCTGATTATTAGCCAAGATGCCGTATTGTTCTTTGTATTGCTTTTACTTGTGAAACTGTGAAATAAACATATATACTGCATAGGCTGTGCTCATCTTTCTCAGTTCAGTGGATCAGAAAATCCCACAGCACACTGGAGAACCATACATACAGTATTTCTACTGTGGGAACTAGAACTGAAAGTACAGAACACCTTGTAATACCTTCCATAAAAAAAATCTGAAGTATGTTTTGCTAATTCTCATGAGCATTCCAAATGAAGTCTGGGAATTCTATCAGAAGCCAAACTAGCTACTCCCTTTTTTCAGGAACAGATACAACCTTGAACAAACATATAACAAAAATAAAATCAAGAAGTCTGTGGCAGCTGCAGGACCAACTGGTTTATAACAGTGTAAATCTTCATGGACTACAATTTATTTCCTTAGATAAATGGAGTATAGTATTTAGGCCACAAGTTGATATACATGGTTGTGTTTGGGAGAAATGTGAAACCTAGCTATCCACTAACCCCTCATCCCACAGTCTTATACCTTGTGTATATAAACGTGTTCTACACATTGTACTCCACATATCTGAGACAGTAGTTTGCCATCTATAAAATGTCTGATTGAAATAAATCTGTTTAGTTTAAACATGGCACAATAGTTTTATTTTTGTTATGTGTGTTGAAACAGACTACCATACCAATTTCTTTGAGAACCTTTGACTATAACCTCTTCTTTTGCTCTTCCTGGACAGGACTCTTGGTGAGTCCTTGGCAAGGATGGGATTATGCTCTGTCATCTTGCCCTGAAATCTATTCAATACCCAGACAAAATGCCTTGTCTGTGTTTGCACTATTCTTCTCTTGTCTCAAGTCTCTTTTGTGTGGTTTTGTTTCCAGTGTAAATGCAAAGTCTATTGAGCACTGAACTTATTTAAACATTTCCAGCATAATTAAAGTACACTAACCACACAACAACAATCACCAGAGGGCACAGCAGGAGTCACAAGTCAGATTTGAAAGAATCAAGATGCTTGTTTTGAAGGCACAGAAAGACAGACATTTCTTAAACTGCCCATTCAAAACTGGCAAGATAAAGCAATGCGTTGGCTGTTCAGGGACAGAAGTGTTCTGACAAAGAATTAAGTCTAGTGGTTTCAGGAGCTTCAGGGGAAAATGCCAACTGAGCATACAAGTGTTTGATTATTTCTGTGATTAGAAGAAAACAAGCTGCCGGAAAGAAGGTGAGAATAGGATGGGTTAAAAAGTTACTTGAATTGACTAGACAGCTGAAAACACAGAGGTATATCTGAATGTTCTTTTTTTGTAATTATCCTTGATTTTGCTATTTCGCCCCAAAAGTCCTCTCTTACTGTGTGCCTTTATTGAGTATACAATCTATCTTCTGAAAGAACAACTGCTGTGCCCTTTGGAAATGTAATATTCCTGTGTTAAAAAACTGAACCACACTAAAATGTGAACCTATCTGTACAGCCAACACAGTGTACACTAAAGTGAAAAGGTATGGTGTGCATCTTCCTGTCCTAAAATTTAAAAGAATAACAAAAACATTTTTTTCACAGTTTACTTCCTCACCCTACCCTACCCAACACAACATTTTCTTTAATCTAAAAAGCAAAAAAACTTGTTCTATCAGTTGACACATTTGCATGACATGTAACTGGTGATTTGAATGTAAAACCTTAGAAGTTTGCATCAGGGTGCATGAGAAAGGAAGACACATTCACTTTTGTTTCCAAAATCATGTTTTAGGAGACCAAATCCTTCATGTCAGGATGGATCCTAAATCTAGATAAACATCTTGAGAATACTATTTTATCAAGCATTTGCAATGTATGGATGGATTACACGTAAATCTATCCGCAAGACAAGCATTTAAACTGACGTTCTGAGCTGAAGTAAAGAAGAGGCTTCTCTTGCAAATACTTATTCAAAAAGGGATAGAAATTTTTCCTCCTAAAGATATAATGCTTCTTCTAATCCTGCCTCCTCTGCACAACCAACTTGCAAACAGAGTCTGTGCTTTCTGTATCATCAAGTAACTGAAGAAAAGCAAGCTAATTTGCAATTCCAACCAGGTAAACAAATAAATTCTCAAGGAAGTTCTGCTTCTAATGATTGGCTCACTATGGCAAGGAAGTTGAGAAGCACATGTTTCACAGTGAACTGCTGTTAACTGCAGTTCTTTCATGCCACTTTCTAACCAATAAGAAACAGCATGATGCACTATCTTGACATGTTTTGGGCATTTGTTTCTCAATTGTACAATGTCTCTGTGTTCTGCTGAGTGTGTTCTGTTTTGGGCTGTGATGACATACTTCACATGTGTCCCTAGTATGTGCTGCCATCTATCTGAGCATTGATAATATCCCATCTTCCCAAATAGGTACTCATTTGCGCTTGTCTATTTTCTATAAACTGCATGAGAAAGCCACTGATATAACTACAGTGAAATACTTCTGTGGAATAAATCAGGGGTGGGCAAACTGCAACCTTACAAAAACTATGGTTTTTTTTAACTAGAGCTTCAGGATCTGGCAAATGAAGCCAAGTGATAAAGACAGAAACTGAGAATTAAAGACCTTTGAGCCTGAAAATTTGTATTTAATACTGGAACAGACCTCACAACACGTCCAAAATATGTAAGAGTTGTCCCCACTTTTTCCCCTCAATTTGCCAATATTAGGAAGTTACCTGTAACTCTGGTTTTTCGAGTGGTACTCTGTGAATTCACACTAATGGGTTAATCTGCGCCTGAGCAGAGCAGCCTCAGAAACTTCTAGAGCTCTAGCACCTGGTGCTGGGACCTCCCACCTAGGCTATATCTCCACCCCCGGCACTGGGTGCCTCAATTCCGTGGAACTGTCCACTGCTGTATAGCGTGTCTAATGACATATATGACGAACAGTGGGGAGAAGGGCGGGACGTGTGAATTCACAGAGTACCACTCGAAGAACCAGAGTTACAGGTAAGTAACTTCTTTTTCTCCTTCGTGGTCTCTGTGAATGCACACTAATGGGTGACTAGAAAGCTGACTCATCAGGAGGTGGGCAGCACGACAAGACAGGAGCCAGTACAGCTCTTCCCACGGCAGCCTCAGCCTTGGCCCGAAAATCGAGGCAATAGTGTGCTGCAAAGGTGAAGGGTGTGAACCATGTCGCAACCTTGCAGATATCAGTGAAGTCAACTCCACAAAGGAAAGCCGTGGAGGAAGCAACCACTCTAGTCGAGTGTGCTTAAACAGTAGAAGGCAAGAGTTTATGAGCAATCTCACGCACCAGCTTGATTGTTAAACCACCCAGTCTCTCAAACGGCTGAGACGGTCTGCAAGGAGATTGTCAGCAGAGGCCACATGAACCACAATCAGGAAGAGGTGGCATTCGTAGCACCACTCCCAGACCTGAATGGTGAGGTACAGCAGGTGTTGGGAGTGTGTATCCCCTTCCTTGTTGAGGTAATAGACTGTCAGATGCCAGTTGCACCACTTGACCTGAGAGGAGACGTTCGAAGGCCTGCAGAGCCTTGAAAACAGCTAGGAATTCCAAAAGGTTGATGTGAAGAGAAGGCTCCTCTGGAGTCCAGCTGTCATGTTCCCAGGGGGGTTCAACAGGCAAAAGTCCAATATACCAGTTCAATATCAGAAGTCCAGAAGATGCAAAGCAGATACCAAAATGCCAAAACCAAAACACAAACCGTAGTCAGCAGTCAGAGTCCAAAGCCAGGGGTCCAGAGAACAAGGTCCAAGGTAAGCAGGAGCGTGGATGCGAGCCAGAGTGTCAACTTGTTGCTTCCACCTCTGGATGAAGATTTTATAGCAGCAGCAGTCATCTAAACACTTCATCCTGTTAAAACTCAGGGTTGGTCGACCTGATGTTCCTATGGGAAGCATTCATGCGATCTTCTGCCCTTCGTGTCATGAGCATTTGCCGAAGCTTAGCCCTCACCCTGGCTACTGGGGGAGGAGAATCTGATGGTGATTCAGCTGTCTGTGCTTCTAATTGCCCACCTCAGATTCCAGGCCTTCTTTGGCTGAACTCATAACACCAGTGACCATTTGCTGTCAGGCCCTGGACATGTGCTCCCCAACCAGTCAGACTGGCATCTGTGATCAGTTGAATTGACGGCTGGAGAGGGCCGAAAGGTCTGCCCACTAAGAGATTTGAGCAAAGGGACCACCACATCAGTTGTTGTGCCAAATCTTCTGAAACTGTAAGAGTTTTGGAAGGTGGGTTGGTCAGAGGGTTGAACAGTACCAGGTACCAAGCTTGGAGGGACCATACCTTCAACCTGGCATGTTGAATGACCGCTGTGGTGGAGGCCATAAGGCCCAGCAGACGCTGGGCCAGCAGAGCTTAGACCATTGCCCCCACAGTGAAGAGGGGAACTAACTGTCCAGTACCCCACCGATGTAGGTGACCTGCTGGGTAGGAGTCAGTGTCGACTTTTCGTGGTTGATCTGGAGACCAAGTTCAGACCGGAGAGACAGAGTAAAGGTTAGGTGTTGTGAAAGTGCATCGGAAGACGATGCCACCAACAACCAGTCATCAAGGTAAGGGAAAACAGTGATGGCCTTCAAATGAAGGTAAGCTGCCACTGGGGCCAAACATTTCGTGAACACCCTTGGTGAGGTGGACAATCCAAAAGGGAGAGCCTTGAATTCATAGACTACGCCATTCAGCAAGAAGCGAAGAAAGCAACGGTATTCAGGATGGACACTTATTGAGATCAATAAGTACAAACCAGTCTCCCTGTCTGAGCATCTGAATGGTACCATCAAGGGAGACCATATGAAAGTGCCGAGGCGTAATGTAAAAATTCAAGGGTCTGAGATCAAGAATAGGCCGGAGACCAACATCTTTCTTGGGTATAATAAAGCAGCGTGAGAAAAAGCTGCTTGAAATGTCAAGATTTTCCACCAAAGTGATGGCATTCTTAGAGAGTAGCTTGACTGCTTCCTCACGCAAATCGGGTGAAGTGTCTGTATCTCTGACAAAACTGTGCAAGGTGTAAAGTCAAACTCAATCACATATCCAGTGGAGATGACGGTGAGAACCCAAGAGTCAGAGGAGACTGACCTCCAGGCATTGAAAAATTGGGCTACTCTAACCCCATGAATCATGGGTGCTGGCAGCCGCCAAAGTCTAAACTGACTGCTTGGCTTTATGGTCCTGGCAGCGAGATTGCTGGCATTGCCTCTGCCTACTAGCCTGCTGGTGAGACGGACCTTGAAAGGTCACCTGTTGTGATCTGAAGTGGTCAAAGTATGGCCTTGAAGAGTAGGAATGTCGGCAGGTACCCAAGATGTTGATTGAGAGGAGAAGGACCTGGCTGTCTTCCTATGTTTCAGAAGACTTTCAAGGATCTCATCTGTTTTGGGGTCGAAAAGACCCAGTCCATCAAATGGGAGAGCCTCGATTCTGCTCCTCACATCATTCACAATGGACGCCTATCATAACGACGCATGCCTGTATAGTGCAACCACAGTAGCCAGTTGTTTAGATGAGGCATCCACCACATGCCTGGCCGCAATCCTCTCCTGGCATGCCAGGGACTTGGCCTCCTGATGGTTAGCCAGACAAGCAACCCTAATATCCTCTGGCGCTGCATTCAGTGCTGGGAGAACTGCATTCCACAGGTGCCTGTGGTAGGTGCCCATGGCTGCCAGGTAATTTGCTACCCTAAGGACAAAGGTAGCAACAGTATAGGACCTGTGCCCCAGCATGTCCATTTCACCCCTCTTTGTCTGAAGGAGAGGCAGAAGACCTGGTTCGAGAATGAGATTGTGTAGCATCCACCACCAGTGAATTTGGAAGTGGATGCTTTGCAAGAAACCATGAGTTTTGTATAGGTTCTCCACTCTTCCTGGTATCTGTTGAGAAGTGGAGGGCTTATTGCAGGACTCTTTGGCTAAGCTTAACAATGAAGGGATAAAAGTCAACTTCAATGGGGCCAACTGGTCTTTGGTGATGTCTTCATACACCTTGTCCATATGCTGAAGTTCTGGCTGCACAACAGCCAGATCCTGGACCTTAGTGATGTGCTTAATAAGCTGCACATAGGATGTATAGTCCTCGGAAGGTGAGGGAGGATGATTGCGATGGTCGCTGAAGCTGGAGTGGGGGCATTAATCGGCGACTCTTCCCTAATCTCGCCTTCATCCTCACTGGAGTCTGATTCGAGCTCGACCTCGCAGTCCGATGTTGGTGAACAGCCTCAAGGGAACTCTGACTCTGACTCCAGGCCCAATAGATCTTCCAGAAAGTCATCCTCTTGAGCCCCAGGTGGAACGGGCGAGGGTCTGTATATAGGCTGTTCGACTCGGCATCAACGCTCTGGTGTCGGGCCCAATGCCAGTTGAGCAGGTGTGGCGGACTGAGGCTGTTCCCTTGCTGGAGGTCATGAAGGGGGTTCAGCCGGACAATGAAAATAAGTCTTCACGTACGGTTGGAATTTTGAAATTGTTCACAAAACGATTGCCACTGCTTGAAAGCAAAAAAATGTGGTGGGATCGAATGGCGTTGAGTAGGCGGAGCTCTCGATCCCAAAGGACTTCATCAGAACACCTTGGGGATCTTCCCAGGAAAGCGCCTCCAGACGGGCTCGAGCTCAATCGGGTTCGGGCTCAAGGTGCCTGGTTTTTCTTTTCTTCTTTTCAGGCACAACAACGGGCTCCAGAGAAACGGGGACCAGTGTCTCCGATCTGGGTGGCGGAGAGTCCTGAGGAGATCCGGAGGCCTGGCTTGGACAAGGTGAAACTGGTTTCACCATCCCCGAAGGCAGGATGCCCTCATCATCCAACAGCACAAGTTCAACAGTGCGTCTCGGAAGAGGCATTGGCATCGGAGAATGAGCCCAAGGGTGAGGTGGATCCACTAATGGAGCAGCTCTTTTCTTTTTCTTAGTTGGGCTCTAGCCCAAGGAAGGCTTCAGTGCCGAAGCAGAGGCTGTTGACCTCAAGCCCGAGGGTGACGATTTCCCCAACTTCTTCGGCAGCAGAGAACGTCCAGAGATGGAGGATGCCTCTGATGGTGGAGCTCTCAGGCGGTCCATTCCCAGGGCAGGCGGGTCGAGAGACTTTGACCAGAGATATGCCTTTAGCTGATCTTGCCTATGTCTTAAAGCAGGCTTTGTAAAGGCCTTGCAATGGGAGTACAAGGCTGGCTGACACACTTCGCCCAAACAGTAGAGGCACTTAGCATGTCCGTTAGTGAAGGGAACCTTCCCATTGCAGGCCTCGCAATGTTTGAAAAGCCCATAAGAGGCCATAAACGCCTCAAACACAGTTCTATTCTTTCGAAAGCCAACTCATGATCCAAAAGAGAAGTCAACAATCCAAAAATCAACACGAGGGAGGTCCTATTAGATGATTACGAGAAAACAGGGAAGCAAAAACCCACCAAGCTCCGAATGAATGCTGCTACAGTGGCGGCAGGAAATGGAACTGAGGCACCCGGTGCTGGGGGCAGAGATATAGCCTAAGTGGGAGGTCCCAGCACCAGATGCTAGAGCTCTAGAAGTTACCGAGACTGCTCTGCTCGGGCGCAGATTAACCCATTAGTGTGCATTCACAGAGACCACAAAAGAGAACATTTAATTACACATCAGCGAAAAGGAAACCAAAAGTGAATGCTAATTTCCATAAAATTGCATATAGTTATCTGCATATACACATGTGGCATTAGGCAGGATTTTAACAATTTAAACAGAATTGCAATGTATTCTCACTAGAGTGGGGAGGATGGTGTGTCTCTGGCTCAGGGCACAGACAGAGTTCTGACTCCTGTCCTTTGAAGATGCTGGCCACAGAGACTGGTGAAACGTTAGGAAGAAAAACCTTAAGAACACGGCCAGACAGCCCGAAAAACCTACAACAACCATTGGATCTCAGCCGTGAAAGCCTTCGAGAATACATTGTGTTTTTGTTTATCTATTTAAAACCACCCACAGAAATACAAAACAGTGGCTCCATATCTGCTTTCTGGCCATCAAAGCTGCAAATGAATTGTGTGGGCAATTATAAGCAAGCCATTTTTCCACAAATAATATCTTCTTTTAACTTTCTCTACAATTCACACAAAAAAACTGGTACATTTACCATCCGTGGAGCTCTTCGGCTCATGTTTTGAGGGTTAGCACCTGTAACTTTCAAGCAAATGCCATCTGGACTCCAGAGCCAATTATTTCTCCTTGCTGATCGTTCACAGTCTTTTTTCCTTGTGCATCTGAAATAAATTATAAAATATAAAGTGATCTGGAATAATAATATATTTTTTAAAAAAATACTCATTAATCAAAAGGCGAGAGTATACAAAAGCATGTGAAGTAATAAGAGGAACTATGGCACAGAATGTGTATTTGATATTTCATTTCTTTCTTTCCAGTTTACTTATTGTTCTTTATGACAGGATAATTACCTGTAAGCATTTTCAAATGATCTGTAAATGTACAAATATTTATTTTAAAAAATATTTCATCACACACCAGTGAAAAAGTTAGGTTAATAAAGAAATATATAAGGGAAAGTTGTTTAGCAACAAGAAAATGATATTGTGCTTAAACAGCATATCAATGTAGACTGTTCTACTTACTCCATAACATTGAACATAAGCAATGTGTGTCTTTCCTTTCCTTTACTTAGACTTATACCCTGCCCCTCTAGACAGTCTAGCAATATCTGGAAAGTCTACTTTCCAGATACTGCTAGACTTTAACTCCCAGTATCCCGTACTATTGACTATGCTGTCTGGGGCTGATGGGTATTGAAGTCCAATAATATTTAGAAAGATGCACATTCACAATGTCTGCTTTAATGGCCCTCTAGACAGTCTAGCAATATCTGGACAGTCTACTTTCCAGATATTGCTAGACTGCAACTCCCAGTACCCCGTACTATTGACTATGCTGTCTGGGGATGATGGGTATTGAAGTCCAATAATATTTGAAAAGATGCACATTCACAATGTCTGCTTTAACATATTCCATGGTATAATCAGATCTTTACCCTCTCCTTAAGGCTTAGCTATGTGAACTCATGTAGAAGAGAAAAATAGTGGCTATAGGATCAGCTGCTGCTTATTGCTACCACGGGTTTTTTCTACTCATTACAACGATAACTCACAACAGTAGTGCCAAGCAGAGAATGCGATGGGCTCAAGATGGCCAAACACTTTAAAGACACATCTTTGTGAAATTCAAACAATTGCAGTGTTTGCACAAGAACAGATAAGCCAAGCTATTTTTACAAGATTACTAAATATCTGGAAAACAAGAGTGACTTAGTATAATAACTTAAAACCTAATAGACTTATCATGACCAAAGCATTCCTGGACAATAATCCATGTCATCAGATGCACAAATACTGGAAGAATTTATCCACGAAGGCTTTCACGGCCGGGATCTAATGGCCACAGAGACTGGCGAAACGTTAGGAAGAACAACCTTCAGAAAACGGCCAAAGAGCCCCCAAAAACCCCACAACAATCACTGGAAGAATTCCTGTTGTCATAACTTATGCTGTGTAAGGCTGATGATATCATCAGTAGCAGAGACTTTTCAGAAATTAAGCACTTCTGACTTCTCTTCTCAAGGTCCCAAGGATCTTGTATAATCTCATTCATTATTGAGAAGCTGTGAGGGTATAAGACTGCAAAGGAAGTATTTAATTGCTGAAGACTCCTGATGTTGGGATGACTTGACTGGCAGTGGTAGTTTTTAGTAACTAAAAGATTTCCCCCTCCGACCCCAAAGCCTCACAACAATGAGAGGGATTAGATGGGCACTTTGGCACTTTCAAGAGTGAAGTCTGAAATATTTAATTTCCAGAAAGTCACTGATGATGATGCCCTTAACTTGTTTATCATCTTAGAACTGCAGAGCTGGAATGGAGACTATGGATCGAGTCCAAACCCTGCCAAGGAGGCACAGTAGGGAATCGAACTCCCAACCTCTGGCTTCGCATCCAAAAATCTAAAACACCTAGCTATTAGTCAGTGTTATATTTTATTATACTGCTTGGGACATATGCTATTAAATGTGTCGTTACTGAGCAAACATCAATCTGCTTGCAGGAGACAGGGCCCACCACCGAACAATGTTTTAATTGTTACTGTTTATTTTTGTGTTTAAAACATGTTGTAGCTTACCATAAACTACCCAGAATAGTGCATCTGCACCAACCAGATGGTGTAAGTGAGTGAGAGTGAAAGAAAGAAAGAATGCTAGATCCAGTCAATTTTGAGAATTTGCATGTATCTGGCATGCACAGCATTGCTAGAATCCCCAAGGAATTAATAAGGTTCTAGTTAGAACAACCACATTTTAGAAGGAACTGTCTTTCTTTTTAAGAATTCTGAGGAAGACCGATGATCTGCAAGGTGCCACATACATGCAGAAACCCCACTGCTGATATCACTTTACTTTCCTTTATTCAGACTTATACCCCGCCCCTCTAGACAAAATCTACTATTCATGTTTCTATTCAACTTTTCTTCATGGGTTGCAATCACATTTCCTTAGAACAAGTTCATCAGTTAGAGAGAGCCTGGGCTAAGATCACCCAGTGAATGTCATAACTTTTGAAGGATTTGAGCCTGGGACCAGCCAGTACCCCGCATAAACTTGAAAAATTGTATGTACAATACACTGTAATGCTCTCTTTGGCAACAATTTCACTTTTCCAGAGAAGAGGAATACATCATATCCCTCTTGCAGGACATTCCACCCCCACTTCCCCAAAACATCATTTTCTATTCTCACTGCAATATTTCAGCTACCATTTCATGACCACTGAACTTAGTTCTCACTGGCTGCCTGTGAGTTCCCTCCCCACAAGGAATTTTTTAAATACCTTTTTTTTTTTGGTGCTTTTGATTCTTTAAAATACTGTATGGACCTTCTTAAAACCTTTGGATGTTCATGGAGCCATTTTGGCTTCCTAGGGAGTTTACTATTAGTACAGATAAGCAAGATGGCACATTCGTCTGGAAAAATCTTTAATATTTCATAATAATCAGATCCAGAGTCATCATCAACAGAAGGCTAAAGAGAAATGCTGATTCTCTCTTGCCACATGTTCAGGTTTGCAGGTGGGTCACATCTGAGGAAAATCGCATCCTGGAGTCTGAAGGCACATACTACTGATTCATTTCAGGAATTCACATATAGGCTTTATGGCAAGCTTTTAGATAATTTTACTAAAGTCATATAAATGTTTAGAGAGGAGGCAAGATCCCTGGAACTCATCTCCTTCCTATAATAAAGTAAACCTTGTGTGCTACTAGCACACTCCTCGTATCACAAAATCCCATAAGGTTCTGCAATGTGGTTAATTAACCTGGATGTTTGAATCAGGGTTATCTGACTTAGGGGCATACCTCTTTCCTTTGCTTATTAAAAATAATCCTATGGACATTCATAAGGTTCAGTTCAGAAGACTTTACGCTTACTTCCAAAGTATAATTTAGTTACCAAGGCTGCTAAGTCAGCAAAGTGGCATCTGCTATGCCAGCGTGTTTAGTGACGGGCTCTGGAATTAATTTCTGGAATTTAATTTCAGAATTGAAGGAAGCACATGAAAAGAAAATACAGGTATTCTAGAAACAGTCATATATAAAGAGGACCCACCCTCTGCAAATGCCTTTCAAAAGCTTGGAAATTCATCCCATTAATTGTTTATTACCTTTTAAAGAACAGAAATAAAACTTCTGGAAACTACAAAAAGTCATGTGGCTCAAAAGCAACTGGAAGGGGCAACAGAAGAGCAGATTGAAAGTTTACGCATCCAAAAAGAATTTTCTTTCAATTTTGACTGAAGAGCTAGTTTTCTTTCATTACTTTTCTCCTAAAAACTTATCACTGTAACATTTGTTCTGTATATTATTGCATATCTGAATATAGTACATCTGTGTAAAATGATTTGAAGACCACCTTAAATTTAATGCATATCATAACAAGTGACATGTCTATCACAACACACCTATCATAACAAGCTCTACTAAATATAGCATCATCAATAGTATAGTGGTGATTCTGTGTTAAGACATAACTGTTCCATAACTGAGGCACACGTTTTGTGCATAGAAGGCATCAGATCCAACCTCTGGAAGCTTCAGGTATGTCTGAGAAAGATTCATGCCCGAAAGATGAAGACCTACAGTCAATTGGCATAGACAATAGTGACCCAGATGGATAAGTGGTTTGACCCTGAATAAAACAGGTTTTTGTACTGCACATACTCTGTCTCTGTATTTGGTTTCTCATGTTTTTTTTTCCTGCATAGGTGACATACCTTCAGTGATTCAGAGATTTAACAACAAAGATAGTGTTCTAGACAGAGCAAAGTTTCAAGCAATCCTCCTCTTTTAAAAGCCAAGACCCTTAGTATTCTATAAATGGATTTTTAGTTCTCAGATAATACTTTGGCATATCATTCTGAACACTTTATTCTTTTTTCAATGTGGCTCTCAGCAGTCAAGAAAAGCTTTGTGCCTTCAAATGGAAGAAATCTGAAAATATAATGGAGCAGCCAAAATTTGGGCATTGCCCCATCAAAAATTGTTTAATAATTTACAACTGGATGGGTTGTACTTAGGGATGTTTAAGGGTTAAAATACTAAAATAAGACTAGCACAAGATAAATGCTAGATGTTCGCCAGCTGTGACTTGGCAACCACCATTTTCATGCAAATTATATACAAGCTGTACAGACAAAATATGCAAATTAGTTTTCACCCTGCCGCTCATTATATGTGGTAATTTGTGATGAAGATTTTTTTTCCCCAGTTCTCATACAAATGCTTTGAAGAAATTATTCAGCATCCACGGATATTGTGAAAAGAATTACTTCGCACAATGTGATAAGCTTCACCCTGCAATACTTACTTTCCTTCTGTTACACACCAGCCGCAGTAAGGATCCCGGGCTTGAATACACTGATTACAACTTGTGTAACTATCACATTCTTGGACAGGCAAGCGAAAGACCTAGGCAGGGGGAAAAGAAAGAGAACTGACATAAATAGCAAAATAGACTTTTAATTAAAAACTGGGAAACTGTTTTGTTCAATTATAGATAACATCTCAGTGATATGCTCTGCATTCATGGTCAGTCCAAAATTTGCCCACATTCTTCTTGATTATCAGTCCAACCAAAACAGAACCAAAAAAGTTATTTCTTCTCAAAAGAAGTCCTGCACATGCTCTCTATCCAAGTGTTCACTCCTACATATGGATGCAAGTCATGTACTAGATTCAGTCCAGGGGGGCAATCCCTGAAAAGCTGATCAATGAGTTTATTTGGAATGTAAGCACTTATGGCACATTTAATGTCAATTTTTATGGATATTAGGGCATGCAAGGGGATCACTAATTCAGTTTCCCATGCTTTATAGCTGTGATTGCAGCTGGTCCCTGGCTTCCATTTTAGCTCTAGCATTGAAAAAAGGTGTACAAGAACACTGCAATCCTATGATATTGCCTTCTTTCCCAGAAGCTTTAAATGTCTTGTGTAAAAATAAAGATCTCTGTATACTTATAGAAGTAAAAACACAACCTCTGGAAGATCCAGCTATCTGGGCTAGTCCTGCTATAAGGCGGAATGAAGCCGTTTTCTCATACAGCAAGTGCTGGAGATGACAGCAAGGAGGGAGCTGTGTGCCATGTGACTCCAGCGTGCTGCCTTGAGGTACACTGGAGGACACAGTCTTAACAGCATTCTTGAAGAAAGATTTAATTTAGGATGATTGAGATTAAACTTAATGTCCCCAGAAGAAGGGAATGGTAAACCACTTCTGAGTACTTTCCACCCAGGAACCCCTGGGAAGGGTTGTCATAAATCAGAATCATATGATGATTAAGATGGAATGAGTGCTGTTTTGTTCTTTGTCCTAGGCAGAAAGATCCACCAAGGAAACCCTGGGAAGGGTTGTCATAAATCAGAATTGACTTGATTGCATATGATGATTAAGATGGAATGAGTGTTGTTTTGTTCTTTGTCCTAGGCAGAAAGATGTCTGGTGTAGATCTTGCCATTCATCTACCTTACACAACTCATGTGGTTTATTTACTGCATTGTCAAATCTCAATCTGTCTTAATCTACAATTCACATATCATTTTACTAATGCAGGATTTTGGACAGTTACTGTTTACTGTAGCTGATGCAACAGGTCACACTCTTTCCAAATGTTTGAATAATCTGCACAACTCATGAGGCAATTCCCATAGAAAGTTCTGTTAGAAGATGCTAGAAACTGAAGCTCCAGGAAGAAACCTCCATGCATTCAAACTGACAGAGAGCGCAATGCAAGCATGGTTACATGCTGTACATGAATTTGAACATAATTTTGCTTTTAATTACTAGTACAATGGGTTTAATAAATACTATGATATTGTGTTCACATTTTCTTCAGAAAATAGTATTGCTAATGGTTTCCATTAGGAATACACAAAGCAATATATCCAAAGGATGCTATACTTGCTGAAATCTCGTTAAAGATGCTATATATAGGTCTGAAGTCCTCAGCGTACTTAACCAGACATTTTAATAGGATATGTTTCCAAGAGAAAGCATTCATAATTTGAATGCCGTATTTCACAACAATTGCTACTGTTAAGTTCCTGCAATACCCTCCTCTGAGCAATTTTATATCAAAGAAATGTCTCTCAGTCATATGATAAAAACACCCATTTTATAATAATCCTCACATTAAGAAGCAAGTCATTAAAGAACTCACAACTCATTAAGAATTATATTTAAATGTACTGATTTAAGAAAACCTTAAGGAGAATCATCTTCAAGTTTAGATTATACTAATCATGCCTATTTCATAAACAAGTTCCTGTTGATTATCCTTAATGATGTTTTGTATTTGGGGAGTAGAAGGATGAAAAATGGAACCTGAGCCATAAAGCACGTAGGAATAACGACTTCTGTGTGCCTTTTTATTTTCAAAAGGGGATGATACTAAGCTTCAGAGCAACTACATCTGCTTAAGTATCACATAAAACAAAAATAACAGAGTGTGGGGGATAATGCTGGCAGGTATTTCCTGATCACAGCATGATGCCTGGGAATCAGTTCAGAGGGAAGTGGCGTTCAAAAGACAGTTGCTCCAAGATTCCCACTATTTATTTATTCAGAGAAGATGACATAAATAGAAGTGGTTCAGAAGACTCCAAAAACCGCCCTTCACCACTAACTGTGGTGGCCAGGAGTTGCATGCCAGCAATATAGGAAAGGGAGCATCACTTGCCTATCTGTGGAAGAATTATTTTCTCTGTAAATCGATCATCTTTCCACACACTTCTCAACAGAGATACTATATTGTCTCTTCCAGAACCATTCTTGCTATACAACAAAATCCTCACTGCCATAACCTTGAATCAAAAAATGTCACCTGCCACGGATGACTGACAAAATGGAAGTCAAACTGTTATTAGTTATCAAGGTGGTGGTGTTAGCCTGTTGCAGGAAAACCAAGCCAGCCTTGCAGCCACTCTATATTGTGGCTTCAACTTACATAGGCTGCAGTTGAAAACCAAGAGAGCCTTGCAGCACTCTAATGACTACAGTACTATATTTATTGTGGCTTCAACTTACATAGGCTGCAGCCTGCTACATCAGATATAGGGCATGTAGCCCAGCAGTTCGCACATTGGACCTGACCTAAGACCAAGTCAAGCACTATAATGAAAGACATGTGACTGATCTCTTGTGATCCCCTCTACATCCCCTTTCCACTCAATTGTTCTATGATTCTATATTTGAATTCCTCATTGAGCAGGGGGTTGGGGTTGATTTCTTTATAGGCCCCTTCCAACTGAATTACCCTATGATTCTGATTCTTTTGTTCTACAGTTGTCTTTTCAGCAAAAAGGGCACCTATAGAGGGTTCTTCAGTTTAGGAGAGGAAAAAGCAGATTAGAGATGTGAATGCTAAACGAGGTCATTCAGTGTCTTTTTTGTGATCTAAGCAATCCACCATCAAGCTTCTACCCATTCCGTTACAAGGGAGTTAGGGTGGGATTGCCTGTATAAAATCTATATTGCCCCATTCCCTGTTGATACTGTTCATCTTTTTACATGTTTTTGATTATCTACATCAAGAGTAAACTACTTTTTCATCCCTCTTCTGCTGGCAGTCCATTCTACACAGCATCCAGCACCAACTATGCAGTTAACTCCAGGGACTTGTATGTGGCAAAAACACGCTTTCTTACACCTGAGACTAATCTATTTATATTTCTTTGATCTCCCCCTGGCATCACATGGATAGGTTGATCACTCATTACATTACTCTGCAGATACATACATGATCTTGTGTTTAACATTGCCTTTGCCATTTTATTACTGTTGCCCAATATTCCGTACCTTGTTTGTGGTCATCACATACAGATGCTCATGGAAAGCATCAAGGACCAGATCTCTCTTGATAGGCTTGTTTTTCTCAATAACAATGCTGATATACTCCTTTGCAGGATTAGCCAAAGCCACCTGAAACACAGATTAACTATGTTACATTGGTGAAACAAGTATGGAGATATATTAACTTGGACAAAAATAAATAACAGTTAAAAATAAACAATGAATCTGTCTTTTTTGTCATCCAAAAGAAGATGCTTTTTTGGCCATTCGGATTTCTAACTTTTCTTGACAAAATGATCAGTTTGTACATTGTCCGCATGTTGCCATTTTCATATGTTATGACAGAAATCTGGTTCATGGTTCAATATGGTTTGCTGTTGTTATGGTGACTTATGGTGAATTGATGAACGAGTGATCTCCAAAAATGTCCTGCCCTTAACAGCCCTGATCCGTGCTTGTAAACTTAAATTTGTAGTTTCCTTGATGGACTCAATCCATTTCATGTTTGATCTTTCTCTTTTCCCGATGTGTTCAACTTTTTCTAGCATTATGGCCTTTTCCAGAGAACCTTGCCTTCTCATGATGTGCCCAAAGTTTTGTCATTTTTACATCAAGTGATAGTTCAGTCTTGATTTCACCACTTGCTTGTCTTAAAGTTTTGTCATTTTTTTACATCAAGTGATAGCTCAGTCTTGATTTCACCACTTGCTTGTCTTTTTGGCATTTCAAGGTATCTTCAAAGCTTTATGCCAGGACCATACTTCAAATGAATCATTTTTTTTTTCTGTCAGCTTTCTCCACAGTCCATCTTTTACACTGGTACATGATGACTGGAAACATAACAGTGTGGATGACCTTGACATTGGTTTCCAGTGACACATCCTTATACTTGATGATTTTTTAAAAATTCCTTTATTGCTGCCCTTTCCTGGCTGCAGTCTGCATTTGGACTGATGACTGAACCAAGGTATATAAAATCTTTCACTATTTCAATTTCTTCATTCTTTATTTGTGTAATTCTTCAGTAATCGTGATTTTTCTCTTGCTAATGTTCAACTGTAGTCCTGCTTTGACATTTTCTTATTTCAGTTTCATCAGACGTTGTTTCAAGTCATTGCTGTTTTTTCCCAGTAAGATGGTGTCAGCTGCATATCTCAAACTACTGATGTTTCTTCCATCAATTTTCATTCCTCATTGATCTGAATCTAACCCAGTTTTCCATATGATGTGTTCTGCATACAGACTGAGTGACAGGAATGTGAAATGCACTTTTTTCTTGTCATAAAGTGAGTCTCCCCATTCAGCTGCTGAGTGGCCAGCAGAGGGGATAGGGGAAATGCCAGAAGGACAATATCTGCGATTGGCATGTCACCACCACCAGGAATGCATGCGCTGAGGAACCTGGAAGCTGAACTGGTCTGGGGAAGAACCACTGGGACACCCCTGAGAGACGAATATGAAGCTATGGGGAAGAACCGCTGGGACACCCCTGAGAGACGAATATGAAGCTCCCGTGTCTAGGGCAGATTGTTACTGTTGTCACTATGACTTTTATCAAAGTAACTTTTTGTTTTATCCATTACTGATACATTAACATTACTGGTGCAGTAACTGGAAAATTGATGAAAATGCTTGCAGATCCCTTACACGGCCAATTTACTGCAAACTGAAAATACTGTGAAAAACACATTGCAAATAAAAGTTTCCATTGCCATTTTCTTCCCACATGACTTGAGCTATATACCCAATCCAAATGAAATGGAGTGGGATATGTAGTCGAAAACACCAAGAAAATGCCAGACTAGATGGAATCCCACAGAAAAAAAATTATTCTGAGTATAAATTTAGTAAACAAAGTTAACTGTCATAATGTGTTTCCAGAAAACTGGTTCCACCTGGTACAGTGGTGCCTGGTAAAGTGGTGCCTCGACTTATGACCATAATCCGTTCCAGAAGATGGATGTAACTCAAAATGGTCGTAAGTCGAAGCACCATTTCCCATTGGAATGCACTGAAATGCAATTAATCTCCATAATCCAGAAGATGGATGTACCGTAACTCAAAATGGTCGTAAGTCGAGGCGCCATTTCCCATTGGAATGCATTGAAATGCAATTAATCTGTTCCGGCCGAAGAAAAAAATCACACAAAAAAGTCACTGCAAGACTCATTGGAAACGCAACTAATCCCTTCCGGCCAAAAGAGGGGGGGATAAAAGTAATCAAGCATGCAAGACCCATTGGAAATGCACAGAAAACAAACGGAGCAGATCAGAAATGCAAAGAAAACAAAGGAAAAAGCAAGGGAAGCATGCAGGACCCATCAGAAATGGGACCCCCCCCAAAAGTAACCAAACTCCCCAAGACCCATCGGAAATGAGGGGAAGCCAAAAAACAAATAAACCCCCCAAGACACATTGGAAATGGAAAAAACCCAAAAAGCAACCAAACCCCCCAAAACCCATCCGAAATGGGGGGGAAAACAAAAAAGAAACCCCCAAGACCCATTGGAAATGGGAAAAAAGCCCAAAAAGCAACCAAACTCCCCAAGACCCATCAGAAATGGGGGAAAAAACAAAGAAACAAACCCCCAAGACACATCACAGCACAGAAACCTAACCCCTCCAGCTCAAAACCATGCTGCAAAAACACTCAGAACAGTTTTTAAAAAGCAAAAAACAGCACCTTACCTTATAAGGCTGACTGAAGCCTCTCTGCAAACACACACACATGCTCACTCAGAAGCAGAAGGAGGCAATCCCTAGCCTCCTCCGACACACACTCTCTAACTGCTGGGGCGAAAGAGCTACAAAGAAGCAGCCTCGTCCCCCCCTAGAGTTAGCAATTTGATTTTCCCGCCTTTTTCCCCTGCCTTTTTTTTTCGGTAAGTGGAAGCTCTGATCACAAGTAGAAGCAAAATTTTGCGGCCGGAGCTGGTCGTAACTCGAAATGGTTGTAAATAGAGACATTCGGAAGCCGAGGCACCACTGTACTTTCTTGGATGTATCTAACAGTCTGAACATCAAGATTTAAAAAGTTATATCCATTTGAGTTGGATGGCAGGTTGGGCCTTCCTAAATTAAACTTCCCAGTTCGGAAGAAGTATACCTTTCAGCATCAGATTCTCTAAACAAACAACACCAAAAAGATTTGCTTATTGATCCCCCTAATGTACTCCTAAGCTGTTGCCTGCCAGTTGTAGACTCCAGACATTGATATGGAATACAGTACATTGTTATAGGTTTTACTGACTCCATGTAGTCCAAAGATGACATCTAAAATGCAGTGCTTGCAACTAGCACCATCTCTGCTTTTTATAAGAAAAAACAAAGTTTGATTTAACACATAACACTGGCTCTCTGGAAACTCATTTAAACCATGTCACCTTGTTTGCACATGGCTTAGCAATCCAGTGCAGTGCCTGCCTAAACCACAGGTCCTAGGTGTGCTAATGTTGCATTTTCAGGCCACATTGTCTCTCGCTGTGGGGCAGCCTGCAGCAGATTCTCTCACTTTCTCCCCTGGTTCAATCAATTCACTGATGAGCTTGGCCAGGACCAAGAAGAATGTGTGAAGAATCTTTCTCTCTCTGTGTCTCATGCCTTTTTCAAGCCCTCTCTTGACTTCACTCATGCTAGAGCAGGTAATTGCTGCTTTTCTCTGTCTTTAGTTCCCATCTCTTTGCAAGGCCTCTTCCACAAAGTCAGTACAAAATGAACCACCCACATGATGGCTTGAAGATGCCTGCTTAGAAATGAACCAGATTTTATTTTAAACCATGACCTTTGGGTTACATGTAACAAGAAGCCAGAATTAATGCAAAGAGATACCAAATTTTTATTGTCAGGTTCATCCTACCTGTACAGCCCAGTGCTCCACCAGAAGCACACACATGTACTGCTCAACTGTGGTTCATTGTTTTGTGTAAACTTCTTTGTGAAAACAATTATTTACTTTAGCAACTATGTCTGTGCTCATATCCTCCTTCCTCCCCTAATATGCTCTAACTCCACCACTTATTTCCTTGTTCCTGACAAGTAAAGCTTGCTCTTTTAGTTGAACTATGGTGTACCAAAATTATATACTTGCAAACTCAGAAATAAAAATATAATTTGAAGAAGCCTTTCAAGACTGTTTCATTGATTAATTAATGAAGTAATTCATTATATTTCCTAGCCATTTACCATTACCATAGTCATTCAACCTACAATAAAAAACAGCAAAATTCTATCAGCAAACAGTAACACATTTAAATTAAGCTATTTACATTACAATACAAAGCAATATATGAAGTTTTTAGACCAAAATATATCTTGAAGTTGTATAAACCATAGTCTGCCCATGTTGGCTGAGACAATGAACCAAGAAGCTGAGGAGAGGAAAAGCAAGAAGCTGTGGCTAAGTTAGTGATGGCTAAACATAGTATGGCTATCAAGGTTGTTCTGGCTTGCAAAAGTTTTCAGTCTCAGAATCCTGATTTATCAATGGAAATGTATGTCTGTACAGCACTTTTCTTTTTGAGAAATTTCTTGTCATTTGTAGAAAAGGGGAATGCATGCTAGTAAGAATTAGGGATACATCTAATATTTAAAATTAAAATATTACCTTCAAGATTCTGCCATCTGATGTTCCAACAAATACTACAGTGTTCTCATTTTCTACTGCAAAAGTAACTGCAGTTAAATTTATTCCCTCCTTTTTCAACAGGGGTTTCGCAGAAATTCCCTCTTTGCTTCCCAAAGGGTATGGCAAATGTTCATAACCACATGGAAAGGTCTTACTGGAATTCTGGAAAACAAATCCACAAGCAAAAACAATACATTCAGAGAGATGGCATCCTATAATAGTCAAACTAGGCTTAAGCTGATTTTTTTTCCCATTTTTAGTTTTCCCCACATTTGATTCAGTTTTCACTTGAGAGTCTTCCAACAGAACATTCAAAGCATATGCGGATACACTGGATCACACTAGCAAACAGACAGAAAAAATAGACAGAGATACTGTCACCCAAGGTATCTGTGCTAATAGTGTGGCATCAAAGTGTGAAAAAGTTGCTATTTTGAATGACAATCTCCAGAATTCCCTAATTAGCATGATACCGAACATGCTTATTAGTCATTCTAGGAGCTGTAGTCCAAAACAGTAACTTTTCTAAGATCTGGGTAGCATCCTTAAGGACCTTCCTGGCTTAACTTCAGGTGTAGGATCTCTGGCTACAAAAGTTATTACAAGTTGTCATAACACATATAACAGACCTAGATGATTCTATAAACTGTTATACATGACTCAACCAAACGAAGTACTTTTCAGCTAGATCAATTTAAATGTGATCCATTTGGTTGGACTATGTCCCTCTAAAATAGCTTAGATGGTCATAGTTCATTTCCGAAAGAGAATGTTATGAAGAGATAGATGATATATTTCACAAATTTAAAGACTAACTTCAAAACACAAAATTGTGGTGTAATATTTTGAAAGGCAAAAGGAGTGTTGTAAATGTTATGCAAAAATATTCCTGATACAAAAAAAACCCAAACAACCATAGTCATGGCTCATATTAAATTAATTCTCTCAACAATTTGCTTTTACAAGATAAAGATGCATGCAGCTATAAAAACTTTTAGATGAGTATTTAACCTTCCCTTAGCATTTTTAAGATAAACATTTCCTATCACCTGGTGAGATGCAGTACTACATGGAGGATTTTCTGATCTAAATGGTTTGTAGAACACATCTTGGTCATCCTTCATGTAACATCTCTCCCTGTTTTCCTCCATTTTTTCATTGATTTGCTTCAATGAAAACACACACATGGCACATTCCAAGGAGTCTTTTTCCATCCTCCTGAAAAGTCCAATAAGCAGTGTATCCTGCGATGAGGCTTCATCATCTTCTGATACTGATGCTTTACTATTTCCTGGAATGTACCCGGGCACTGAGGCATAAATGGCATTGCTTTGGTTGTAAGGTCCAGTGTCATCCTGACACTCCAAGTCCATCTCAAAGTAGGAATGATAATGTTCATCTTCCTTGCAGAGCCGCCCGATCAGTGTGCGATTGACAGCAGTGCCCTGCTGATTGAAATTCTGATTGAAAATAAAATATACAAAATTTTTGTTTTCAAAGATGTACAGAAACTGTTGTGTGCTTGGGGATGGGTATGCTGATTTAATAGCAGCAGCATCTGCATACAGTTCAAAAATCTCTCTCCCATCCCCATTAAAAAGCTGCCGGGTGCTGATTATTATCCCATTGTCATTTCCCCCATTTCCCTTTCCAACAAACATCATTCGACCTTTTTTCAGCGAAGTGATCAACCCCACTGTGGTTACATTCTCATCGTTACTGGCAACAAATGATTTTTCTCCACTTCCATTCTCATAATATGTTCTGTTGGAAATGTTCTCAAGCTCTCTTATGGAACATATGCCCTTAAACAGGCTCCCACATACGACAATTTTTCTCTCTTGAATGTCTAACAAAAGCATCTTGTTATAATTGTCGGTCCTTTTTGCATCAGTACATTGGCTTTCATCGATGGGAGGTGTGCACTTTTTGTTGTCCAAATGAGGCCCGGTTGATACTTCCTCTACTGATGGATAGGGTTTCAGGTCCCTCGTCAGTTGATACAGGGCATTTACTGCTCCTAAGTAGACTGTCCCTGTCTCATAGTTCACTGTCAGGTGGCTCAGTTCTGTTTTACTCTGGAATGAATCCCAATTCTTGGGCCTTAACGCACAGGTGACACAATAGTAGCTCAGAATGCTCAGCGCCCAAATCCACACAGCCATTTCTGTGCAATGCCTGAAAGAAAAGGATAAATATATTCTATTACATAGACCTAAAACAAAATATCCTTTGCAGATGAGGTCATTTAAAAACAGAGAATTCATGGAGAGGCTATATGCAAAGGCATAAGTTCAACTGCTAGTTCCAGTTAAGATTAGATCTACTAAATCAACTGTTGAATGGGAAGCCAGTACATATCCAAATCTCACTGATTCACTGTGTCCGCTATGGTTGGAACTGACAATTGGATTCAGATAAAAGAATGGGAGGTTTCAACAACAAGTCATATCAAGGGGATTTATCGGACCTTGTTATGAACGGACATGCTATACAGGTGCTAAAACAACCACTTCTTACCGACTTTGTTCTCCCCCCCTTTCCATGCTGAGTCTTTGAAAACACTTCCAAGTCACAGTTTTTCTTTTTTTTTTCCCCTTACCTTATAAATGCCTAGCCTACTTTTCTAAAGCAGAATGCTCAAGTGACCTCCTCTTCCTCGTCTCCTTATTCTCTGGGTGGGAAAATATTGAGGGGGGAGAGAGAACTGTGTTTGCCTACTATCTTTGCTTCTCAAATTATTGTCACCTTCAGGAGAGGAATGAGGTGTGTGTGTGTGTGTGGAGGGGACAGCCAGTAGCCATCCATGACTCTCTTCAGTATGATATGTAACAAACTGGGGCTTCAGTTTAAGTTCCAACTTACTTGCAACAGTCAGAGCAGTGATTCTTAACCTTTTTGAAAGAAACGCCCCCTTGAGCCATTGAGGAAGTTATCATCGCCCCCCTTCCTGAGGTGATGATATCTTACCTACCTACCTACCTACCTACCTACCTACCTACCTACCTACCTACCTACCTACCTACCTACCTACCTACCTACCTACCTACCTACCTACCTACCTACCTACCTACCTACCTACCTACCTACCTACCTACCTACCTACCTACCTACCTACCTACCTACCTACCTACCTACCTACCTACCTACCTACCTACCTACCTACCTACCTACCTACCTACCTACCTACCTACCTACCTACCTACCTACCTACCTACCTACCTACCTACCTACCTACCTACCTACCTACCTACCTACCTACCTACCTACCTACCTACCTACCTACCTACCTACCTACCTACCTACCTACCTACCTACCTACCTACCTACCTACCTACCTACCTACCTACCTACCTACCTACCTACCTACCTACCTACCTACCTACCTACCTACCTACCTACCTATAGTTTACATATAAATATTTATTTTTTAAAAATAAAGTTACTCTCTTATTATCCCTCTCCCAAAACTAAATAAGCTGGTCACTGGATATCTAACTGGCACTGTTGATCTCTGGAAACACTATACAATGAAAAGAACACAAATTCTTGAAAAATGTGTATTCAGTTAACTAGTTTCTAAGTGCAGAGGAGGGGGAAGGAATACTCGGGAAAATATTAGTTTCTACTCTTCAGGTGTTAAAATATGTATTTTAAAAATATCTATTTGCTTGGGAGATTAAAGTGCATCCATTAACACCACTTCTTTTCATGAAAGATGCTTTGAGGAATTCCCTCATGAAAAGCTAATATTTTCACAGCTATGTAATTAATTCCTAATAGAAATGAAATTACACATGGTGTAAAACTGTATGGGTTTCCTTATGAGCCCTTTTTTCTAACAATCAAGGACAAACTAAACACGCATATGACTGATTTAAACATGAAACTTCCCCAAACTGGTGGGGGAAATGTCATATTTGTATTATTGAAGGAGGAGTGTATAAGTGTGTGGAACTGACCTTTCTACCCTCCCATTGTTCAGTTCCCTGCAGAGCAGCTTCCACACTGTTTTTATGTTAGGCAAAGTCACTATAGTACTGGTATTTTAGACCCATTTGTTCTTCCCACCCATCTGGTGCCTCAGAGAGTGGGAAGAACAAGGTGAAAGCAAGAAAGCAAGTCTCTACACTATCCTCATGCATGTTTGCTTTCCCAGTTAGACTCCACTTGAACCATGGAAGTCAGCATGATGAATTGAGAAGGTATGCAGGATGTGTGTCTTGCGCCTCATCAATTAGCTGCAATTCACTATGACAACTTCCACAGTTCCTCCTCTACATGCAATACATTTCTGACTCTCATTATCTACTCATAGAGCTTCACATATGAACATTCTACTAGTGTACTGGCTACAGTAATCCCTAATGCCTCCAAGAGAGCTGCAGTACTACTGTTTTTATGACAATGAACAGTGAGCCATGGACTCCCTTATTCAACCTCACATATGTAAAGCTACGTGTAAAGTTTTACAAGTAAAGCTGCTTGTACACCATGATCTTACAAGTAGCTTTAGGTGAACCTCTCTCTCTCAGTCTCATAAACACACGTACTTTACATCCCACATCTGTTAATTGTAGTACCCTATACTTATCAATTCTATATGGGTATTCTAGGAACTGATAAAAAATATGAAATGCTCTTTGCAATAATGAGACAGTATTATATAAATAATAGTCTCACGGATGGGAAAAATTAGGCAGTCCTCCCTATCTCCATTATTCAGGATGATTCAGCCTATGCTGATCCCTACCACACAGTGCAACATCTCTCATGCCTTCTGAAGACATCTGGAACTGAACTTCTCACATGTTCACAGAGAATCATAAATGCAACAGGAACCCAAACTAGTCACAGACAATCTCCTTGTTTTAGCAGTAAAACAGAGGCAGTAAAACCAGGATGCTTCCTGGTCAACTGTCCTATGTGGCTGCATTTGACATTAAAAGTTGGGCTAGCAATGTAGAAGGGGAAGATATGGAGGCATATGGTTTTCCCAATAGCTATGTATGGAAGTGAGAGCTGGACCATAAAGAAGTCTGATCGCTGAAGAATTGATGCTTTTGAAATGTGGTGCTGGTGGAGACTCTTGTGAGTCCCCTGGACTGCAAAGAGAACAAACCTATCCATTTTGCAAGAAATCAACCTTGAGTGCTCACTGGAAGGAGAGATCCTGAAGCTGAGGCTCCAATACTCTGGCCATCTCATGAGAAGAGAAGATTCCCTGGAAAGGTGTTGGTGTTAGGAAAGTGTGAAGGCAGGAGGAGAAGTGGACGACAGAGTACGAAATGGTTGGACAGCGTCACCAAAGCTACCAACATGAATTTGACCCAGCTCTGGGAGGCAGTGGAAGACAGGAGGGCCTGGCGTGCTCTGGTCCATGGGGGTCACGAAGAGTCAGACACGACTTAACGACTAAACAACAACAACAACAACAACAAAGCAATGTAGGAATTCGTGAATACTGTATTACAAGTCACATGATGCTGGCTACAGGGGTCTTACCTGGAGGGCCATACTTTCTCCCTCCCTGTTTCAGTGGCTTATATATTGTTTAGACCAGACCTGGGCAAAGTGCGGCCCGAGGGCCACATACGGCCCACGAGCCGCTCCTGTCCGGCCTTCCGGACATCAAAACCATTTATAGCTTTTTGTCTAAAGTTGATCAGTTGCTTATCTTTAACTTACTGCAAAAAAAGAGAGAGAGGCCTCTTTAGTATTGGTGAAGATTAACAAGTTTTAAATAAAAACAATCATAACATCACTGCTTCATTTTATTTTTAAATAAAGTTGGCTCAGCCCCTGAACACAGTTCAGATTTTTCATGTGGCCCCCCTATAGAAATTAATTGCCCATCCCTGGTTTAGACTACTCCTAGACCTTCAAGTTTTATATCAACATGGTTTGCATCAGCTTTTATTTATTCCTTGTATACATGCTATTCCCTACGATCAAGAGGCACTGAAGCAGCCCATGCTACAAAAAATCTTGATTGCAAATATATATATATATACTACTAGTAGTAGTACATTTACTATTAATAAATCTTGATTAAAATTAATATTATTACAAAATGAACACATTAGTAATACTGGTTATCTTGACAAATCTGTTCCTCCCAGATTCTTCTACTGTTCTAAAACCTACTCCTGTTGTTCTGATGTTTTTCTACACAAACAGTTACTTGAGACCCAGCTGTTTTTTTTTTACCAAGCCCTAATATACAATCAATAAGGCCGATTAATGAACTCACAAGCAGCACAGCATACAGTGGAGCACACACACCTTCAGAAGCTCTGCTATTACAGAACACTAATTTAATATGCATGCAAGTCTGGCAGATGGCAACACAGGCAGCTGTGCTCGTATTAAAAACAGAAGAAACAAAGTGATGAAAGGTTAGTTGTAGAGTGTGGGAGGGAGCAGGAAGAATTTTATTTCCATCAATTAGAAAAACACAGATCAGTAAAAGCTAGGAGGATAGCTGTCAATACGATTTCAGGGCCTGAATCAAAGTCCTGAACACTGTTCTACCATTTTCTCTAACAAGTCATAGAAATATCTTTTGATATAATATAATTGGAAATGAAAGTATGCATTTTAAAGGTAATGCTTGTGACCATTACAGCAGTCAGGAATCTAGGGCCCTGCATGGAAAACTCACATGCACATTCAGTTCTAAATAATGTCTTGCCTGTATCCTGTTCACTAATCACCACTAAGATCTTCAGTAAACTTTGCATTGTTTTGTAAGAGCTGATTTTTTTCAGAAGTGACAATTAGTACTAGATTTCAGGATTTCTCCAATATTTCAAGCAGAGCATCAACTATTACTGTTCCATAAGATTGCTGGTTGCTTTGAATACCAATCTATATGGTGCTCAGAATTACCATGTTTCCCTGAAAATAAGACAGGGTCTTATATTAATTTTTGCTCCCAAAATTGTATTAGGGCTTATTTTCAGGGAATGTTTTATTTTGCAGTCATGTCATCTTCTTCTGGTTGCTGCACAATGGTAGAGGGCAGGGTTTCACTTAACTGGGGCTTATTTTTGGGGTAGGGCTTATATTATGAGCATCCTGAAAAATCATATTAGGGCTTATTTTCAGGTTAGGTCTTATTTTTGGGGAAACAGGGTAATGTGTCATGAATAATAATGTTACAGTTGACTCAATAT